ATTTTTACCAAATAACTACTAGGTACCTAGATCATATATACTTCGATTCCTTTCACCACAATGTTTTGACTGACCCATTAACCACTATTATAAGATTTACCGTCCATGATTTATTCTCAATCAATCAGTTCCGATATCATATATTCACACCGACTTTTGTATTGATCTGGTATAATAATAATTTCTTATTTTATGGTGTGAAGCTGTCTGGTCTGCTTTTACATAAACCACATATGTCGGAAATATATGATCCATATAGTGCTCTGGAATGAACTGGCTTGGCTGCTGTATCAAGGACCTATGAAGATTGAGGTTTCACTCGAGGTTGAGAATGATGGTTGACGTGTCGTTTGCTTAATACAGGGACAGGGTCATAAAAGTCTATGGATCGATTTAGGAACTTGTCGCATTATATTTGACGGAGGACAGGACGTTCTTTCGATGTCTGCCTCAAACCCCCGGCCGCGTAAGTTCCTTGATCTTCCTCTTTCCCAAAGGATTCCAAGTTAGGGCTTGCTTCGTGATATGGATCGATGTCCTATCCACTTCCAAAGTATTTTCCATCTGGAAACTGGTTTGTTTCCTACGGTTATATCGTACTCTCAATGTGCTTTCCAAGTGTTTTTGGAGTCTTTTTCGTTCTTTAACTTCAGCTTTTACATCGCTTCTCAACAATATCTTTAGAAGACATTATATTTGAAAATTTTATTTGAAATAATCTCGGCGACTGACATGTAATTTTCACATATAATGACTTCTCTATACTGGGCGCCCGATTTCTGTCAAACTATTCGTTCTAATCTTGACGAATATTCGTATAAGTATCTTTAGAAGTTCTCGTACCGAAAGTTGTGGGATCCTTTTGTTCCGCTTAGTTTGCCTCTGTATGTGAATGAACTTTAGTGGTATTGGTTCCTAACCACACGATCTTTAAAGCTGAACATACAACCTCAAACAATTAAGTATGTTTCAAAACAATAGGACTAAAGTATTCATTCACTTCCTTATTCTGCATAGACATTATATTTCCTATAATCTTGTATTGAATGTTGAGAAGCTTTGTGTGTTTGAACAGCTTGTAGTGACTCACTTTTATCAGGAGAACACGACTAATTTAATGAAAACAATTATTATTATAACCAACTGTACCAGTGCTTGTTTTAATGTGCTTTTGTTTAGCTGTGCTAAAAAGCATCCATTATTCTTACACTTTGATTGTGACCTCGCGCGAATTCGGCTACGTTCTGTAACCAAGGTTTTATCCTGGCACAATCTCAGTATCCTTTCGATACCACGAGATCGCCAGAGAATATATCTCGATTTGGTCCATTAACTGCCTTCTGATATTTCGCTTCCGGTGGATTTTATGGATATCCTGGCGCTCGTTCCTTGATAGCTGTGTTCATAGTCAATTTCGACTAAACACCACGCTACAACTGGTGAGCCGAATTCTCGAACACGCCACAATCTCTGGTCAAATCTTCTAAAGAAGCCAATTCGGTAAGTCTATTGTTTATCTATCCACGTCTGTCGTATATTTTCATATTACCTTTCAATATATAATATACGCGACATGACGGATAACGATAAGAATAGTATTAATATAATGGACTCCCATGTACATGTACCGAATCCTTGTCACTTTTTATTTGCGTGACGGTAAATTCCACGCTTCATTCGAGAAAATTTCCCCTATTAACTATTCTCCTCGCTGACCCGGCTGCTTGGTACGGAACACATACGCATACGCATTACCATCTACCACCCAGCACCAAATGGTTGAGTTGAACGGTATCATTGCCAACTTAAAAGTGCTCTACGAGCACACGAAAACGACAACTGGTATGAAACCTTACCTCTCGTTCTCTTAGGCATCAGAACGAGCTTGAACGCAGATATCCAATGTTCCGTCGCTGAACTTGTATACGGCACGATATTGCGTCTGCCCGGAGAATTCTTCACATTACGGAGCAGACCTAATTTCGGTAAATCAGACTACGTCCATCGACTGTCTGGATTTACGCGAACGCTGTCTCCGGTGTCAACTCGAATACAACATCGACAGGTCGCTCTCCCTCGAGAGATATCTACCTGTACACATGTTTTCATACGAGTAGGTTCGGTACGCAAACCTTTGGAACAGCCTTACGAAGGCCCTTTTCACGTGATCACTCGTCACGAAAAGACCTTCAAGGTTGATCGACATGGCCGCGTCGAGATAGTCAGCATTGATCGTCTCAAACCAGCACACGTCGATGACAGTGCCCTATCTGACGCCCTGAGATTCAATGCTAGACCTATCAAACCTAGCGGGATCCTCAAACCGTCTTCAGATCCCACGCTAGATACACCTGAGGCCTCATTCTCGCGTCCCGGTCAACAGCGCGTGTCATCTGCATCATCTACGGACGAGACGGCAGTCTCACGTCCAGATCAGCAGACCACGCCGCCCTTGACTTCGGGTGAGATTACAGGCTCACGCGATACGAACGAGACTACCGTCTCACTTTCCGGTCGCCGAGTACGGTTGCCCGTACGCTTCCGCGACTAGCCGCACAGTCAACAACCGATACGGTGTAGGACTATTCCTATGCTACATGCATGCTACACTCTTCTTTTTTGATTTTTTTTTCTGTATCTTGAGCCTATGCATCCGACCATCCCCGTTTGGTATCGTCGACTTCAGTCAACTTTGGCGAAAGCTGCACTGGCCACCCATGCTCTTGTCAACGCACTCAGTCGATATTTTGGTTTCGAATGTTTGACATACGCTTGGTCTCGAACTTTGTCGTTATGGTCGCTTCTGGTTCCTCGGCTCAACGTGGTTTCATCCTACGTCTGCAGCGTTTTCTGGTCGGCATCTACAGATTCTGGATACAAACCACTCTGGTGTGGTATGCCAACGCGAGTAACAATTACAACACACCGCTCCTAGTACCGTTCTCCGAAAAAGACCTCCGTTGGCAACTCGACGATCAATGATCGCTTTCCTGTTCTGCCAATTCTTCCGTCCTAGCGTCGCTCGTCAGCCGATCAGTCCCACGAATTAAACCGCTACTTATCAAAAGTGTATACCCTTTCTAGCGGGCAGCTCCTGTAGTGACTCACTTTTATCACGAGAACACGACTGGTTTAATGAAAACAATTATTATTATAACCAACTGTACCAGTGCTTGTTTTAATGTGCTTTTGTTTAACTGTGCTAATTACAGCCATTTTGTGCTTCCATTACCTTCCATCATTGTTCCGCGGTTTTTGGCTTTGTTCGCACGTACTCCGTTCTCCTGCTTGTGCTTGTACCATTTCTTGGCACGATCTTGGTATTCGTTCGATATCACGAGATCGCCAACGAAATAAATCTGGTTACGTTCAACCTTCGCCTTCTGATTTGTTTGGTACGCATTTCCTTGTAGTGGCGTTCATAGTCAATTTCGACTCGACACCACGCTACAAGGTAACCTCCCGCTGCACTGTGACTGTCCGACGAGCTAAATAGAAACCTCTTCTAATCTGGTTTCTATCAATAGAATGAGGGTTACCTACCGGAATGAGCACGTGGTAGATTATGTAGTCACGTCAAGACAAATCAATCACTTCAGGATCAGGTCTACTATTATAGCCGTATTATTAAGAAAATAGACCATAAATCTATGTAGCAACCTTTACGAACCATTTTAACAGACCAGACTAGTAGTTGTTCATCTGGATGTCAAGCCTTACGAACACCTTTCAAACATCTCTAGTTTTATCGTAAGTGGATCCACACTGTTCAAAGTCTGTGTACATAAACATACACTAGTGCTTTTCTGATGTCCAAGGTGTTTCCTAACCTGGTTAGTTATTTGTGGTGGACATTTGTTAGGTATGCATGGTTCTAAATATGATGGGGACTTGAACGTCACCAAGCTAAGTGTACCTTTAGTATAGACCATGCTTCTCCAATTGGTAGTAGTTTTTACTGAACAGCCCGTTAATCCAGCACAATCTCTATGGTTGTTATGTTTGCTATCCACATATTTTGGTGAGGTCTAGCCTGATCGTATATTATATCACAAACTCTGAATATGAATGATAAAACAAAATGACTGATATTTGCTGACAGTGAAAGAATATTTAGATAGTGAATGTTCTCGATCCCATTAAAAGTATATAAAAATACTCGTTATATTAGTAAACCAAACCAATTTCATGAGGAAACCTGCATTTGCACACCATTCAATAAATCGATTTTTTCCCTGTGTGTTGAAGATCCATTCACAAGGATCGGATGTTTCTGCACTTGGATATAGTTATCTACAAAGCAGTCAAACTACCACCAACTTACACTTTGAAATTTATAAAATGCCTTCGGGAAATCTCTCGAGACAAGGAAAAATGTGCTCAGCATCAGAAGTCTGAATTGTTCAATTATGTCAACCGAAACATAAAGGAAACTGAAAGCTTGACCGATAGCGCTAGACATTTCTGTGCAAACGTAAATAAACAGTTCCTAGAATTACATGTCATAGTTTTTGCGGATATTACGTTAATTTTGAATGTAATGAAACCTTTAACTTTCCAATGGACAGGCGCTTAAACATGAATGTAGTTTTAGCACTAAAAGAGGACAATAACATCCTTAATATGGTTCTTAACGACTGTTTTCAGGGCTTTCAGACATCAAAAACTACTAATGCGAACACTACGTATTCTTACAAGTTAACGCGCAACCAGTCCTGAGCACTTCAAATACGGTGTCCCCGTTTAGAACTAAGCTACTCAAGGTCGTGGAGGTAGATCTGACCCTGACCTAGCTTTTCATCTATCCTGACTTTTAAAGCTTAACAGTTATCTATGCTGGACATGTCGAATCTTCCAGACTTCCAGATTACAAGATATAAAAACATTCAAGAAGACTATTAAACTGACTAGATCGAGTGCAGTCAAGTAGCCAGAATACTGCCCATTGGACGTTATTAAGGACCTTGAACGGTACCACAACACCAAGGAGTGAGCTCCGTATGAGATTTTCACAGGTGTTTACATCTAATGTCAGAACTGTTATTATTGGACCTCCTGGTTCAGGAAAGGCTACCATCTCTTTGCGTTTACAGAAAGACTTTGCTTTGAAATATATCTGCTGTGGCGATATGCTAAGAAACCATGTTGCTTTAAAAACAGGTAGATGTACATCTTCCTGTGTATGTTTTATATCTTAGATATTGGGAAGCAGGTAAGCAGGTTTGTCCAGAATGGTTCACTTGTTTCGGACAGTTTAGTCACTAAAATGATGATTGCTGAGTGTCAAAGTTATGCAAGCGATAACTTACTCATTGATGGATTTCCGAGAACTATGATACAAGCTGAAGACGTTCAAAAACAACTTCCTGTCAGCTGTGTTCTTTGCTTAGATGTACCCTTTGAAGAAATCATAAATAGAATCAGTGGGAGATACACTCATGTCCCAAGTGGTAGGACGTACAATGATAATTTTAACCCTCCGAAACGCAAAGTTAGTATGATATGACCTTGTAAACTATATTACTTGATAGCTTTTACTCATTGCTATTATATTGTATCTTAACATTTAATTTTTGTGACCAATACGGCTTGGATCTTTAATACCTTTGGGTGTACTGGTAAGTTGTATGCGTAATGAATTTCCCGTTTTGATCATCATCGTCCATGTAGATTTAAGTTCATTAGTACTAACTTTTGCAGATTTTCCGTTCTTATGAGTTCAGAATCAACCGTAAGTTTATTTCGTCTCGTTTCCAAGAGGGTTTGGTAAAAACACTGGTTAGTCTTTCCCTGAGCCATGAATAATTGGGCTCGAAACAGTACACAAACATTTACTAGGTAAGTGAATTACGTCATGATGCTGCCACAAAATCATTACAGTCTACACGATCAGTTGGCAAGTCGATCTATGATTCTCGTCAACTGAACTGATTAGGATGTGTATTACATATGCTTAACTATCATGCTTACTTTAAATACGTTGAAAGCAACTTAGGGATAATCAAACTAAGACAACCTTAGCTCATGAAGCCATTGATTGTTGGTTGATTCGGACTACCTGATTGAGGTGCGCGTGATAACTGCGATCAGTGGTTGGAGACTTTGGTCAATAAGATGTTGCATCATCCATAATTGTACAGATACGTTCACTGCTTATCTTCTTGGTCTTGAGTCCCAGGATCTATACATACATGCCTTTTCCACTCTGTCTATCAGGGCCATATTCATATTCAATCTGTCACCGTAAGTATCATATTATTTCGATCGCTTTGGCTGTTCATCTTAGTTCCATGTTTTCGTAATATTATGGTAAGACAACTGGGGCCGATATACATCTTTGCCAGGTTCTACGTTGATAGTGACTGACTGACACTTAGTACTAGAATCAATTATCTTCCTGTTAGTTCACCACCTTTATAAAGCGTTGGAGAGACACTAGAGAGTTAGAGACACTAAATAATATGCTTAGATTTGTCGGTTGTATACTTCTAAATCAGTTAGGCGTTAAGGTACAACAATCCTTCAGTAGGTTCATGGAAATTAATGACGGGAAGTCTCACTATAAAGATTTTCTTCCTATGTCTTGTTATGTGGCATTTTACTTATTGATTTATATTACTAACGCTTGTGAGATAAAATGCTACTACTTCTCACTGTATATTGATCATACCATTACCATAAAATTTTGGGAGTTTTAATTTTTTGGTAATTTTAACAATTCTAGAAACATACCATTATGTGCTTGCTGCTATTTCGATGTCAAAAAAATTTAGTGGGTGTATTTAGCAATATTATAAGCGTCTTGGATCTAACTCATTTAGTGAGCTCAAACAGTATTTATTTCTGCGTATTTCTGTCACTTAGTGATGAGCAGTCTTTCCTTTACTTGTATGTAAGGTTAGCCAAATTTATGTTCGATCTTCCTAAATATAGCCACTGCTTTGTGGAAAATTGTATGTTAGTTGGGGGTTGAATTTAAGCTTTACAAGGACAAGATAATTACTATTGTCATTCACAAGTGGTTCTCTTATTTTAATTCTGATCACATCCACAGAAGAATACCGGGATTACCTGGAATGCTGTCTTATCCCTAACTTCATTTCACTGACCGTAAATATTCGATGTTCCGTAAATTAGACGAAAATAGTATGTAATCCGATAACTTTTTATTGTGTCAGCTTAAGCTTAACAGATAAGATGTTGAAACAAGTCATCCAATATAAATGTGTTACAGTTCCGTTGCAGTCAAAACCGTGCTGTGTTTACGGGGGGTTTGTGTTTATATTTGCGTTCGTCCCCAATGTCCTGTGTTCATATTGGAGAAATATAGTCATCAGTTTATAACTTAATGTAACCCATGAACCATCCTCTTTTATCACTACTTTTATTTTGAAAATAGGGATTTGATGATGTGACTGGAGAACCTCTAATACGCAGAGATGATGATGACCTGATAACTGTTCGTAAACGTTTGGATGTTTATCAACTTTCTACTTTACCATTGCTTGATTATTACGGGTACGTTAACTTCGACTTTTTCTTTTGGAAGTGTTTGTAATATATTAGAGCAGTTATTTTACTTGTAGTTTTTATTGTAAAGTGTATGCAAATTGTCATTTAATACTTGATTGAAACAAGTTAACATTTTTAATTTATAGTTTGCAGTACAATTAAATAATACAACCGAATAACTAAAATGTAATAGCGTACTCATTTGTGAGCAATCTTGTGTAAGAGCTACCTTGAGTCAAAGATTCTACTCCCAATGAAAAATAGTTAGGCTAATTTAAAACCTGAAACCTTCAGTATTTTAACTATCTAACTACTCAAAAATGTCACTCCCAGTTGTTCATTGTTTAGTGTAACACTATTGGAGTAAACAGTATTACTTGGCTTCATTATTCAATATAATTGATGTATATTTGAAAGCTAATCATTCAATACTTATAAATCTAGGATGTTAATAATTTCTGTACAATTTTGACTAATAATGTTTTTTTTTTAAATCTTTAATTAAATAACCATCATATGTTACCGTATGTGTCGATTGTTCTTTATAATCACTTTACTGAATCGTGGTGTAAAGCTGATAATTTATATTTGATTTAGAACAACATATATAAACAAACAATATTGTTTTCGATTAGATCCTCATCGGACTTTAATATACAGTAATACTTATTTGCATATACAAAATTATTAAACCAATCAAGGCAGTTTATGAGTCAATGATAACGATGGAAAAGATTACATAATAAGTGAAAAGTACAAATTGATATTGATGAATAATAAAGGCTTAAATCAATGTTGCATAATCGGAAATTATTAGAAAAATATAGACAGTGAGATAACATTTATAAAAATTATAAGATTACGTAATAAGAAGTGTTCAGATAATTGGACCGTGAAACGTATATTTGAGAGAAAATAAAATAAAATGGTACGAGGCGGTGAAGAGAAAAATAATAAACGAAGAGAGAGTATAGAAAATAATAATGGATAAAATCATTTATTAAGGTCAAGGAAGAGATAAGGGTGTTACAAATTTCTTATGAACACAAAAACTTGTTGGCTCGAATTCTTATAGCTTCTGCTATGCGTAAGAGACGAGACCAAACACTATAAGGAAAACTAGTAGGAATACGATAAATAACTTTAAAGGACTTATTTTTGTCTACTATATGACCGCTATCGATCAAGTGTGATAGAACCGAGCTGCGTATCGTCTTAACAGTACGTTTTCCTAACCACGAAGGGAGGTGTTCACTAACTCTTTGGTTCAGTTGCCTGGTAGTGCGCCCAATATAGCTTTCTCCACAAGAGCAGCTGAATTCGTAAATACACATAGAAGTGGCATAACCAGGTAACTTATCCTTTAGTTGGGGAATCACCATAGATCGGGTGGAGTACGCCAGACAGGTTGGCTGCATTAAACGTTCTCTTTACTGCTCTAGTTTGACTACATTACCTATTCTAGTTTTCAGTAGCGTCCAGAAGTCATCTAACTTAAAAATGGTCGGTAGATACTGTATTGAGAGTAGATCCTTCGAAATTGGTTGGCATTTTCTATGTTGTTAAACCACCCATTTTATTTAATAAAAGACTGAAAATCCTGTACTTTCTTATTTTTACCGTATTGTATGTGTAATAAATAGCTAAATAAATTGTTTGGGCACTCAGTTTGGGGATTTATTTAGTAGCATTGAACCTCACATTATAAATGAATTCAGAGCCCTTCTGAACTGATATGGATTCATTTTGTGTTGCTATTAAATCTATTTTGGCAGTGGCGTAACACTTAATAACGCGATTTTGAATCAATGATGAGATAATAGTTAGAATGTTGACACTAATTGTGGTAGTCTATAAATTCGCTGTGGCAAGTAGTATGTAGCGACATGGATCGATGCATATGTGTCAGTCTTTACACTGGGTTTAATTAACTGAAACTAGAATACTTTAACCCAACTACATTTTGTTTAATTTTTATTCATCCGACTATTACCGTTGTACATCGAATTATAATCGTTGTTCCCTTTCGTCTGTGCAACCATGCATTTGGTCTTAGTAGCTACATATCCATTTGAAACAAGGAGAACATACACCTATTCAAGCTTATACTTGGTTTCACATATATGTCATATGTATCATTTTGATCGTACTGGTTATCAATATAAATAATTATTTACTTCCATTCGTGCACACTTTACGTTTGTGATTGTTTGCATATCTGTGGATGTTATTGCACTAACTTCATCGACTATATAAATTCATTCAACAATTCATGCAATGACTAGTCGCTACATTAATCCATACATTAGGCGATTCGACGCTTACACGCGAACGCCTTCACACTCACACGTACTTCCTACACCTTTTAGATCTTACACGTTTAGGGCCCCCAAATGCTCTGGTACGACCGAAGAACAGTGTCAGCTCTCCCGCTCAAAATGCTCTCACATGGTCACACGTATACAGCTATTGCCAAGGAAGTCCTACTCACTGCCTTCTCGCGGCGAGGGTGTTTTCTCACGAAATTGATATGACAATAAGCGAATGTCCGGCGCTTTAATGGGTTCGGTGGATATGGAGGATCCACCTAGGGGAGTTGAAAAACTCTGAATCCAAACCACTGGTGCACGTGGGCTCCAGTATCCTGAGGGAACAAGTGGCGTATGAACCTATTGTTGGTCACCGACTACCATGGAACTGCATCTCCTGACGTTGCTCCACTGCCTCGTGGATTAGATCTGGAGGCCAAAGGCTCGGTACGTAGCCCTCTAAGAAAATCATCTGATTCGGTTTGCGCTTTCGGGCCGTATTCCAGCCCTCGCACAAATCAAATGATTTATCTGACGCATATATATTTAGTGCCTTCTTGTACCAATGTTTATGTGTTTAAATAAGAATAATACACGTTTAAGTGTGTTGGTTACATTTTGTCTGAAATATATCCATTTCGAAAGATGCTGTTTCAGACTTCTTGATATCGTGTTATCGAGTCTCTTTATGATTATACAACTGGATTAGTCTAAGAATTATACAAAGTTAACACGAATCTGAAACCAGTGTAATTATATTTTATCACACAGTCAAGGTGTATGAGGTTTTTTTTATCTCGTTATTCTAATATTTAACAGAAATAGGGAAGTGATATATTTCTCCCTTTTTTTCTCCTTTCATTTCTTTATATGCAAATTAAGAAAACAGAAGATTTTACATATATTCCATGGATGTCGTACAAATGAAATTTGGCCTCAAGTGTATAAGATTTTCTCTCAATTTGTTAAACCTATACAGTGTACTGAATATGATACGAATTAAAGTTTCTTTATTGTCATTATTATCACACTCCTATTTTAGTATTATCGTAGTTGTACTTTTTAGATTTATTTGCATAAGACTCTAATCGGATAGTTCTTCGTATTATTATTGTCAAGTAAAAGATGTAGCTGATTTCTATGCATTAGTATTAACGAAAATAGCATGTTGATTGACCACTGATGTACAGTAATACAAAATATGGTCGAGTGATGTTTGTACGCAGAACTAAATTCTTGACGTCAGTCCCTCTTGAAAAATTACTAGTCAGAAGAATGAGGTTGTTTTCATGTAAAAAAAATGAAATGCTTGTCGGCAAAATATCAACACAAAGAAGGTGTAATATAACGTGAAAGATTCGGAAAAAATCAGCTTGTAAGTCACGTTCTAATCGATTAGGCGTTGACTGTTAAGCTGGTTGCTTGACTATCGTATAACTGCTAAGTTCAACTTCAGTAAATTTGTTATTTTTTTAATAAGCTGTATGTAACATAGTTGACGTCGACAAATAAAATAGTTTATGAAATCGTAATCAGAATAATAGTTGGAAATATAGGTCAAGTTATAAATCGCAAATACAGTGTGGTTTAAAAATATAAGTAGGTGTTAAGATCATCTAAACTGAGAGGAAGAAAGTTATTAATTGTTCATAAGAAATTTTAACCTTTATTTGAGAGCATAGTGAGGGGAAGAAGGCGACTCTCTTGTCTAACATATTTTGACGACATTGGAGTATTTCATCCCTTTGGAGTGAATCGATTGTCGTGATCCTCTTTGGAAATGGCTTGCATGATGTAAGTGCCGGTCATCAGGTGCATTTTTGATACCAGATGCGTCTGAAGTAGTTGCTTTTCACTCAATATGCCGATTGTCCAAAGTGCTTGGAAGGTAGTTTCACGGAAAGTAAATCTCAATTCGTTCTGGTCGTGGGTGTATTGGTTGTACCTTTGACTTTCGCCAAATTCCTAAGCATCAAATATTTCAATGAAATAGTTTTTGTATCTTTTAACATTAGGACTCCATTAAGCTCATGATATACTTTCAGCTTACTTCATAGAGGTGTTTGAGATGTTTATAAACATTTAAAAGCTGTTCGTAAGAATACCTGGGGTAACGTGAGGAATTATTATTACTTCTCAATTGTTGCAAATCAGTTATTCGGTCCTAACGTCCCATCGACGACAGCTTAGAAATAATTCTCACTGAGGTAGGGCAATGTGGTTAGACAGTTTGAGCTAAGAAGGGTTAAAGAGAGGTGGCACACATCTTTGTATATTGTTGACTGAATTCGTATATTACGAAGCCCTTATACCCACTTTTTATTCATGTTAATATAACTTGTGTTATTAATATTTGTTTTTTAATCAAACAGTCGGACAAGAGTGTCTCCGTTTACGTGATTTAGCCTCCTAGTTATAACATAGATGTTTGTGGTTGGTCACTCAGATAAAGATTGTTCGTTCCACTAACGTAAAAATTACTCAAATATCTAGTTAGTGTTCGCTAGTATCATTTGTGCCTTGGACCAATTGTATTGAAAATCATTTCTAAATGGCTAGTAGATACATCTGTATATACTCACAATTGTTGTTAAGCTATAAAAAAAGTAGTTGCAAAGTTTGTATTCATGCAGTAGTGTGTGCCTGTGGTAGTGCGGTAAAGAATATCCATCTACTTATAGGGATATCTAGTTTGACTAGAATTTCAAGCGCACAACGTCGATAGATTTGTGTGTAAAACCCTGACTATTTGAACTGAAGATGTCTGGTGGTTCTTTATATCGGGTCGGTGTTGTTGCTGATGGGCTGGCTACATTCAGTAACAAAATTGAGTTGTAAATCCTCTATTGTGATAAAGTACCACAGAACAATAAGGCCTAATAACTGAATATAGTGAGGTAGACATCCTAGGTACTGGATCTTAGGATTATCCCTACACGGGATAGTTACATCTACTGCTGCTGGGGTAAAAATAAACAGTAGTTAGTAAAAATCGTTTGCATTTATTTTCTGCTGTTAGGTGTTACTTCACTGGTATCCTTTGGACCGGTCCCCTGAAGGGACGCAGCTCGACTGCCAAAAATTCTATCAGACGGGTCTAAAATTGAATCAAATTTTTGATGCTCATGATCAATAGTAATATTCAATTTTTATAGAATTGAAGTTCATTTTTATTCTTATTTAAACTGTGTTTTTAAAACCTGTCTATACTACTTATATACACTTATTTACTTGTTGATTGTGTTTCATTGTTTTCTCGAGAAATTATCGTTTCACTTCGTATGCGCTTTTATGTATGTGTGTGTAAAATTCAAATAGGTTTACTGGATAAGTGTGTTACGGTGTTTTTCGTTAAACATTTGTTTTATTCAACTGTCAGTTAGCTAGTTAACCTTTCATTTACAATTGTATAGTATGAAACTGGTAGGTATCATCTCTAATTTTATCTAGTTTAATACGAGTTAAGTCGTAAACTTCACAGATTTTCTTACTAATTTATTGAAAACATCTTGCCACAACATAATTTAGCTTTTGGATATGATACGACCCGACTACCCGAATCAAAATAGTTGAAGTGCAGTTTGAGCCCATGACCTGTTAGTTGTAGGTCAGTCGAACTGACATTAACATTGTTCGAGAAAGCGAAAAGTCAGTATACATTTGCAATTATCTTTTCTGATATATTCCTTCGGAATAATTTTTCAAGCAACTATTTTTCTTGAATGATATAATGTTTCTGAGACTATGATAGGAGTATGTTTCATGTATAAAGGAGTATATATGTGTGTGCTCGTGTATCTATACTTTGGCTAATTCTTTTACATGCTTTTTGGTGTGAAAATGTAAACGAAGTAGTTACGAAATGGTAAGGAAATCGAAAAAAATGCCTCGAAATTTTAAAGGAAGAATCATCTTTATTCTAATGTAGATTAAATGGGAAACGGGACATTTAAAGAAAAAGGTTAGGAACGGGTTTTAATAAACAAAATACGGAGAATTATGTTTATTATGATATTTGAAACAGATTAGGTAATATTTATGCATAAAAGGATGTATCCTGAAATGTTATAACCATATTTCACTTACTGTTGACTAGCCAAAGGAATAATGGTGGGTTTGTGACTGTCATAATGAGGCAGCAAATCATATATATATAACTAAAGGAATTTTTATTGGTCATTAATTGCACTTTTGTAATATAAGGGATAAAAGACGAAAATAGGAAAAGGAAGAAATGATTCTGTTTTTCTTGTATCAAGGAAACTGTAGTTCTTCTGTTTCGTCAACATTTGTTTTTTGATCTAGAACAAGTTTGCATGATCTTAGTAAATTTGTGGGAATGATCACTGAAGTTAAATTGTTCACATTGTCAGCATTGAAATTGAACCAATGAGAATTAAGCCAAAAATCAACTGTTCCACGTTTCCTGTCAATATAAAAAGACTTATTTATTTGGGATGTTCATGGATGTATAGTTTACATCACGGACTGAATTTAGACAACCACTGCAACCAGAAGACACCAAACAGCTGTTTTGTAGTAGTAACAACTAGCATCCAACATCCCATCAGTAGCTCTAGGCGATAGTTGGTTATTATCGCAGTGTAGACCATTGGATGCCGTAGCCCAAGTCTTACGCGCTCACTGCAAGACCTAAATGTTAGATAATCGGTGGTGTTGTGTATGGAGTTCCATACTAGGTGGGGACAGATGTCCAGTGGTTCCTGGCTTTCGTTGGTTGTCTGAATAAGATCAGCCTGTGATGTACACTATAAAATTGAAATATTCCCACAAGTCGCTCATAATATTTTGTATCTATATTCATATTAGTATGATTAAGAAAATGAGACTTGGTTTGTAACTGAACTTTATGATTGAATGTGTTTATTATGAAAGATGTCAGAAACTTAAAGTACTCTCATTTTTGAATACTGCTTCGACAACTATGGCTCGTAAACTTTGAGTTTGGGGGAGGACAAAAAATGGGTGCACCTGCGCCATTGCGAACGATTTTGAGCCATGTCATTCAAAGTCTTCAACCACTGGTAACCACTCGAACCCATGTCAGATAATGTACATCTATTAACATGACCTAGTACAGTTGTCAGTAACGTCAAACTGGTGCCATGTTTTGGCTTGGTCGCCCTTAGCTTTCTTCTAGCCTACTTCTACACCAAACAACATCGCGCGTCTAGTAGGTGGTGATTGGACAAACGTAACACATGTCTCAATCGCTCCGGTCGATGAATATTTACTATCTCACCAATCGACCTACCATCTCTACGTAGTACCCTATTTTTAACCCAGACATTACTTAATCGATGGTCTCAAGATACACGAGCGATGTGCTCCAAAGACACCTATGACCAAGCACTAGTAAACTAAGAAAATCCTTTATTCCTAATAGTCATGTTTCACTACCATAGGGTAGAACAGAGCGAGATGCTGAACAATAAACTCGTCCTTTGGTGATGCAACTTGGGAAAGCTAATCGAACCTTTCGAATCGGTTGCGAGATTTCGTCAGATACCAGACCATTATGGCTGGTGAGACTTCCAAGATAAGTGGAGCGACCGATATGTTCAGTTACTTCACTCCTCACAATTAATTCAGCCGCTGATGCAGATCAATCATGAAGCAACATTTTACATTTGGAAGGAGAGAATCACATCCCAAATGTGCTTGGATTGTTGCTCAAAGTGGTCAGAAAACTGCATTTTGTCAGCATCTTCACCAAATAAAACTATCATATGAGTATTCCAAGTCAACAAGTGAATCTCTTGGTAGAAGATCAATTCCTGCAAGGTCAGGCAATCAGAGTACTTTATTTTAAAGAATGCATGGTTCAGGCGTCTAACCTATATGATTAAAGGAGAGAGCCATCCTAAGTAACGGAACACAATTTGAAATTTCCTAAAAATGTGTCATCTATTAGTTTCCTGAAGGAAACTAAACGATTTATATAGATGTCTTAAGGTCTCATTATAAATCATGGGTAAGGGGGTCTTAAACTAACACGAAACAGTTGTCTAAAGGTTTCACATATTCAGTCGCTTTTTAAGCAAAAGTGTCATTTCATAGCTCAAACAAATCCCAACTACAGTACATTGAAACCAAATCCTCCTTTCATTGATTTAGTTAAATCATGACATCGAATTTGTTTTCTCCCCATTGGATTTAAGTATTTTACCACCTACAAGTTTATCAATTGATTAACGAGCATATATATTGAAATATATATATATATATATAACCGGAAGATTTACCTTGGTGAAGGATTAAGACAATTGTATATAAATTTTCTTGCAGGTTTGGAAAACCTTTTCAATTTTTTAATATTTAAATGATTTCGTAAAGTATTTTCAGAATTAATTGTAGATGACAATTCATTAGATTGTTTAATCTTGGTTTTATCATATTGCTGTTTTATTGATTCATCAGATGTCGAATTTTTTCTTTGAACATCAATTTCATTTGGATTTTCACCTGTCAGTCTAAATACATAAAACAAATAGAATAAGTAAGTATAGACCTTGAAGATTAAAAAAGTGATAGATCCTGTGAGGTTTTATCAACAATATAACATGTATATTTTTAAAGGTTTCTGTTATTTCGCTGTTGATATTTAGGACTGAACTTTAATCAGTCTTAATCGACTTAGCCTTATTAACACTAGAATACAATTGCATCCAGCTTGTGAATTAAAAATAAGATAAAATGTGTCCTAGATCTCACTCTTAGTCACAGTCGAAACTAGAAGTATTAACTGTATGCTAAACCTTATTTATTTTCTATAGATGATTATTAATTTAAAGAAAAATGATTTAAGAAATTCTGACTGAAAGGGATTCTTATTGTTAGAGGATTCATCATTTTTAATAACAAATTATATAAGTTAATGCTCAATAAGCGACTAATTTAAACATTTAAGTCCTACGGGAAGTCAGTAGGGACTGAAATAGTCCAGTTTTTACGCTTCCCAATTCAATATTAGGACAGAATTGAATGCTAACTTAAGCATTAATTTGTCAAGAATGTAGATTAATTTTATTGGTTGGCATCATTTAACACAAAACATAGCTGCAGGACCTCTCTATGACTACGCTCAGCCATCAAACAGTATTCAAGCTGGAAACAATCCTTGCCTGAAAGAGATACTTAAATGAGAAGTTCCAGTTTGTTGAAGGCTACTAAATTTAATATTGGCCTCAGGATTACTGGGATAAGGTTTGTAATGTTGAGAGATATTCTGTCTAGCATAATTGTCCCGTTTTCCAATAAAATAATTATCACTACAAACTGACGTCAATTGAAAGACTATTTGAAAGTAGTACACTATAAACCTCTCTCGCCGTTGTATAGAATTCTTAAACATCGCGCAGTCAGTAGGATATAATTAAGCCACAATTTCACTATCTACACCGTGAATTTATGTTGATTTGTGATGTAGAGCATTCTTCATCCAATTCTACTAACTATAAATTTTTGAATCCCGAGATCATTGAGCTCTACAGATCGGGGCTTGGCATAAGAACTTTGGGCAGTTCACTTCCAGCTGAAGTCGGTTCCTGATGACAATCATCTTGAAATTATACTGCATTTTCACAAACCACCTAACTTACAAGTCATTCGAATTTCATGAAACTTACAATAGTCTCATGACAGCTCCCACACTCCACAAATCTGAAGCCATTGATTTCGACTGATTCTTGCATAACTCGGGAGCTAGTTTATAAATAAATAAAGAAAAAACGAATTAATAAACTCAACAGAATCAAACAACTGAGACAGATATAAATAATCCTAAATATAAATATTTTTATTATATGCCTTAATCTTTCATACGTATGTTTATTTATTTTTCCAACATGGTTAGTTTTTATTTTAAAGTTGTTGCTAATAATCATAATAGTTTCGGATAGGAAACATAAGACTCACGTTTCCTGCTATTTGACACTCATCACCTGGATTTATTTGCATCATAATGTCTATATTCATAACGAGAATCTAATTTAATATATTCTGTTACAAACGCTGATGCATTACTCGCTGAACTGCTGAGTCCTAGTAACCAACTTTTTCAACTGGTTTGAAGATATTCGTAAGGATTCATGGTTTTCTATTGTTGATATTTAGTTTCAAATAATAATAAACTCATGTCCTACGTCCCACTGATAGCCAAATATCGAATGTACTAAAACCTTGTGACTACGTAGAGACAGTTCGTTGAGGATGTAAATACATCAACGGAAACTGATCATTTGTAGTTATTATCAATAAACCAAGATTACAAACCGTCTGCTAATACCATTAGATGGCATTTTGAAAATCACAGAAAACTAAAAAAAATACTTCGTAATCACTTGTTCGCTAGGAGAATGCACACTATATTCAAGATTTATAAATTTTATATCTCCTGTATCACTGTCTTCGCCCAAATGCTAAGCTTTTCAATTCCTCATAATTTTTTTATTACATTGATTTATATTCTCTCGAATCGTATCTTGGATGCGTAATCTTTTCTAATGCCTTTGGAACTGTTATTACATCTAATACCCTAGAATTCTCTCTAATGATTTAGTCTCACTGTGTTAATGTGGTATAGCAAATTGAACCGATTTACATCTGTACTGGGTTCTACTTTGAGTTTAACGGACTGATATCACTTTGAACTCAAAATACAATAGTTGAATTGTTCTTTTCTTGCGTATAATTAATAAAACTGTTATCCGATACTTCTGTGGAAGTCATATCACCATTAAATGGTTCATAAACTATCACTTAGAAACTTTAATCAATATTTGTTTATCTATTCGCTGATGCATACAAGATTTTATTGTGAATTAGAACAACATAGTTTTTAATTAGATCCTCATCAAGCTTTACTCTCGTATACAACAATATTTGCACGCATATATGAAATTATGAAACCAATCAAGGGAGTTTATGAGTCAGTGATTACAGTGAAGTAGATCATATAAATGAACATATTCAGTAAATGGTATAAATTGATATCGTAATGACAGGTGGAGTTCGATATTGTCTCTTACACACCGTGGCAGCCATAAGGATTCAATCTAACAATCCAAGTCTTTCTGTTCGTAAGAAATTTGTAACACCCTCATTTCTTACTTGGCCTAATTAGCCTTTAATTAATACAGATGATTGATTACTGTATCAAAGTTACACCGCTTTTATCGTTGTAATACGTATACTTTATTTTTAGTAGTATTACAAAGACAACTGAAATACAATGTTTTTCATGAACCTCAGTAGTAATTTACTAGGTTGATGTTTACGTTTAATTTTCAGTGAATTTGAAAAGGTTTATGCAGGTTCAATTTTCCAAATACCATTTGAAATATAATAATTACTAAGTTTTAGATCATTTACAATAGCTACGTGCTAAGCTTAAGCGCTGAATATAATAATTATATATTTGTAAGCAACAAACTATGTGGATTAAAATTCCCTAAAATTTACCTGAAAAGTAGTTGTTGGTTTCATCTAAAACAGATTCATGACCGAACCCAGTCAATACAATATCTGGGAGCGAAGATGTCCGTCGTGCAACAAGTATATGTTCCGGACAAATATTTCCATGTGGTTGTCCTAAAAAGCATGCGTAGAACCATTTTAACGCTGAAAGAATTTGTTGACTCCACATCATAACAGAAAATTCAGTATATTCTACTCGACCGCACAAAACATCAATAAGACGTCCACCAGGAATCCATTGCATTACTGATATACTTCGTGTCGGTTTAACTGCATCATCTTCTAACCAACCAGTTGACCAACCAGATGGTAATAGTTGTCGTTGATTAGTATAAAGATATGAGTTATGTTGTTCACTATAAAAATCTTCAAATGAAGAATATGTTCCACCACAAGATCCATGAAGAATAGTAAGCATTAATGCTTCACGACGGGCTTTTTTCAATAGATTATTATCTTCTAAGTTAAGATATGTGATTTTGCTTAGTAATCTAGGTGGGAGAGATATGCTTTGATGTCGAACATTATTGAAATTCACTCCTTCACTTAGCATTGGATGAGTTTTTCCAAGAATAAGTTTTGTATATGTTCCTCTAAAAAATACATTAAAACTTAAATGAAAAGTTATTAGAAGGGTAAATTAAACGGATTGAATTTGTTCTTTATTTATCGAATAAAATCAATTCACATATATATTACTTATAATTTAATTCACAAAAACGTATTAACGTTGTAAAGATTTAGTTAATTGCATTACGTTATTTTCAGTCGGAGAATCACTGAAAACAAGGAAACGATGGATATTCTGTCATAGCTTACAGCTCATCAGAAATCCATACTAATGAACCATATAAAATGTAACTTACGTCCTTGATGATCTTATGAAGAGCTCATCACTATTGTTTTGCTGACCAAGAGTTTAATACCCAACATTTTCAGTTGTCTAGTATCATCTACCTCACATCCTAATAAGGTAATGGGATTTTATTAAATCTTGAAACATAATTCTTTAAAGAAACCATTGATGAGAAACTAACTATTAATATATGTTTATGGAAATCAGTTAAAATAAATATCACATGAAAATAATGGTTATGTCACATATTTGAACAACAGTTTCTCCAATAAGCATTTCTCGGTCATGATTACTTACTTATTTATCAAACAAATTGGTCTACATATGGATTTCAATACATCTAAACTTGGAATTATCCCATTATATCGATTGAGTTTCTGTAAAATTTTGTCTGGTGGTGGAGGTACACTGATTGGCTGATCAATTGCATATTGTAAAGCTATTGGATGATCGCTTAATGCGTAGATATTTGCTGATTGACGCCAGTTGAAGATCCATGTTCGTTCATTGGGCGATAGAATAGTTGGTGACTGATCCATAGAAACTTATCAGAACAATAGTAAAACATGCGATTATTAGCGGAGAAAAAGTCATTTCTGAAAAATTCAATCATCAAATTAACAGATCTACGACTTATCAGATACTAATATCTGATTTGTTCAGCACAACTACTTGTAGAAAAGAAATTGATCAGAACTAATAACTGTGCGATTTGTTTAACTGTCGATCAGTGGTTTGTGTAAATGTTGGTGGATTATTTACAAAGGCTAGTCGAATTCTACATTCTAACCCTAAAAAATGTAGATAGATTCCAAATATCTTTATCCAGCCTTAATAATATAGAAGGAACGAATTGAGCGAAGAAATTTCTTTTCAATTAGTTTTTCGTCATGGCTCTACACTAAAATATATACGTTTTACAATAATAATATATTACTCGTCGAGTAGATACGTTACGTAATAATTACATAATGGCATTTAAATTAACATTGATTATTTGGAAGAAAGAGGATTATTAATATTCAAAGTGATCAAAGTGCTACGTTGCGTAATGTAAGAAACAAAGAAGGAACAGAATTTTAACGGATGGTCAATAGGATGGTAGTTACGTAAGAATCAAGAGATGAATGTTGAGAAGTTATTAAGTTCAAAAGCAACAGAAACAAAATTACAAAAGTTTAAAAAAAAAACAAGTGGAAGAAGTATGAAAAATAGTTCTTTTGAAGGAAATCTTAAACTGATGGGACAATTTACTTAATACATTTAATAACGTTCATCCATCAATTAATTTTACATCAGAAGATGAACAGAACGACAGCATATCATTTCTAGATGTCCAACTAAAAAGGAGAGCAGACGGAACTTTAAAAAGAGGGGTACACACGAAGTCTGCAGCAGGACAATACACTCATTTCCATAGTGCGGTTCCAATCAGATACAAAAGGAACTTGATAAAGATCTTGACACATCGGGCTAGAATGATTTGCTCTGAAGACACCATGGAAGAAGAATTGAATAATATTCGGAACCTACTTAGTATGAATGGGTATCCCATGAAATTCATCGACAAACATATGATGGAGAAGAAAACAAGGAAAAAGATACCCACCGTCCATAAGAAGGTACTGTTCATAAAACTACAATTCATAAATGACACCATTGAAGAAATCTTGACTCAGAAACTAAGAAGAGCCGTACAAAAGACATTTAATGCTGCCAGATTAAATGCCATCTTCTACAACTATCCCAAAATAAGAACAGCCAACAAAGACAGACTGCCTGAATTCGCCAAATCTATGTGTATTTATCGTTTCAACTGCTCCTGTGGAGCCAGTTATATTGGGCGTACAATTCGGCAAGTCCGTCATCGCATTACTGAACATCATCCGTCGTGGTTAAACAAAGGACAGGTAAAAGTGATTAAAAGTTCTATTCTCTCTCACTTGGTTGACACAGATCATCAAGTCGAATTGAATAAAGCTTTTAAGGTTATCTACAATATCCCATCTAATTTGCCACATGGTTTACGAGTGCGCCTCTTGCACATTGCGGAAGCCATCGCAATCCATGTTCACAAACCTGACCTTTGCATTCAAAAGAGATTCGTACAACCACTTTCCCTGCCCTGGCCATCAGTTTAAGATTTCCTTCAAAAGAACTATTTTTCATACTTCTTCCACTTGTTTTTTTTTTAAACTTTTGTAATTTTGTTTCTGTTGCTTTTGAACTTAATAACTTCTCAACATTCATCTCTTGATTCTTACGTAACTACCATCCTATTGACCATCCGTTAAAATTCTGTTCCTTCTTTGTTTCTTACATTATGCAACGTAGCACTTTGATCACTTTGAATATTAATAATCCTCTTTCTTCCAAATAATCAATGTTAATTTAAATGTCATTATGTAATTATTACGTAACGTATCTACTCGATGAGTATTATATTATTATTGTAAAACGTATATATATTAGTGTAGAGCCATGATGAAAAACTAATTGAAAAGAAATTTCTTCGCTCAATTCGTTCCTTCTTTATTTACCAAACGGCAAAATGGGAATTTTCACCATATTAATAATATAGGTTGTTATAGCGTCTTCGTCTCTTCTCGCTGCCTCATTTGGTTGTTAAACGATTAGGATTGTGCATTGTAGACGGACTGGACAAAATACTACAATAAGAATCGCTATATAATTATTTTACTAAATGATAGGCATGAAACCTGGGTGAATAATGAAATTTGGTAATTCAATACAATACTAATATTTGTTAGTCTAAGTTACCGTTAAGGATTTGATGCACATTTTTATTGAGTAAGGTCTTAACTTACCAATAGGAGTACGGAAATCAGAAGATGCAATGCTGTAATTGCCCCAACCGAATGAATTTCTGGCGGATACACGGACACGATAATATACACCAGGTTTAAGATTATTAATAAGATATCGACAATCTACGGTGAACCCAAGTCGATGCCATGAAGGTGGTTCATTATCACGTTCTGATAACAGAAAAGAAATTATTAAAAAGTTACTTGTTTGGTCAGATTGTTTAAAGAAAGTGTAGAATAAGCGGGACCATTAATTAGTAACTTTACGCTTTTCGGTTGTAATACCCTCATTATTTTCTATGGCTTTTTTCCATGGTCGATGTCAGTTGTAAAAGTACCTGGAACTATAAATCACCAGAGTTCTTTTGACATATTATCGATGGGAATCTGTAGGCTTATTAGGTATCTAACAGAAAAAGTTTACTTCTCTATGATTCTACTTTTACTTTGAAGTATATTTTAGATGAGAACTATTTGTATGGTAGCCACATTACAAGTATCTCGGAAGTCAGATAACTCAATATGTAGCTTAATCCAGTATTCTACCCATGGTAGTTAGGGAAGTAGTCTTATAAAATGCTAGTGTATAGAAGCATTACGAAAACTCTGGAACGTAGTTGGAAAGTATATTTTATAACTTAATTAGTAGAATATTAGATTAGTTGTGTCTAGCTCTAAGATTTAAGTAGAAGGTGATAGCTAGGAACGTGGATGATGTGAGTTCCAATTCTATAAAATACATTGGTTCGCTCAATATTCCACTTACGACTTTCTGACGATTCCCAGCTAGCACGAAACCTAGATCCAGAGTTACCTGGTGACTTTTATCAAATAATCTGAGAACATTTGTACTAGTGGCAACAGTAAAACTTGTTCATCTGAGTTTGCTCAGCACTAAAAGACTGGACAAACACGATATTGATTACTACTTAGTAATCAATCATTTAAAACATCTCAGTCTCGTATGAGGCCAGTTGCAGCCTGAGTATCTTCCCAAAATCTAGTTAGATGATTCAGCTCTTAAAATATCCTGTGTAACTGATATCTACTTATAACACGAATTTCTTATTTGCTTACCAATAACTGTGAGAGGATCTCTGAACAAGTATCAAAAGATTAACAGTTAATGTCCGTAGACTAACTAGTAGTGCTATAAACAAACACCAGTGATTGGGGTACGTAGCAGATCCTTAACAAATAGAAGTATTGATCATTGTATTTTACAGGAGCCCTTTGCTGGGATGCTCCAAAATAGATTTGCAGTTCACGTGACATAACCATAGTGACTTAATATTACTCGTTGGTCTCGGTCACATGTTTCCTTCAACCTCAATGATTACATAAACATATTCACAGTTCGTTTTATCATAATTATCATTTTTATCATTACTTAAAAGAAATAATGAAGACCCGAACACTTAAGCTATTGAAATCTTCATGCTTTTTCAAATTTTCCGTATAGGGTTGTGAGGATCGTTGAGTTTAGATTGATATCAAATTTATTAATCTACTTAAATTTTATCATTAGAATGGTAAATTTAGTAATGTTATTATTGCAATTACTGTGTGACATCATATAAGAATCTCCTTGCGTAAATTTATTCTTATTTTTTGACTGATTTTATGAATTCAGACAGGATGTTATTAATCAGTCATTTGCATTCTCCTAATAATTTTTGATCTTTTATCAATGTACGTATGTAAGTGCTTTTTATTTATGCGTATTTCGATTTATGGTTTACCCTATTCTTTGTCTATCTGAACTATGAGTAAGCTCATAAAAAAGATGTCGTATAACCAAACCAAGCAGCCCCACTTATTCAATTTTCATTTATGTGTATGTGAATATATGAAATATTATGTATTCAGCTACATTTCAAAGTTGGCTTTTCAATATTGTCATTGTACAAGTTAGGGTTATGATGTAAGACGGTGTTTAACAGTAGTCGTCAGGGAAAACCTTGAACTTATGTTTCGTACTATTTGGGACTCGTCAGCAAGATGAACTTATGATCTTGAGGGAATTGATGAGGCTTAGCCTAAGTGATGTATATGAATTAAGGTCAATTGGAGTTAGAATAAAGTCTGTAACTGTCATTGATTATAATTATAAATATTTAAATTAACTGCGTATTATTTGGTATATATTTCGTAATAAACATTTATAAAACATCGTACTTTGAAAAGTTGTATGTGTGAGGTTATATAGTTGTATATGAAGTGAAATGAATTAATTTACTTCTACAATATTTGTTAGTGAATCTTATCAGGTGAATTAACCGATTAAATTGACATAACAAGTTGACATACATTTCTCTTAAATTATTTAACAAATAAAATTTCTGAATTTATGCTGATTGTATTTGTCTAAAGTGTTTTATGGCTTATTTCTTGATCGATTCTTTGTAGTTTTCAAGAATAATTATAAATTTATTAATGCCATCATATACCCTATAACATTCATATTGTGGTATGTGCTACTTATATTGACATAATTAGTATATGACGTTAGTCAGGAAAGAATGTCTGGCAGCAGAGAGATGAGAGGATCGAACAGTAAAAAATGGAAACAGAATGCAACACGAGAACAATGATGTCTGAGCCATTTTGAGACAACTGAGGGTCATTTTGCAAATTGAGCATTTAATATATGGTTGTTATATTTTATTTGCAAGTTCTGTAATTTCCTGTCAAATACACTCGATTGTCCCCACTCGTGTTCTTGTTCACTGCAATATGACTACTAATTTAATATGTAACTAAAATGTATACGTCTTGTAGAGCCATAATACTTATCCTCTTATGCATTTAAACTGTTAACGTTATCGACCGTAAAAATACGCTGTAATCAATGACGAATAATTAATCAATCCATAATGCTGCGTGAATTCTATAGACCAAGTTACAACGTGACTTCTAGTCATTTAGTGACGACATTGTATGCAGTCCTACAGGAGGTGACTTGCGACATGAATTTTTCATTGATAATGTCTCTGTCTGTGATAGTGGATGGTACCGATTTAAATCTCATGAGGAGCATCTATTCCTTTAAAATGCTGGATATGCTTAGTTGACGAATACCAAACAGCTCGAAACCAAGATTCATAGATTTCTGATGACTGCCTTTAATCAAATAACTTCTGAAATAAAAGTTATCTGAAAATTTATATATATATATATATATATATATATATATATATATATATATATATATATATATATATGTAATACGTTTTTATATTTGGTCAAGGTAACTTTTTACATAAACAAGCACAATTATTGTCTGTCACAGTCAAAATAGTATCTTTTTATATAAGGATATTTTTACCTGAATATTTGATATCAAGGCGATAAATCAGATCTTCATTCGAATCTGATGTTGAAGATAGCCAACTAATCAATGCTTCTGTAGGACGAATATCGATAAGACCTGGTCGACCAGGGGGTTTCGGCATATCTGTAATAAAGAAAAATAAGTTTGATACTAACATATTTCATGTATCTCACAAAAAATACTAAGTATAGATTGGGGATAACTTGTGCAATGGCAAAACGACTAGATATTTGAATGAAGTGATTAGGATCATGATGCACAATACATTACTTATGAAAAATAGGATTATTTAAATTAAAGTACAAATTACGAAAAATGGAGACTATTGAAACTTACCACTAAATAAAAGTCGTGCTTTTGTTCTTGATTTTCCAGCACGATTTCTTACCACGCATTCAATAACACTGCGATCTTGTTCCGGACGAAGATCACTTAAACAAAGCCATAACCATCCTCCTTGTTCTACACCTAAACTAACACCTGGGCCATCGGAGAGTAAACAACCATCTAAGTACCATGCGGCAGCAGCCGAAGAACTAGTGATTTTATTAAAATTCAAGCCGGTTGGATATATTTCACTGATAATTTCTTCATAATCACTAATACCCTCTGGAAGGTAGGGAGCACTAGCAAGTTGACAAGTAAATCTCACTTCTCTTGTATGGACGCTGAAATATGCATCTCGAAGTAGACTAGCAAACACTGGAGCTAAATAGAGAAAAAAAATCGTTTTTCTAAAAATCAGTGTTGATTGAAATTGATACAGTTTTTATCACATCTAAGTGAATGAAATTCAATATAATACAAGTATTCAGATTAGTATGTAATTGACTGCTTCTTGAATTCAAAGGGGATATTTCGTACTAAGAAATCTTTCAGTTGTTCCTAAAAGCTCTTGATTTCTCTCAATTTCAGTTGGTTATTTAATAGAAAAAAGTAATAATCTGTTAAAATATGCCACTGAGAAAATGTAGGGCTGTAAGTTTAAATTACCAATAATATAAACAACAAGCGAACGTTTCACTCATTTAAAACTGACACAAGTAGCATATCATGGAAATGAACACAGCGTAATTAAAATATTTCTCATTTTTTGATTTCAAGTTCTTTTACAAAAACAAATTATTAAAGACGACCTACCACTAAATTTATTTCCAATCTCATTACGTTTTACTGAAGTGGGTTGATTTTCTTGATCAGGATTCACTGATGATTTTTCTTGTTCTTTTATTAATGTATAAGTTGATTCTTCTAAGGAAGTAGCTTCTGTAAGAGTATTTTGTCTTTGTAAATTGAATTTCTGCTCAATTATTTCCGACGCGTCGTCTGCAGTAGGAATATTGGTGTTTGGTGGAATTATAAATCTTTCATCATGTGCCTCATATCGATCAAGCAGTTGTGATTGAGATTCACTTCCAGAAAAAAAAGAATTATTTAGTCAAAGGAAATATTTTTAAAGGAAATAGCATATAATAAATTTAGCTGTTGTCATTATCGGATTTATATGTCTCACCCCATTTGTAACTGTGATTACTCAGTGAAGTATTTAGAATGTTAAACATAATAGTGAAATTTGTTGGCGTTTCTTGTAGAAGGAGTATTTAATCTTTTTGAGTAAGTGGATGACTACAAAAAATCTCTTCAATTATTATTGTTTTATTCAAAGGTTAGAATCTCAGATTAGATGGTATGTTCTGAATGAACCTTCATTCTCGTCTGACGTATGGAGTTCCTAAATGTATACATTGTTAGTACATGGTTTCATATTCCGATTGTTTTACCAACTCCAAGATGGGAAAAAATACGTATTCTGAATTTAAATTATAACAAATATTGAAATACGTGGACAAAAACGTTTGATTAGTCTGATTAGTTATTGTTCTTGATATTATGTTTGGATTCAAGAAGCAATTGTAGTAGTGTCTAGCCAATGAAACTTTAGTGATCGTTTTGGTGTATTTCGAACTGAAATGTATATGCTTTTATCTAAATTGAATGAAATTGGAGATTTGATCAATCAAAATGATATGCAGGATAAATGTTCGCTTCATGGTTTATCTGAAGCTGATAATTTGAGCCAAATTACAGTTAATTTTATGCGAACTATAAAAGAGTTTTGAGGAGAGTTATTCATTTTACAGATGACAGTCATCACAGACTGACTTTGGTCGGAATATCATTGAATATCATTAAAAACTGGGGAGGACTGCATAGTTGTTTCTTCCTGAAATTTTAATGATACACCTACTAAGATTAATTTATGACAACCATATAATTAGTTTTACCAGTATTTATATTCGTCATTTACTGATATGATAATTATATCAAATGACTGTGAGTCATACACATTGAGTTCTTGATCGTCTGATTGGCTAGCTGAAAACAGGTAATATAATAACATTGCTTTTGTAGCAGTGCCTATTCTGGAGACTTGAAACCACCGTTAATAGATATACAAAGGTGTCTGCATATATACACAAATGTTGAAATGATAAAGGCCCATTATTATTTAAAAATCAGTGGGTAAACGGTAAACTAATTCATAGATTAGTGATCCGATATTGGTTGGTGAGTGGAGATAGAGACTTAGCTATCCCTTATGTATAAGACACAAAATACAACTATGAACTCTTTACTACTACTGATTTCACCAAACTGGATTTGGGATTTTACACTGTGTAAATGAAAGGTTATTTTGGTTTACATTATCTTGTTCTCAATGGTTAATCGGAATTGTGTATTGGTGTATCACGTGATCTAGTGTAATGGTATAATAATCTACTCTACTATCTAACATGTTGGTCTATTGTACCCAGTCTATTATCGTATCTACCAGTTGTATCACCTGAGAAAATATAAATCTTATTAGATTCCTTTGTTACATCATGAACATATTGTAAATCCAAAGAATGATCCTAATAAATCGATAAAATAGCATTGAGAACAAACGAATTAATTTTCACAAGTCGTTTATTAGTAACTGATGAGAAACTTTTCCAATATTTGTTTTACCTGTATGGCTCGGAACTTTCTCGTAAACCAAGAATTGATGATGATCGCGAAGAAAGTACACTTTCTGTATCTTCACTTGGAGTTGGCTGCCTTATCATAGAAGCTAAATGATTTTTCAAATCAGAATTATAATTTTTCTCATCACTGATAATGTAAACTGGTTGCTGAAAAATAAAAAAAAGATTAATATATACAATAAAAGTGCAGGAAATATGTGAAAATAAACTTATCCACCTTGATCGCTGTAGATATTATGTTATTTAAAGTAAAGTGAAAATCACAGGATTTTATTACTAAATACATTGCAAAAACTTTCTAGTACATTTGTTTGGTATGTTAATATGTAATTGAGTACACTTAGAAAATATACCGGTTGTGAAATGTCTTACTTCATAAAAAACTATGAGTTTTACTTATCCATTGTCTAAATTAATTGGAATTCATTTAAGAAGATTGTAATTAATATGAATTCTTTGGGTAGAATAGTTTTTTTTTGTATATTGAATGCTACATTAGTAAACATCTGTGTTAGATAAAACTCTATTGACATTTTAAAGTTACATCAACGGGGAATTAAAATATTTAGATTAAGATTTTTTTAGGAAAAAATTGAATTTACTTAATAACGTTAAGTATAATATATTATCGAAACTATCAGCTGATATTAGTTACCAGTACCCGAATCATTATTTGTTTGTATAATAAACATTGGAAATCAACCAAGTTATTAATCCTCAGCCTATTTTATAATCTTTAAGTGGTTTTAGCCATACATTTCTGAACGTTATGGATTGAAATGTGACATTGGTCAGCTTATCAGCGAAATTTATTAAGTCATCTTTGTATTACTCTCAAACAACGACTCATAGAACTGCATGTAAAATCACTTAACCTTTCAGTTAATATATGCTTTTAAAGATAATTAATTCGCTTCACATGACTGATATTTCAATTAAATCTAATACCGACAGGTAGTATGATCACATTTTGATTTATAAACAAGCACATGATGTATACCTATATATTTTTTCAATGTTATTTATTGTAATGAACTAGAAAGCTTCTCAGACTCTGTTTATTTCCAAAGAGATTATTCAATATTGTTAGTTTTTTCATCTATAGATTATATTAAGCGGTGGACGTCTTTTAAATAATTTTAAATTCGAGTGAAGTATAAGCTGAACACTATTTGGTTTCTAAATGCTTTAACTGATATCAAGTAAAAACTAATAATACATATTTGTAGATGGATATATAAATAGATGGCTAAAAAAATTCCATAAATTGTAGATAGCAAGAACAAACAATTAAGTAGAATAGCCTGAATTCATTAAATAACTTATATGTATGAATCTTCTGGAAAATCCCCTCGTTGTATAATCATTCAAATCACTAAATTACTTGTTGACAATACTCCATAGAATATCAAGAAAGTTAACAAGAAGGGTAAGTAAAATGAATTCATTTTATTCTGTCCTATTCTTTGTTTTAATAGTTGAAATCATGAGCCAATCGAAGCTAAACCACCATGGAAAACCTGGAAGAACTGGACGGCCGTTTCTTCCCAGTGTGGGACTCCTCAGCAATGTGCATCCACGATCCCGCCCTTCGCGAGATTCGAACCCAAAACCTGTCAGTCTCGCGCGCGAGCACTTAACCATTAGACCACTGAGACAACCAGCATCCGATGGTTTTGATGTCTAACTTCAACCAATCCACGAAATTGCGCCACCGTACACTGTTGTCTTCAGTGAGCTGATATGTCACAACAGACCTTGTTGAACTCCACTGGTAACGGCTTCTCACTAGAACTACAGGAGTGTCTCTTGAAGTCAGTCACTAATGAGCAAATGATTATTATCAGAAGGTGTTCTGTGGAGAACTTAGAAATTTGAATAGTTGAAATCATGAGTTAATTCTTTATTCTTGCTCACTTCAAAGTAATAACTATCTAAAAACAATTTATTTACTTACTATTGAATTATAGAACTCTTTATATTTCTTCAATTTTTTTAGTATATATTCTGATTTATTTTCAGAATGTGAAAATATTTGAATCCATGGATGAGATAAACATTCTTTAGCTGAAGGTCTTTTTCTGAAAGATTTCAAAATATTAATCTATCATTTATATACTGAAGTCTAAAATTAACGAGTTTCCATATTAATAATGCATTGATATTATAATAAAGCGATTTCTATTCAAGCTTTGTTTTGTTATGCTTCATAAAACAAAAACCGTAGTGTTCTCTTACAGTAATAAATGTTTTGCTCATACTTTACTGTGTAGTTAAAAGTTCAATACAATACATACAAGTGTGTGCATTGAGTTCTTTATCTTTAGTCCTGTTAAAAGAACATACTGCTTAGATCTGGGAACTTATTAGCTAGTATAATATATTCGATATTACTACTATTACTACACATAATAGTAAATATAACCGATTCATTTGTGTTTTTCTGAGATAGATGGTTATGGAGAACAAATCCCTATGAATAGTGATTAGAGGTTTTGCCTTACGGGTAAACTGAAACAATTAATTAAAACACATACACAGGATTTGATTTCTCATTTTTTCATCAAATCCACGTCTGAATGATTTTTTAATTCGGAAATATTATTTATTTGTAAATATTTGGGTCTTCCCGTTGATGTTAAGAATTTAATTTTGATAAGTAATTATGAGCATATGTACCTGCTAAGAGCGTTACCTTAGTATTGACATCAAATTACAAGTATTTTAACTAAAGATAGTAACTAGCAATGAAAATCCAGACGCATTTTTCTTGAAATTGGTCAACTAGATTTACCTGCATCCGTGTTAAGCTTCACTCAGTGATTCGAATGCAGTGCTCTTCGCTTCAAATCCCAATGCGTTATCTACTGAGCTAGTGAGTAAAATAGGTACATCCAAATGATTAGTCTCAAACTGAATGGGAAGGACCTTCCGAATTTCGTTCAGCCTAGGGGATACATTACTAGCAAAAGTACTTCATTGATGTGTACAGTAACTATATACAGCTACTGTTACGTTTCCAAAAGACAATCTGAAAGTAGAGTCATATCATTAATTCGTTGATATACACTGATTTTTGTTTTAGGACACATTATCTCACTCATACTAAAGATTTCAAGGGAATAATGTTTTGAAAATGAATCCTTATTGTACAGTTCTATGTCAAGTAATTACACAATACTAACACTTACGTAGGGTCAGCTTGTAAAAGTTGTGAAATAAAATCTTTGCCTTCATTTGAAATATTTTCCAATTCTGGTACATCGAATGGAATAATAGCTTGTAATATATTGTCAGTTAGAATACTACCTGTCTCATAATCAATAAAAGGAGGCCAACCGACAAGTCTACAGATAATAGAAATAACAGGGATAAATCAATGAACACTGTATGAAAACACGATTCAAAATACAATTTAAACCAAATGTTGTAAGGCTGTTTTTATTTCATTTTGTATTCATTAGATAAATACTGGGGTACATCAAGTAAGGGATATACTATTATCAAATAGTGGTTTTACTGTATTTTCTAAAGTTGTGTTTTTTATTAACATAATATATGGTAATTCTTTATCATGAAATTATTCGATTGCTATTGGACAGAATAATGAATTTTAAGCTTACTTTCTTAAACATATGGTTGGGATCACGAACCGATCTTGTTTAGAAAACAATTGAAAACCTGGAGGGACGATATAATTGCCATGAGCTCAGTAATGACAAGCATCGGGGGGAAATTTACAGCGTTCTAGTATTATGTCTTGATCAGTTGAGCTCAACTGTATTAAGCGTGAAGAATTTACCCACTGAAGACAATGAAAGATGGTTGCACAATATCGGGAACTGATTGAATTTGGACTTCAATACCATGGGTTCCTGACTCGGTGGTTGGAGGTTAGGCGTTCGCGTGCGAGACCAAATGCAGGTGGCGTTGCCGTGAATCCACATTGTGAAGGGGTCTCGTACTAGAATCAAACGACTGTCCATCACTTCCAAGTTTTCGACGGTTGTTTAATTTATATCGGCTAGTGATCTCAAATTCAACAATCTTCACATCCCCATTTTGATATACATAAGTGAAATTTTTCAGGAATTCTGAATTTTGTATTACCTTTGATAGTAACTGACAGTTGAATGCAAAATTTAAATCTTGTCGCACTTGGAAATAATCAGTTAGAAGTACATGGATATGGGTGAACTGGTAGTCAGTCTAAGGTTTTGACCAAACATTAAATTTATCATAACTAGCCACCAGTTAATACAATATCATTGGGTTTATATAAGAGCCCCCAATGTCAATAAAAACTTTACGTTCATTTATCATACATCGGCCTAATATAAATATAAAACAAAACCTGTGATCAAAGAGGAAACCAATACCACTGTCATTGACGAATTAGTTTTTTAAACATTTTTAGCAGTAAGCGTTGTTCTACATTTCCTACGATGATCTGTGTCCAGTGCATTTCACCCGTTTTTTTTAAAATCATTTTACTAACTGTCAAAGTATTCAAGCAACATTTTAGCGACTAGTTGTTTTGCTATTGAACAAAAAAATTAAATCATTAAAAGCTGAGTTAAAATGACTTGCGTCATTAGTCTTTTCAATTAGTTATGTTACTACTTATAAGTAGTTGACATAATTGGTAGCAAATGTTTTTTTAAACAATATAGTAGCTGATTTTGTGTTAAGAACTACTAGTTCATGAAATTTAAACTCAAACCAAACTAACTAATCAAATGATGCAGTATAGTGGTAATTAAAAATTAATGTGATTGACAGTATAGAGAAAGGTTCATGTTTTTGTTAAACTATTAACATTATCATTACTAGGAAGATTGCCAATCAAAAATATTCCTCCGAAAGATTTTAAAATAAATATTAACTTCAACAGACTTATAAGTTGCAATAATTTGTGAAGTCATTGACGATCTCCAAGGTCAATGTAATTGTTTCATCTTAACTTAGAATTCTTTTGCATAATATGGATTTCCCTTCTGCCTAATTTATAAGTATGTTACTATTAAGCTATAAGGTTCTAGTTGAATCACTTACATCCCTGAAACCTAGTTATTATATAATATTAAACAACGAAAGCATTGTTTGCTTCTATTTTTAAACCTATTCATGTAACTAGTATAGGATACTATGTGAAGTTTTAGTTATACATTCTTTATGGAACCTGGAACTTTCAGGTTAGATCACTAGCTTGAAAGTCTCGTATCATTTAGTGACAAACTATAACAGAATATTTATCCAGTGGTGTGCAGTGTATGTTTTTTTCTAAATAGTTTTATTTTTTAATGGTAAAACCATCCAAAAATAAATCCCTTTTTAATTGTTTAGAAATTATACACTGAATTATTTAGTGCTAAATTAGATTGTTTTGTTTATTAAACTCACAGGATATACGTTAATACTCCGAGACTCCATATATCTGAAGGTGGACCTAAATTTTCAGAATAAGTGTGAATAGTTCCAGGAACTGTTCCATTAGTTTGTTGTATTAGTAATAAAATTTCTGGAGAAACATATTCCGGTCTGTACCGTAATGGAGGTACACATATTACACAATTTTGGGAATTAGTATTATACGTTTGTGCTGTAGAAAATCCTGTAACTTTGAGCAAATTACTGAAAACATTCATTTTATGACGATCTGTTTGACTCACTACATCAGTTACTAGAGAAGCAAGAGCCCGTAGTAAATCAGGATTGTCCGATGAATTTCCACAATCATAGTTATCGATTGTTTTCTTTACAAAAAGTAGATTTTCAGGCTAAAAAAGCAGAAATTTTAGATCGTGTTTTAACTTATGATAATTTGAACTTTAGTTGTAATTTGTTCAAAAGATATTATTTTATCATTAAAATATAATTTGGTGATAAATAAATTTATTTTGGGGGTTACAAACTTTACTATGTACTTGATAATTTTGTAGTGTTCTCATTTGATTGATCGAATTTGCATAACTTAGATAATTTGGTCATTTATATGTTAAATTTATATGACCAATACAATACTGTTAAGTTAGATTAAAGATAATACAGACTGAAGATGGAAGGTTGGTGGGGAAGAAAACTACAAAGCGGTAGCATCAGGTTGTGTTTAGTAAACTCAAAAAATTGTTGTTTATAAACACATAAGTTACAAAGTTATTCTGAGTATTATATCATTTGTGACTTGGGTTAGCAATAAAATTGGTATACTGTTTAATGTGTTCCATTGAATTTTAATTGATTGTATTTGTTTGAATAATAACTGAAAAATGAAATGAGTAAACTTTAATACTTGGTTGATTTCAAAAATCTTTGATCAGCGTACTTCAATTATTTGCCTAAGTTGATCTATAGGATATTTTGTAAAGTAAGAGTACTCGGCTTGTGATTAGACGGGCAGGAATTTTATCGTTGTAATGCTTTCTCCTACCTTCTTGATTTTAAATATACTGGAATACCTGAAGCTTAATTTGTTAGTCTGCAATGACTTTTTTATCGGTTAATTAAGCCACACTTCCAATAAAGCAGTAGAAATGCACTATTTGTTTTGCCTTTGCCACAGTACTGTCCTTACAACATATGCAAACAAAATGGGGAGGGTATTTCTACTCACCTTCCACCACATCTTCCATTTAATGCATCAAATAAAACATCGGTTGAATTTTCAGCTTCTTAGGGATATTAGCTTAAATGAGCCATGTGAATCATAAGAACCTATATACAGTATGAGAGACGTGTCGTTCGAAGATTCTGCGATTTTTAATGAATTAAGCTATGGTCTTAGCCTTTTATTTCACGTGTTTTCATAACCTTTCTGAGAAAGCAACTAAAAAAGTATCAAGCACATCAGTTGTTCACTATACTAACCTCAATTCCGTAGATTAGCAGGATATTATGTTGGGACTGAAAAAAAGCTATTTGGAAAGGAAAGGAAAAGGATCAAACAGAAGAAACATGAGTTATCAATGACAAATTAGGTTTTTGGTCACCAGATTATTCTCTACAGAAGACTTAAATTATCTCTACTGCTGGTCTCCGAAACTCAGCTGTAAAGAAAACGTTTAGCGGTTCCACAAAATTCACAATCAGTATCTATACATAATCACAATTTTAATTGAATAAACAAATATTACTTGAATATCATAATGAACTACTCCTTGATTATGAATATGCTCCAATGCTTCCAGTATTGAACGAATAACAGCTGCTGTTCCCATTTCTGACCAATTTTCACATGCCAGAACTGAATCAAGTAGATTTGAACCGGACAATCTTGAAAAGGTATTGAAATTATTATGAATAATTTATGAAATCTTTGAATAATGATTACAAAGTTGATATTATAGATTGTAATTTCAAAAATGAAATTTCTTAAAGACTTTTTAATGAACTCGTTATTAGTGTTTTTCTGTTGCTGTTGTTGCCGCTGTTTTGTCGAATGAAATGATACTTTTTCAGACTGATCAGTACGTAGAGAACTTTCAGATGAAGAAAATAACTTCATGTCGAAGATTTAAATTTGATCAGTTTGAAAACTTCGTGCTGTTAAGTAAATAAGAGGAAATTATCATGTAGTAACCTCGAAGGCCTTTTTTATATTGATATTTATATCTAGTCCCAGTGTACTATGTGAAATTAATCAATTATTTGTTTCTTAAATATTTGTCTCGATCAAACCCTGTCTGCACACATCATGAATAGATAGGTGGTCATTTATGTATTGTATATGATCACAGATCTTTGTGCCTGTCTCCTACCATCCAATACCAATTTTAATTTTTAGAACTATTACATGTATGTTTCGAAAATTTGATTAAAGTGCAATGTGACATCTAGTAACTAAGAGAGGTTTATAAATACGTTGATGAATATTAATTAAAATTTCCATGGCTGTATCGTTTTCCTTGATGAATATTTATCAACCTTAGTACAAATCTAAAATTACAGTGATCTACACGTTCACCTACTTCACCTTACTTTTCTCAACTATGTTTCAAACCATATCAACAGTAGAACATTTACTTACATTTTCCTATGTAAAACTTGTATTAATTATTTGCGGACTTTTTTGGAATGCTCGTATGACTTTCAATCAAAACAAAATCGTTGCTAAAAGACCGTATAAACCTGATGACCACTTTATACTTATTCAATCTTACACTGTTCGAAGTTAAACAAAGTGAACTATATTAATATCTTTATGAAAAATCTAAATTGAAACGTTAACAGTAGAATCCTTGGTAGATACCGTTCGGGATCACCTCACGTGATGATGCTTTACGACCCTCTTATTTCAAATGAAGTACCTCCAGTAGTATGGTATACTTATTAGGAATTTCCTTCTTTATCAGAGGCCACCATATATCATTTCAGTCGACAGAAATATCGTATCATGGCAGAGTAAAATAGGATTGTAGAGGACTTTGCCAATACTCCAGGACCTGACAAAAGTTAATGATCTGGTTGGTACAAAATGTTCATATTTTCAAGCCATCTCATTTTCTAGATATCATTGCTTTTGGGTTTCGTAGTCATTAAATTAGTCACATTGACATAGGTCCATGTACAAAAATAAACATAATATCACTAAGTCTTAAATATTGCAGCTGTGAAAATAGTAAAAGTTTGGACGGTCTCTTTGTATTGTATTCTCCGGTTATCCTTTTGTTGTAAGAAATTGTCCAAACTTCCTCCAAGACTCTCCAATACGTATAGCATCCAATGGTTGTAAAAAAAGTATTTCAGCAAAGACAACTCGCTTTTAGCTCGTTTTATGCTACTTACCTGGTTTCATTAAATCCTGGTTAATCAATCGATTTTATTGAAAGTTACAGAACTTCTTAGTAAAGTCTAAGAACTATACAGTAAACACTTCATTTTCAAAATGTCAATTAATTGTCTCAAACTTGAATATTCCTTTTACAAATATTAGTCAATCGTCTCAGACTTCATTATCCTTTCATTTCCACACCAATCATTCTTTGTTCTCGTTCTCTTTTCTTTAATCTTAATTTTCTGCCTTCAGGTATTTCACTTTTAATTAATGATACATACTACTTATAAATCTATCAACATCAGTAGCATATATCACAATATTACTTAATCTTGGATTATTCAGAATTACATTTCTTAATAAACAACTGCTTAAACGACAAATCTTATTTTTTTTTTAAAAAAGTAAGCCATTTTCAGACAAAATATTCAGTCTATTTAAAATTAAAAAATAATAATAATCACCATGGTAACTTACTTTTCATAAACTAAAATAAGAACATTATCACTGATAAATGCATCTATTAATTGCAAAACATTTTTATGACATAAACGTGTTAAACATTCCATTTCACGTGCACCATTTATACGACTGATTGGATTATTTAATTTAAATAATTTCCCAATATATTCACGATTTGTTTTTTTATCAATTAATAGGTGAGTTTCTGAAAATGAATCACTAAAAAAGATAAGAGAAATATACAAAAATAGTTTGATGTATACGTATTACGTAATAGATGGATCATTGATTAAGATGTTTGACTTCCCGACACCAGACTACAAATTTAAATCTACCATTATGTATTTCAGTTTGAGCAATAAGGTATCATCACTAACTTTAATACATAAAGTGTAGTTCTTAGGTAAGTATATGAATGTGTAACTAGTTATTAATTATTAATCATCATGTATATCTGGTTATGATAAAAAGCGAAGCGGCATAGAAGAATTTATAAACTTATACTTCTGTAAATGACACAAATTCATACTAGGAAATTTTGAATTAATTTTAAATAAAAATAATATACTCATCAGCAGTGCGCATCCACGATCCCGCTCCCCGCGAGATTCAAAACCAGGACCCATAAATGTCGCGCACGAGTGCTCGACCATTAGACCATTGAGCCGGTATCTAGCGGTGTTTATGTCCAACTTCCAGGTTTTCCATGGTGGTCTAGCTTCAACTGACTCATGATTTCAATTATTGAGATTGCTAAAATCTCTACAAAACCCCTCCTCATAAAAACAATATACTCTTGTTTTTTGAATTCAGTTTTTATGAAAGATGATATCATAGAAAAAATATTGACTAGATCTCTATAGAGCGAAAAGTTAAGAATTGGTGATTTTTCCTACTTTGGAAATATATATCAAGATACGATCCATGAAACTTGGAATACAAAAAATGAATAAAAACTGGTCTGTCCTCTCCCACAGTAGGCTATTGCTGATGGTATCCAGCCAACGGATATTGAGTATCTTGCGTAGACTACCGTTTATAAATATTTGTACTGTTTTGAAGATGATTATTATAGTTCATCACGTTGCAGCTCCGCATAGCGGAACTTTCTTGACGTTCGTAGTAAAGATTTAGACTTTGATGTTGGTTAAAAGTTGTTTTAAGTTCCATATGTTCTTCAACTGTAGTGGTTCTGCCATTGATTTACCAATCCTTACCTCTACATTTGTATCAGATCCTCCTTCTTCATCGATGATGCTTCCCGGGTACATGGAAGTTTCCAAATCCTTCAGAGCTTCTTCTTTAAGTGTGATTGTGTTGGTGTTATCCATGTTGCATTTGAGGATCATGCTTTTTCCTGTATTTATGTTGAGGCTTACTGATGCAGAAGCTGCTGTTACACTAGTTGTCTTCATCTGCATTTGTTATTGGGTATGGAATAGTAGGGCCAGGTCGTCTGCGAAGTCCAAATTGTTTAGTCACAGTCAAGCTGTCCATTGTATTCCGCGCTTACCCTCAGATGTCGAGGTCTTCGTAATCTGGTCAAACATCAGAAGAAAGAAAAAGGAGGAGAATAGGTAGCCTTGTCTGTCTGAGTCAGTCAGCTTCCCTCCATGCGCGACTTTGCATTGTAGCCCGTCGTATGAATTCCGGATGATGTTGAAGATCTTTTAAAGTACTCCATGGTGTCGAAGAAGTTTTAATAGTGTTCCATCCACACTGTCAAATGTTTTCTCATAGACATGGAAGTTGATGTATAGTGACGAGTTCCACTCAACTAATTGTTCAGAGATGATCCGTAGAGTCGCGATTTTGTCTGCTCACGACCGATCCCTACGGAATCTAATTTGTTGATCTCGAAGTTGGCTGTCCAGCTTGGGTCTAATTGGTTTCACTGATTCCGAGAACCGCCAAGATGTATCTCCTCGTTTCCGTTGCTATTTGACCGGTCGTCCAGGTCTCTTACATTGTCCGGCCGTTTCATGTACCTATAAAAATTGTTGCGCTGGTTGTTAGAAGATGCATCGGCCTCATGACCTCCGAAGGATCTCGGCTTTCATCCTGAGGCGTCGAAATTCTTCCTTTAACTCAGCGGACAGAGTTTTAGTGGTTTAAATTGTTTATTCTGGTTGTCGTATTTTAGAAAGGTTATTTTATACCGGATGGGGTTGCTAACCTCATGCCTAACACTCTTTCTTTGCTGGGGCTTGGGACCGACAGTAGCCCAAAAAGAGCTACAGGTGAAGTTGCTTCTAGATAACGGTGAAGATAAATATGAATAATTTTGAATTATTTATTTTTACCAATAAAGTTCCGTTAGAAAACGTCTGATTTTAAATAGCTTTATTTCACTTGCTGCCAAACAAAATTCTGCAACTGAAAATGAAAGAATCAGTTACATAGTTGTAAACGCTTAAGTTAAGAAACTATGTATTATGATAAACTTCGGAATGATAGAGACTCTAATATCGTCTGAGTGTATACCGCAATTCTTAGATTAAGGTAGCTGCTACTGACAAATTGTGTCAAAGATGAAAGCGAGTCTTAGTTTCTACTGGTTGCTACTATTTAAGATTTGGACGATATTATTCAGAAAAAAAGCATGTCATCAAAGGCTGATCAAATTAAGTTTTGAATATTAACAATGGGGATTCTTTTAATTGCTGATTTTATCTTAGTTGTTCTTGAAAATGTATACAGCTGCGTGAACAATCTAGAAGGCTAGAAGACCTTTGTTAAATTTATAGTACAATGATACCATTACTACCATGAATGTTTGTTAAACTTGATCTTTGGTGTACATGAGAGCTCATACTTGAATGTTCAACCTGATAATAAATTTTATTGAAATTATGAACCGATCAATGTTAGATCGCCACTGGAAACTTTGAAGCACCGAACGACCGTTTCGTTCTATGATGCGACTCCGCAGCAGTGCTCATCCACGACTCTACATGTAAAAACCGGACACAGGACTCGCGCACAAACGCATAATAGGACGACATGGCCACTCAGTGCTTCTAGGTTTTAAATAGTTGTCTACCATGGATCGGTTCATGATTTTATTGAGACTCAACAATCTGCACAACATAATACTTACAAATGATAATAGATTTGTTGATATTACAATAGAGTTAATAAGATCACCTCTCCTCAATATTTTAACTACTGCTGACATTTGTGGTTGGAATGAGTGTACAGATAACGACTGGATTTTAGCTAGCAGTAAGAACAAAAATGCATATTTCGTCTTGTTTTGGACTAGTTAACGTCTCCACGATTATATTCAAAGTGAGAAATGAACTGGGCGGTTATTTTTCCAAAGTTCCGTGGATCATCCACCAGGGTACTGGGTAAAGATAATAGCCAATGCGTTCAGTATTTATGCAGTTATATCTAAGAGTTTGAGTCTTTTAGCTGTCAAACTTATGAACTCTAGTTAATTTGTATTGGTAAGCGTACATCCTGGGCGGAGTTTTTCCATAATCCTTTTTGTAACAACTGTTTGATATATTTGGACAATAATTAAATCAAGCTAAAAGCAAGATATAAGAATAGTTGCTCATGAAATAATACTCATCATTTACCTTTCAAGTCGTCTCAATACAAAATAATGCTTTTCAATATTTGTCCATCTCAAAGTTATTTTAGTCGGTGTTGGATTTTCTAAATCATAAATAAAACAAAGTGATACAATAATAAACACATTACAAGTAAGTAGTCAACGATTATTTCTAGAAATTATGCACCAGATTTTGTTTCAAAGTTAGGGAATCAAAAATTAAAACTGGTTGCAATTTTAAATTCATTATTTACTAGGGAAGCGAGTGATATCATGGAATTCGTTTCTCGAGATTTCTATCATCAATTACAAGACGAAATGGCGTTAAGTTTTACGGCATATCATCCGCTTAAGAAGACCACATGTAAATAGAAGCTGATTAAATATAATCCTGAATGTAAACAATAGGAACATGGAAACTTTTTCAGGAAATAAAAAAATTGATGAGTATTTAAAATCATGGAGATCATAAAAGTAGGGTTATGTTAGCCTAACCTATGCTATAATAAATGGCTATAAAATTTACGCCATTTTCCCTTCTTTATGATGTAGAGTAGATTACTTTGGTTGGTTTTTGTTTTCGGACTAGTACACAGATGTTACAGTTAACCGATAATCAAAATACAAATGTCGAACTGGTTTTTACTATGAACTGACATCTAATTTAGAGAGATGATGGGCATAAAGAAGCATTTATTAGCTAATCGTTTGTGTAAAGTACTGAGGAGTTTTCAACTACTAGGTAAAAGATAACACATCTTGCCTTTTGATGATTCATTGTTTATTATATGTTCTTAATGAAAATTAGTAATACTAAACAGTTTAGGGACTGACTATCCAGTTAAAATGTCCAAAGAAATACCAAAATATGTACCCATGTATATGATAAGTGATAGCGAATTCGTTACACTATCGAATCGATAAACGTATCTGTAAATATCCCTATTTGACTAAAAATTACACCTAATCAATAAGTAATATTATCAGTATGAACACAAATATTTCATACAACAAGACCTTTTGTTAAATTTAAACAGAGCAAAAACAAGGTTTGTAGAATAATATGTATATATTCTGGTGAACGGTTTTTCACCAGCTGCATACAACCTAGAATTATAATTATGACTAGAATTCTTAAAAAAATGTTTAGCGTTCTTTAGTTCGTAAGGTTGTTCAAAATGCAACCGAAATCATATTCATGAGAGGAATAGAATATAAAGTGTATGAATAAACATTACTAACATTGATGTTTATATACCCTTCTGATGTCACCTCATACGGGTCAATGAATTTACATGTACCTGCGGTAACATGTATATAGGAAGAATTGTATGAAAGGCCTCTGTTAGATTTTCTGAACAAACTGCTACAAACCTCTTAGTTCGTGCTCAGTTTAAGCATAAATAATTTAAAAACAAAATACCGCCCATATTGTTTGAATACCTTCAACATGAATCAAACAACTAGTCATTATTCGACCAGCTATATTTTCAGCTTTTAACGTATACAAGCCTGAATCTTGATAAATACATTTTTCTACTGATAACGTTGCATCTGTACTAAGTTCACAGTTTGACATACGAGGCGTTTTATTGATTGATTGTTTTTCAGCTTTACCAATTTTTGTACGATGTGATTCAACAATTCTTTTTGAATCTCTAGTCCAAATTATCGTTGGAGGTGGTAACGCATCAATGTAACAAGGCAATTCAAAACGTGAATGTAACTTCACAGTCAACAATGGAGTAGGAACTTCTAAAAATACAGGAGCATCTAAAATATGTGGAAAAAAAGCAAATCGTATGAAAGTAGGGGAAAAATGTTTTCCACTACAAAAAACTCATATAGATACAAATTAAGTTCATATTACATTGTTAACTGTAGGATTTATAGTTATGTTATATTCTTGTCAAAAAGTTCAGTAGAGGAAAAAATGCGGTGGCTTGAGTCATTGAAGAGTTTATCTATGAATATGTTGCTCAATAAAACGAATAGTCGTAAGGAATAATATGTGAATTGGTCAGAAATTTTGATACATAAACTCGATAGGATTAGTTACATAATTCACGAGATTCGTATTTTATACATAACGCGATGGCGTTTGAAGCGAACGATACTTGGTTCGAGTCCCGGAGTCAACATCAACTCTGCGACGCGGGTAAATCCAGCTGACGAGTCCTAAATAAGACGAAACTCGCTTTGTCCTGGATTCCACTGCTAGCCACTATCCATCTTCGCCTAGAATGCTTGTGAATCAAGGCAATATCGAAGCAATACACATAGTATGCACATATGCCAATAAGACTGATCAACTGAGGTCCTAAATAACAATGGGAAGATACAGGTAAAAAAACACCAAGTGAATTTTATACTTGTTTGTCTTCATTTTACAATCTACAAGAATATATTTTATACCTTTCTTATTTCGGTTGAAAGTCACTTGGGATTAAACTATCACACTTCCAATAAAGAGAAGTTATAAAAATGAGACTATTAATTTGTTGGTAGGAGTTTATTTCACAAAGTAAGAAAATAAAGCTTATTTGATTCCGTACAACCGACTATACGTTTTAGCCAAGTTGTGATACTATCTCCGAAATTCAATCAATTCATCCATTGATCATATATTTTACGGATCATTACAGATTTCTTGATATGATTGGCATGAAGTATTCCTCTATTTTAACTTATCTCAGGGTTAAATATTTTCAATATACAGCGCACTAAATTGTTTAAACCAAACTAAGTGGATTAGTTGACACTGTTCTGTGACAAAATTTCATATTAACAATCATTTAAATTAACGATTATCCCTAATAAACAAAAAGTTCATGATTAATTTGATTTAATGAAATGTTCTCGATTTAAGTTATCTTGGTTATCAGTAATGATAAACAAGAGATTGATTTGAAATTTATTGTTACTGTGTTACTAATCAATTCAAATTAATATGTCCTCAATTTAAAAAAAACTATCTTATACTTACCTGCCATCTTTACAATAAATTCTTTTTCACTAGTACCCAATATATGCACTGCTTTACAGATGTATGAACCAAAATCATTTTCACTTAACCCATTCAAATGTAATACAGCTGTATCTCCAGACTTGGATACTGTATTATAGAATTTCTGATTTAAAGTTGGATAAATAGTATTTACTAAAATAAAATATAGTCAGTTTATTGTTAGTAGTATTATTTTAATGATTATTTAAAAACTTAGTGTTTATCTCCTATAAATACCACTTTTAATCTAAATAAATAAAACTTCTAAATATTAGAAATTTTTTTGAGCAAAGCTTGTGAATTAAAGCTATATCGAGGCATTCCGCACAGGATGCATGTATGCTAACAAGAGACCGATCAATTGTAGTCATAAATAACAATGAGAAGATGCAAGTCAAACAACACCAAGTGAATTTAAATTTCACTCCATTGCACAAGCAGGTGTATATCGGGACTCAGTAACTAAGTGAACAACGCGATGGAGTTTGAAGCGGATGTTAATGGGTTCAAGTCTTGGGGTGAACATTAACTCTGAGATACAGGTACATCCAGCTGACCAGTCCCAAATGGGACGGGACGCGCATCAAACTGGATTCAAGTACTAGCCACTATACATCTTTGTTTATAAAGCTCATGACTTCAAACAATATCGAGGCAGTTCGCATAGGATGCACATACGCCAACATGAGACTGATCAATTGCAGTCCTAAATAACAATGAGAAGATACAAGTAAAACAACACTATTTAAATTTATTAGAAATTTTTTTTAATTATATATTTTCTATCACGTATTATCAACAAATATACTGTAATTTATACAACTGAGTTCATTTCACATTATGAATTTTAATAACATATTTTAAAGCATATATTAACAAGTGTTTGATGATTATGACGGAGTTTTTTTTAAGCTAGATGTTTTGATCTTGGAGCTTTCGTTGTACTTCCGAAGGACATCATCAGCACACACTTCAGGCAGAATTTTAATTGTTAATCTCCCTTCATATTCTTGTGTAGTTACTACGATGTATGGACTCAAAAATAAGGAAGTAACCAATAAACTAGATAACACTATTTTAGAATTCTTTTTAATTCTTGTCAAAACTGCAGAAGTAGTTTTTCAAAACAAAAATCTCAAGTTTGTATTCGCCTTTATTTAACTAAAGTCTCAATGAAGGATATAGAATTTTTGGAAGATCATAGCTAGAGATATTTGCAGAACTCATTAAATCCGTTTTTTCTTGGACAAACAAAATACGTGTTAGCCTTTCATTATTTTTTTTTAAAAAATGGTGTTGTTCCTATTATGGTATGGAATAAAATAGAATTTCATGTCAATCAATCTGTCTAACTGTGATTTCGTTTTTTTTTTTGTGTTCATAAAGCAAATAAATTTGTAGTATAGTTGACAACAAATCTCCCAATATCTTTCTTTATGTCATCATTTTATGTGTTTGTTTCCTATCATTACCAATGATCTTGTAAATGAACAGAAATTTCACTCCAGGTGAAAAAAGTGTCAACAGAAGATATCATCTATATTTCTTTCTTTGCTAAGTTATGATTCATTAGATGAACCACATATATAACACTTATCTTTCTCTCTTCAGTTTCATGAATCTTAAGTATGTCTTTTTTTGACGTACATAAAATAAAGAGAGTTTTTACATATTTTACATAATTATCCATTCTATAAACTAGAATATTTAACTGAATAAATTCACTTCGTGTTATTTTACTCGTATCTTCCCATTGTTATTTAGGACTGCAATTGATCAGTCTCATGTTGACATATGTACATTGCACAAGTAGGTGGCAATCAGGACACAATAGCTAAGTGGATAACGCAATGGCGTTGAGGCTAATGGTACTGGGTTCGAGTCCCCGAGTGTACATCAACTGTGAGATGCAGGCACAACCAGCCGACGAGTTTAATTTAGAACGAAACATTCGTCCTGGATTCCGCTGCTAGCTACTATCCATCTTTGTTTAATTTAACTGATTAGTTGTTATTGTCACATTGTGTAATGACATGAACACTAACTATAGTTAGTAGTAAACTTCATAGAATTATTTCATGACTAGTTAAAATAGTTCATAGAATTCTACATGCAATTTTATTCAGGGTAAATATAAATGTAAAATAGTACTGATAATAATGATAATATGATAACATACCATTTGTATCTAACAATTTACCATCAAAATACCAATTGAAACGTGTTTGATTTTCAGCATTAACAGGACTAAATGTACATTTTAATTCTAGTTGACCATAAATTGGTGCATAAATCACATTTGTTTCTGGTTCAGTAAATGATGGTGAAGCTGTAAGAGATTAAACAAAACAGTTTCTTTTTGAATCAGGAATCTGAAATATAATGACTGTATTTCATAGTAACTAGACACTTCGATTTGTTGAAAAGCATCTTGGGATGATCTTTGTATTCTTTATACGTATTACTGTAATATACTCTATCAATTTCTCTCATAATATATCATTTACTTAGTGATAAGTACATGAAATCTTTGTAACGATATTTAAAGATAACGTCAAAAAGCCATGAAATAATATTAACTTACTTTATTCTGTGAATTTAACTATTTTTGAAGTACCAGAAGGGAATTTTGTGTATATTATAGTAATTTTAATAGCTGAGATCATGTGTCGATTAAAACTAGACCACCAAGGAAAACCTGGAAGCACTGGACGGCCATTTCGTCCCATTTGATGTGCTTAAATTTATCAAGCACACTGGTCAAATTGTATGGAAAAAAACTATCTTAATAATTATGTTGTGCATCACAAGTGAGACTGATACTAAAAATGGAGGTATCTCATTTCATCGCTAACTGATTATAGTTCATATTGTAGACACTAGGTTTTAACTTACTGGGTTAAAGTTGAAGTGCTTCCTTTCCGATTTGTAGAGCATGGGTTCTATACAGTTTGAGGTTATGAATTTACAGTTCAGAGTAGTACCGAAATAAAATTAGATTGCTTCTCAGTTTTTTCTAATTTTTAAAAGTTTTAAAGTATCAAAAATTCCAGTCGTGTAAATTGAATTGAGACATTTGACCAAATATAATTTTTTTTCAGTAGATCATCATCGAGCTTCACTCTTATATACTTTAATGTTTACGTGCTTGTATGAAAAGTATTAAACCAATCAAAGGAATTTACGAGACAGTGGTAACAGTCAAAGAGAATAACATGACCAAACATAATAAATAAAGCGAAAAAAACTGATAGTAACTGACAGGTAAATTAGTAAAAATAGGATTAATAAACATTCTTATAACATGAACGTTTCTACTGACATATAGGGTAGGTCGGAGATTGAAAAAATCAGTTTGTTAAGATATTAAGTTTTAAAAATTGCTCTGTTAAAGGATATAAGTAAACAGTAAGATCGAAAATGTAAACAGAATGAAAGAGCTATGTAAGAGGTTAAGACAATAAACAAACAAATTGCTACATACTTCTGACGAGTCTCGAGTAGGAAGAAATGCGCGATATTGATCCCACTGCTAGCTACCATCTAAGTTTAAAAAATATTTGTGACTTAATGGCGATATCAAGGCAATTCACTTGGGCTGAACATATGCTCAAAGTGAAATATTTAAACAACCGGAAGGAAGGATTTAAACCAGTATTAGGAATTTGAAAAACTATTCATGAACTCTTATTGTATTAGGGGAGAGATATGTATAGGAGAGTTTTTAAATATAAAGAAACCTTATGGCTTGTGTTATATGTGTGAGATGAGATCGAATCCTATTGAAAAAAACTTGAAAGTATATAATAAACCGTCCTGAATATTTTAGTCCGATCTAATGCATAATAAACATAGACGAAATTTAATAAAACGAAGCTGTGTATTAGTTTTATAAAAACTTTCTTACATGAATTACACTAATGATAAAAAGAATTTACTTTCTAATTAATGAATATTATTTGAATCTTAAAATCGAGATGAATTAATATATTTAGTATAGTGAAAGAATCGAATTATTCTCACTAATAAGTCACTTTGTTATATTACTGAAGTTTATTTGTAATGAGAAGATAAGGAGTAGAGGTGTGACGTAACAAATATAATCCGAAATCACACTATTTATTAACACAATCCTACTGTTGTTTCTGATAGTTGAGTTCATAAGTCAATTGAAGCTAGATCACCATAGAAAACCTGAAACCACGGACGGCTGTTTCATCCTAGTACGGGACTCCTCAGTAGTGCGCATCCATGATCCCGCCGGACGGTGGCGCAACTTCATGGATTGGTTGAATTTAGACATTAACACCGTTGGATGCCGGCTCAGTGGTCTATTAGTTAAGCTCTCGTGTGCGAGACTGATAGGCTCTGGGTTCGAATCTCGCGAAGGGCGGGATCTTGGATGCTCACTCCTGAGGCGTCTCACAATAGGACGTAATGGCCGTCCAGTGCTTTCAGGTTTTCCATGGTGGTCTAGATTCAATTGACTCATGAATTCAACTATTAAAATTACTATAGTGTCCACAAAATCCCTCTCTGATTACAATCCGAATGGTTTAAATAAAATATTTTTATGAAGTGAAAAAACGATTACATCACACTACTGTTTAGCTTCGTTTAGATGAAATACATGTTAAAGTAAACCATGAGTTTATACATACTAAATTATCTTTTTTCATCGAATGTGATCTTCTTTTATCAAAGTAAGAATAAATCTTTTAAGTATTGGCTTTACGTATATTCTGATTGATAATACTCAATTTCGTACAGTCATTATTAATGAAACGACTTTAATTCATATAGTCATGACCATTTTATCATAACATTATGAATTGTAAATAAAAGGCACTGAAGTGTATTATTACCCCTTCCAAATTTTTTAAATAAAATTATTTGAATATATTATAATGAATGTAAGCAATTCAGGGTATTATCTGTTTTTACAATAGACAATATACAGAGATAGTTGAATTTCATAATTTACATCATGAACTGATCTTAGTTAGCTAACCATTGAAAACCAGAAAGAAATATATAGCTGTTTTATCATAGTAGTACCTGTGTACGACCACTTTAGGGATTGAACTCAGGACACGCAGGTCTTGCAGCAAGTGCTTAACCTTATTATTACTGATCTGGCATCCAGTGATTTGAGTTTCTAGTTCTAATCAATTTTTCATATTTTGTCACTATGTTTCAAAGCCGTTAGTACGTGACTGTCATATATACTCAATACTGAAATAGACAAAAATCAACTTGAAACCATTTCAAAATTAAGATAACAGTGAAGTACTCTTATTGCGTTTCTAAAAATAAGGTCATTATCTCAACTTCATGAAATTATATAACAGTACGGGAAATAGTAACACCTGATAACAAAAACATAAAGACAGAATAGCGATTAGGAAACCATTATAGTAGTATTTAGATTATATATATCACTCAAATTATCATTTTTTTGTTGAATTATGATTCATATGTTACAAATAGAAAGACATAAAATGACTTATCAAGTTTAAATATTTTACTGAAATGGACAGAAAATAAAGCTAAAATTCAACACTTGAGCATAACACTTTTGACCGCCAGTGTTTTATTGCTAAAGTAAGCACTCTATCTAATGTGCTTCAGACTGACCAAGAAAGTAAATCATCAAGTCATTGCATCGTACTGTTCCTCCCTACTTAATAAATACCGGATTTATAAAGTGAACGAAGTGTTTTCGGTTCTATATCAAGTCTCATGTGATCTATTATTAGGACTGAGATTATTTCTCCTCTTCGTAAGAGGAGTCATCGAGAGTAATAGAGTGAAACCGAACCAAATAGACTTATTCAGTCCCATTATTTCCCTTAGTTCACAATTGGGTCACTTCATACCAAAGAAGCATAATATAAAACCTTTCACCTAATCCTTCTGTAAGTGTATTTTTATCTTCCCTCTATTTTGATGGAATTTTCCGAAATTCCTAAATCAGATTATTTCCGTATAACCATTATCATAGCTAACACGATATAAGGTTCTTCGGATTATGTATTACTCTATTGATTATAATCAAAGACCATACAATAATTTTTATCTCCTCCTTCGCCATACAACAATTTAACTACACTCATAATACATTCTGTAAAGACGTCAAAGTACTTTATGGAAAAAGAGAAAAAAGAAGACTTATTATCAGTGCAAGTAACTACAGACTATTGAGTTTTGTGGTTAGTTAGTTAGTTTTCTCGAATAATGTAAGTTAGAGTAATTGAAATATCAGTTTCAGTTTCATACAGCAGATACATTTTCAGTGAGCTGTAAATAAGCCACTAACCTTAGAACCTAAAACAAGTACATCAAACAGGTTTTAAACAATACAGAATTTAAAGTTCTTAGGCCTAAAAGCAAAAAAAGACAGAACTCTAAAACTTTTTCACTTAATGACATTTTACATTCTATAGAAAAGACTAAACAACTAAAAATACACATTCAAATCTATTAAGTAACTACTCATATCAGCAACAGTATTACGTATTTTAAAAGTAAAAGTGACCTACAAAATTGTTGGGATATTCAGGAAAATATCCCAAAAATTATTCTATTAAGTCTAATGCTATTCTTGGACTTGGAGATGGTATTATTTTCTTATTGGTCAGTACTTATTTCACGTGTCATTTTCCTACTGGTCAATATTGTACAATGTTATTTTCTATTTTATGGTACGATGTGGTCTGCTTGATTAGTATTTAAACAGAGTGTGTTTGAAATATAATGATTAATATCTCCGAGGCTGAGACTTGCGTTCTGGACTCAACTGGCTGAGCTAGACAGGGAAGCGGGACCAATGAGAACATAAGGCAGTTCTACGTGTATACGCGTCTTTGGTCCGATCAATGATTCGCTGTCCTCTAATCTGCCGTCACAGTTATAGCAAAAATATTTAAATATATCAATAATATTCTACTTTTAACATTCAGTTTCCAACATTTCGGTTAACATACATATGTACATATTCGAAAACTAGTCGATAATGACATGTTTTCACTGAAATAAGATTTGACTGAAACATACAAGCAAGTATGATTTACTATCTTAAGTGATTTTTTATAATGTATTAAACAATTGCTTCCTTTTCTTTCGAATTCACTTCTTCTTTAGTCTTGATAAAAGAAATAATCTATAAAGTGATTTTCAGATATAGGTTACAGTTCAATATCCATTGTATCATTCGGTGTCTCTTTATAAACGATATTGTTGTCATTGACATATACTGTACAATGTAAAACAATTGTTTAGTTATATCTTTCAAAGCAAATATTGTGCTACTTAAAAGATACTTATTTAAGATTGAAATGTAGAAAAAACGTATTTTCAGAAACATTATTATTTATTATTAAGATAAGTAGTGATTTTACATTGAAAACAATAGAATGATGTTTCTTCTAAACACTATTTGTGTTTATAATCGTTACTTATTTATATCCTTATATATCTACTGTAGTTAAAAGATTCTCATCAGAACTTAGTATATACAGACCGGAAAGTGTCAATTAATGACAATACTCTTTATTTGGTCACAAGCACAAACCGGGATGAGAATACTAAGTCCTCTAAAAATATTGTAGTGTCTCACTAGTCACTATGTATTATACTTGTGGTAGCTGCCTGCTTGAATATCTGGGCTACCTGTTCCTGCCATCTAGATATTTCAGCAAGTTATCTGTTTTCTTGTTTGTTTTAACACATCATTATATCTATTGAGCGCACAACCTATTCAAGCGCGTTTATGAAAAGTTTACGATATTTCGCTGTACAGGTTACGAAAAGGTACAATCAGCGACATCATCGTGGCCGGTAACATACATTGAAAAGAACGAACATCATTCAGATGTCACTTCCACAACTGCTGACATATAGCTGGTGATCGCTAAACACTTACCGTCAGGATCGATCAAAAAATGAGAAAAGGAAACTTGTTGAAATACGTCGCGCTGAGAATTCTATATTGTACAAAAAATATAATATTGAATAAAGCTAATAATGACAATAATAATAATACAAGTTAACTACTTATATGGAAAATTTAAATCGGTTGTACAAGTATAACCTACTGTACGTAGTATTAGGAATTCAATCAAAAATTATTTGATCTCACTGTTTTACTTAAGGGATCAACATGGTTAAAAAACAAGCGCTTTTGCAGCTTTCACTTAAAATAAAAGTTTTCATTGTTGATATAGTGGGAGTATGGTAACATGAAGAAACGTAATTCTATTATGCCAGATAAACATTAAATTTACTAGTTAAACAATTAGCTATATTGATGAGACCATATAAATAGTGGAGTATCGGATCCTCAATGAATGGTATTATGATTTCGTGTTTATCATAGGGTCTTAATGTTTCGACTTAATTCTAGTATTCAAGATAGGTGAGTATAGCTAAGAAGTTTGAAATTAACAGGAAACTGTTGTCTATATTTATTTGATTTAGATTGATTTTCCACTTAATGTTATACAGAATGAACACCTTCTCTAAACTGACATTACCTCCACAAATAATTCAACTGAACAGGTATGAAGTATTTAAATCAATGATAAAACCTAATACATGAGATCGCCTTAATGTAAATTAAACTTCAGTAATTTTTATGGTGTATTCGAGTCAGGAATTCATTTCACTGTTATGACATTTGCTTGATAGAAGTCATTTGGGTTGGGAAAAAAAGCCTAAAATTCTCAATTTATGAAATTTACCATTTGAACACTTTCCAAAATTATTAACCCATAATTTGAATATCTTGAGGCAAACACTCCTGATTTTAGAAATTGAACATCTTTTAAATATTATTTCACAAAAAAACGTTTACGTTAGAAGTGTAATTTAAAAAAAACTAATCAAAATGAGATAAATAAACACAGTCGGCAAATGAATTAACTCACTAGGTGTAGGCTCATGTATCACTCCGACGGATGCTGATGCACATCGGCTATGTTCTTTTTTCATTCCAGAGAATTAAGAAAAATGAAAGAAATGATTATCGAAACATTTGTAAAATAATTGATATTGTTGATTAACATAAAGACTTTAAGAGTATGTTGGTATTATTGTCAGGGTTGGATTTGATAGCTTCGAATAAATTAAGTACTGGGCAGAAAGTTAGTTCTTTAAGTTATTAACTTTCTAGTCAAATATGATAAATCAGATTATTTACATCATTATTACCACTACTATGGTTACTGTTATTCCTATTATTTCTATTCATTTATTTGAGTTTCACCCTTTGCACTTTGTTAGATTGTTGAGTCTTAACTTACTTGCAGTTAAATCAGCCATTTTTCGTACAGGTTGACTTGGTGTACCACGACCATATTCGGTAACAGCAACTATACGTAACCAATATTCTTGTTCGGGATTTAAATGTTCCAGTGATAAACGGTTTCGTTTTAAACCAGATGCAAGAACTCTCCATATGTTTTCATTGTTTGTGCTTTTAGATTTTTCAGAGTTCTTGCCCACATCATTAGTTTCACGATTTATTGACTTCTCTACAGCTTTAATTTGTACTTCAAATGTGTATGGAGTAAATGTCCTGTCTAAAGTATACGATTTTGGTATTTGCCATACAAGTTCTGGCGCAACTCTACCAATTAAAATATCTGACGGTGACTCAACAGATGGTCGCATAAATGTTAGATCAGGGATAACTAAAATTTAAAGCAAAGGAGAAAGTTTCTAATGATCAATATCTGTCTTTTATAAGTGAACTAAGAATAAATGGGTTGACATTAAGTGAAAACACACGGGAAATTCTAGGAATTTACTTAGTTCTGATAGCGGTTTGTAATTTCCTATTGTCCATATTCAGAACTGCAATCGATCAGTCTTTTTTGCTATGGTCATCTTGGGCGGACTACCTTGATAAGTCTTTATTCCGCAAGTTTTAGTATGTTTGATATGTGACCAGCATTAGAAGACATAAGTTTTTTTTCTGTTTGAGACCTGCGAGCTGAATGTACATCAGTCTAAGTGCTGATACTTAATAACTTTCACTTCAGATATTTGACTTGTTATCTGTTACGTTATTGAGTTAAGCGTTGTAACTGCTGTAATTGGGTGATCGGCTGAGTTAAATCTACGTCACCACTGTTGCATCCGGATAGCCACTATTATATCCGGGGGGTTGACTCATTTATGTACACATCATGTATGTTGAATCAACAGTCTTACTGCTTTCACCTAAAAATCGAGAATAACTGAATTTACTCGGCCGTAATACTGGGAAACGGAAACCATTGCAGTTTCTACGACACAAAGTCACACTGAAAAGAGCACTAAACGAGTTCACAATTGCCATATATAACAAAATCTATACTGAAATGATACATCAAGTATTGGCTCAAATAATGTCATTTTCTTATCCCATTATATCATCTAAATAATAATTAACTTGGTCAACGGATATGAAGGTACTAATTGTGATAATTTGATTTTAATGAAAAACATTGTATCAGTAGGCATTCAGATTTTCATAAGTGATGGTTGATATTAATTGCAGAAGATTCAATTCTGAACTGACCTACATTAATACTACTTGCCTTTAATCGAAGTAATGTAATTTACTTAGTAACACCATTATATAGATTTACTAATATGAAGTAATGTACTTCATTAAATTATTGTGTCGTTCATTTTGAAGAAATTGAGAACAAACATTTAGATCCCCAGAAGTCTTGTACTACATGCCATTTGAACGATGAAATTGGTGTAAAATTCCACACTAAATTCTATAAATAAAATCAGTTAGAATTTTTTCCATGAAATAAAAGAATGAGTAGTAATATGACGTTTTGGTAAAGCTGAATGAATTTCCATCGACAAGTTAGTTTTATTATAACATTTTACAGAAGTAGAATTAATTTAATATTACTTACTAACTTGTGGTGGTATTAACACATTTCTAGTTGGATGTCCAAAACCGAATTGATTCGACGGTAGAATACGAACATGATAACCAATCAATGGATTTGGTTGGATCCATGTCCATTGGTTTGTATCTAGATTAGAAGCTATTGTTGTCCATTCAATTGAACCTTCATGTTGAATCTTAATAACAAATTAGTTTAAATTAAAGGAATAAACAAAAGTTTAATGAAGACAGGGGAATGGAAAAATTTTGAGTAATGTCAAGGTAATCATCATTCTAATTAAATAAATGAATTAGATATGAATTTATATGAAAATGATTAACACCATAGAATGAAGTCTGATGGAGGTAACCATTGAAAACTAGAAAGTATCGACGTACTATTTCTTTTTAGTTTGGAAATTCTCAGTAGTGCGTTTAACGTTTCATGATTTAAGTGAATTTGAAATTATGAATTATCAAAGTTAAATTATGTAATGCCAAGTTAGTGAGCTTCATTGTAATGCCTAACTGAGTGTTGGGTGATTTCTATTGAAGGGTTTAAAACTGGGGTCAAATAGTTACCAAATATTTCCTAGCTTTCGTTTTGAATATGTTTTACCCAACACTGATTATTGTGTGAGGTGAGACATCTTCATATAATGGAATTAGTTAATCTTATTATTAAATTCACTCTTATGTTAGGTAAAATCATTTAAAAATACATCTTACCTACATTCAACAGAATAATGACTAAGTAATAGATTTTAAAACTAAGCACTAAATATGTTACATGAACAACGATAACAGGAACAAAGGTATTGATATTAACCACCCACTGTATTGACTCAAAAGTAACCTTAAAATGATTAAAACTAAATTTTCACAAACTGTTTTATCCGCGTCGCTTATTATTATACTTGAAAGAAAAGGGCAACAATGAAATTCTCACAACGCAAAGTAAGAACACCAAGACTAGTACAAGTGAAGATTTATTAAACCTAAAACATGACGACGATCGTAGTCAAAATTTCACTCATTTACATATTCATTGGACACTCATTTTGATTAATAATTAAGACGAACATATGTAGAAAATACCCGGAATTATAATAAAATCACATGCTGTCTATCATGATGGGCATAATCCAAATGAATTCTATACAAGAATATCGTATCTTGAAATGATACCACACTCAAAAAAATTAATATCATAACACACGAAAACAGAACATATATTACTATGTATAATCATGATATAGAGTTAAAAACGGTGAGACTATAATCTATGGACGAGATAATCAGAAACCAGTAAGCAATTTCAAGGTCACGGAGTCTATTTCAGTACTCAATGCTCACATACGATCAGTTTACAGCGGATTTCAAGTAGAAAGTTATAGTTGAGCGGCTAAAACAGATGGGATTACTGAGAAGTTCCGTTATTAGTGATTGCGGTGTTTAAATGACTTCCGGACATTGTGCAAACTATCGTGACGACGTCGTATTTCGCTGTAATATATGTTGGAGGAAAAGTCTGGAAAAACGGGGATTTTTTTCTCTAGATTCCGATCGACATCAAGACAGATTATGATAATTTTTGCAAACTGGATAATTAAAGCGCCAGTAACGGTGGCTGCAACCTTTGCAGCAGTTACCAAAGCTGGTAAGAGTACTGTTGAGATATATGTGCAATAAAAATGACAAGCTTGCATCAGTCGTTTGGAAAAATCGGGAGAATTGTAGAAAATAACAAACCGGTCGTTAGAAAACATATATTCAATGGAGGAAGAATTGTTAAACAAGACATGTTAAGTAGCACTTCGTTTGATATGATTACCAGGTTCTTAATATATATGATACATTATCTCACAACGGAGTCTTTTAGCGCGTGAGCAGCCGACAAGCTACAAATATTATACCAATTATACTATAGTATGTGCAGCCTGGTACTATAATATACACGGATAACTGAAGAGCATATCGATGCCTATCTATACTTGGTTACGTGGATCGTCCACAGGCGATATTTTGTAAACTCTACTACGCGAGTACACACTAATGATATAGAAGCGATGCGGTCTAGGCTAAAAGGATTTTCGCAACCTTATCATGGCTCTAGAGGTCATTTATTATGGAGTCACATGGATATGTTCCTGTACCGTATGCATTACGATTTCAAGACTGTAGAGCTACTTTCTAACCTCGAAAAGTTATTGAGGTGAGACTATAATTTATGGACGACATTTGAGAGACGCTTGAGCGACCTCCGGAACTAGAACTAAATGAGGGTTATAAACTACTGTTATCTTAAATCTGATTAGTTAGACCAAAAATTATAGTCTCGCCGTTCTTAAAGCATGTTAAAGAATTGATTCACTCTAATTTTTTGGTTTTGTATAATATATTTTTACTCTGTACTGACTGTTTCCTGATTGGCCGAAATTTCTCAGGGTCACTTATGAATCGTTCAAAGGACGTCCATAAATTATAATCTCTTCGATATTAGTTAATAAGAGAAATCGATCATTACAACATGGAAAATGACTTGTACAGTGCATATATGAATGTGTTTGATAAATATTAGGAAAATTTATGAATGGATTTTGTTCAGTGTTCTAATTTTTGGTTTGATATAGTGATAAATGTTTACTGTTTATCTAACAAAACTAAACTGTATTGAATGGTAAGTGTTCTAAATAACTGACAATTCATTAGTTTCGAAATTATTTTGATACTTATCATGAATGTTTAAAAATTAACCAGGTAAAAGATAGGTAAGTATGTGACTTATATAATTCTCATGGTGTTAGATAGTCAGAAGTGATTCACAAGAACGTCTGAAGCTAGTTTTTGTTCTATCTTTCACTTGCAAAGAAAATATATCTATAATGTCAAGGGATCTGATGATTTTCGTAGGATTCAAACCTACTTTACTGTATATTACAGTAAAAGACTTTATTACTGAGGGATTTGTGGTGGGATCTCGATATTCCATCTGCCTGTTTAAATTTTAAAAAAAGTTTACTAGTCTAATCGACTCGGACTAATTGAAACTACTTTGAATTATATAACATCATATTAAGTACGCCTGCTACTTGAACTAGTCTTTATTTCACAGTTTGATTGATAGGATCTGACCAACATTATAGAATAAACAACATGATACAGGTTACTCATATGTGGCTTATTAGTACAAATTTAAATGAGTTCAATGTAATTGGACATATTTCGTGTGAACTAATAAGTGGACTTGGTTTTTGTTTTCTGAACACAAACAATCTTTTCATGATTAACATCACGAGGAAGCATATAATGAACAAATCATAGACAAATCAACATTTTGAAGCAGTTCAGTGAAGAGAATTTGACTTGTGAAACTGAGAACTCGTTAACCGATTCATTGATAAGTTCCGATAATCTTACGATATTTAGTCAAATTCAACAATCCCAATAGATTATAAGCGGTATTCTGATGATTAAACAAACGAATTTATGTTTTCATAAAAAAATCTATACAGAAGAGTCGGTGGAAGTATGTTCTCATTTTCTAAACATGTATTTGATTTATAGTACTCTGTAAGAAACTGAAAACAAGGATTGTCCAGGTGAGAGTTGAATGGAGAATGCTGGTGAGCAGCCTATGCTCCTCGATGAGAGGTAAAAGGTGTAAGTAAGTAAGTAAGTAAGTAAGTAAGTAAGTAAGTAAGTAAGTAAGTAAGTAAGTAAGTAAGTAAGTAAGTAAGTAAGTAAGTAAGCAAGTAAGTAAGTAAGTAAGCAAGTAAGTAAGTAAGTAAGTAAGTAAGTAAGCAAGTAAGTAAGTAAGTAAGTGAGTAAGCAAGTAAGTAAGTAAGTAAGCAAGTAAGTAAGTAAGTAAGTAAGCAAGTAAGTAAGTAAGTAAGTAAGTTTCAAGTGCTCTCAGCGAGCCATGAAAGTTTTAAGTTCAGTCAATAGTGTTGTCGAGGATATGTTCGGCTTAACACGTCTGTGTTACAAACAACAAAATTCAATAATCTTCACAAAGAAACATTGAAAATAATACTCAGTCTACAGATTTCCACATTACTTGAATTGCATAAGTAGTATCTTTTTGTAACACTTGTGGTATTGATAAATTCAAAATATGACTTGTATACAATGATTGTATATCAGGATCGTCCCATGATATCAAATATTCCTCAACTGATGTAACGTTGAAATGTGGTTTAAAAGCTGAGAAATCTGGAACTAAGAAGTCTGTTTGGTAATAAGAAAAAAATAGAATACAGAAATTTGAATGAATACAAAATTCACACGGAAAATAATCTTTGATTTGAAGTATTATATATGAATAACTATTCCAAAGTTGAAATATCGTCAGAGTAAGGTTTCTTGAGAATTCTACATACATTAACGAATACTAATAGGAATTTGAGTGCCTACAAATAAACTCAGTTTAAAATGGATGTTGATATCGTGTTACCAATTCTATCTATACAAAACACAGTGTACTGTTTTATTCGTTATCAAAAAGTACTCACAACAGATCAAGTTTATGCCCAAATATACAGTAAGAAATCTAAAACTTAAAGTCATTTACTGAGATATTTATTTTTAAAAGACTGTGAAGCTTAGTTAAAAGTTAGTTCAGCATATCATCCTACAGCATAATAACATTTTAAATTGATGTTTTAAAAATGAGAAATATTGTGTTCTTAGATTCAATACCGTTTATGATCGTGACTTTTCACTGATGATTGGTTTCAAACCATGAGGTTAGAACTTACCTTTACTTCCTCGTTTCCAAAAATTCTCTGTTTGATTTCATTTTACAATAAAAACATTTTTTTAAAATCTATTAAGCTATTCTGAATATTATCAGAATGGGAATTTGTGGAGATGGTAGTATTTTTTTAATAGTTGACCTAAGCTAGATCATTATTAAAAACCTGGAAGCAATGGATGGTCATCCAATGGTGGTTTAACTTAGATCGACTCATGAATTCAACTATTAGAAGATATTCTGAATATATCTAATACTCATCAAAATAAAATAAATGTATAACTATTAACTTCTTGTATTTATCACCCTCAGCCATACTCAAATCGCTTTATATGCAAATAAGATAATACTCAAAACTACAAATAGAAATATATTTATAGAATTAACTTACCTGTCTTAATACTAATATTGATAGGTCGACTAGGTTTAGTTTGTTGACCATCCACATTTGCAATTATTCTACAAGCAATTTCTTTATCTAAATATTCAAAATTTGATAGTATAATTTTGTTATGAAGATTTCCATTGATTTGTTCTCTAATAGGATACCAATCACCAGCATAACCATCTCGTCTTTCAATTGAAAATTTTACACGTTCACATATTTCAGCTGATTCATCTGTATCTAAATGACTTGTCATATTGTATGACTGATTTGGATTTCTCCGAAATCCTAATGCATCAATCACTGTATCACCTAAACGCCAACGCAACTGAATTGTATTTGATCCAAGTATTAGAAAACGAAAATCTTCAATACATCTATGATTGTAAGCAGAGACAGAAAAAAGTAAATTATGCTAGTGTATATGAATAAACATATTGACAATAAAACCATTCATGTTCACACTGTAAGCGTTTAACGAATTATCGAGTATATGACCACAAATTAAAGAGAGAATACCAGGTGAAATTATCCATATGGACGCCTCGAAGAACTTTAGTGATGTGACCAACACAACTATTCTTGTTTCAAATAAAAAGCATCGACCATTAAACACACACAGACTGAAACTTCTAACCATTCAAAAATTAGTAATACGAAGAGAGAAAGATCAGCAACAACTTACTATGGCAGAGAACAAACCCGCTTCCAACTGAAAAGGAAGTTAGGAAAAGACGCTGAAGGTAGATAGGACAAACATCAAACTGCATCACGAGGAAAGCCCTAACTTGTAATCCTGATGGGAAGAGGAAAAGAGGGAGACCAAGGAGCACATTGCGTCAGGAATTGAAATCAGACATCAAAAGAATAATTAGTACTTGGAATTGTTCAAAGGTAACGATCATCGAACGTCTATATTGGTCAAGAAATTCTAGGTTATTCATATGGTATATTCTGGATTACTTAAATAGAAGTTATGCATCTTCACGTTATATCCCATTCAGAGACAAATTATAGTATCCAAAATACATTTGAATTTTTTTTAAAAAAAGCCTAAATGTAGGGAACTTTGGCGTATAACCAGCAACTATATGTATTGCAACCTGAAATAAATTTATTATTTCTGTAGTGTAGCTTTTATGACTATTTTATAGAATTAGCGGCTTAAACTTTTAAGCCAGTTGATCTTAAAGAATTCACAAATAGAATTTATATCTGGTTCATAAATCCAAACTTCCATGGGTTAAGTTACGATAAATTAATTGTATTCGAATGTGTCAATGTATCTATCGATTATTTATTGATAATATGCCGTATGTTATGCAACAATTTTAACCTATCTAGAATAAATAAAAGGGTGGTTAAGAAAGTAATCACATCGATAATAGGCCATCTAACTAAAACGAACTGTACAGTAAACAATGATCAAATGTTTTAAAGAATATGTTTATATGTTAGGTAGGTGGAGTAGATCCGGAATAACTATATTATTTGAATCTCAACTGTAAAAGATGGTTTTACAGAGATCTCTATTCGACCCTTATTTTTATTACTGAAACGGTGTATAATCGCAGTGCATGAAGAATTCAGGTGGCTAAAATCAATTTATTGTTTGATGCAAGATTACAGAGTGCCTTCATAAAATATGAAAATTATACATGAAATACATCATTTACACATCCATCAGTTGTCTCCTACAAACTTAATCGTTTCTTCATTCCTGTTGTTATTTCGATTACTTTCAGTTTTATTCTCTCCTGTTTTCATTTCAATCTTCTGCTAGCAGGCGTTTCACTTCCGATTGGTACTACATACTACTTATATCTGTCAACATAAGTAACATAAATGACATAACGACTGTTGGATTTCACGGTATACATCAATAAATGGTCTTAATTAGACATTTATTGAGAATCAGAAAGCAATGAGCACCCTTCTATCGTCCTAGATAAGAATGGTCAACAATGAATATCCACGATCCTACCTGGGACCAAAGGTGGAGCATTCAGATCTCACACGGAGCGCATAATTTTTAGGTCTAAGTGGTAGGTTTCGATAGTTTCCATTTTTTGTTTTATTTTCCTGGTGATATTTTACGATCATCATTTATTGCCATACCGAGCGTGAGACACATATTACCTATTCCAATGGATGTTGATCGAGGATTGTTGCGAATCGACTAAAACTAGAAGTTTAAATAACTGGATGCAAGCTCTTTAGTTTAGTGGTTAAACACGTGCCATGAGACCCGAATATCCTGAGTTTGATACCGGCTAAGGTCCTTTATATACATTGATAAGGAGCATCATAATAGTGCAAAGCAGATGTTCAGTGCTTCCTGATTTCCAATGGTTGTTTATGTAAGATCGTTCCATAATGTACACCATGAAAGACAAATATAATTTATCATCTATGAATTAGTAAAAGGCTGAACTAATTTAAAATTGTTAGAAAAACTGGATGAACTAAACTTTAACTAACCTTTCTAAAGTTGTTAACAAAAGTGGAAGTTTGATTGGATAAGAACTTGAACTTGGACCTTCACCAAATTGGTTAATAGGTGTTATTCGATAAATAAGTTGTGAACCGGGTTCAGCTTTATGGTCATCTATACTACCTAATAATCCAGATACAATACCAATCTGTCTCCAAGGTGCTAAGTCACTCAAGGTTGTACGAGCTTCTATTCTATAGTCGATTTGAGCATGATTTTTAATCTGTCTTAAATAATTGTCGTTCAATGGAAGTTCAAAGTTGGGAGGTTTCCAGGTGACACGAACTCCTGCGGAACCTGATGTTTCAACTGGGGGTGTCAATTTTACCTCTATATCTAATGGTGCTGGAGGGCAGATTTCATGTAACGCTGGTATACGAAGAATTTCATGGGTATCCAACCAATTTAAATTGCCTTCTTTATCTTCTTGTAAACTAAGAATCCTAACAAACTGTTCTGTTTTACCCGGTTTCACATCAAGAACATATTGTTCACCATGAATTAGATCGTCTTCTCTACAAACTACTGTCCAGTTAGACATATCAGGTGAGGAATTACTGTCAGCGTCATTTGAAGTTTTACATTGAATTCGATAGCGACCAAGTAAGTTATAGTGATCATCAGAACTTTTATTTATATCTGAACTTGTACAACGATCCCACTTGAGCGTGACACCCAGTTTGGGATCGACTGACATCATTTGAACCTCTCGTCTTGGTATCTTACTGGATGAAATAATCGGCAGCTTATCCAAAAGACTTAGGTGGTCGTATTGATCCCTGTCATTTATTTTATCTGATATCTGACTATTTTTTCGACAGTCTTGACCTCTAGATATCTGAGATGCTTTCAATCTGTAGCTTTTAGTCGGACCACTTTCACCGAAATCATTGTAAGAAAATATCCGAAATTCAATGGAACTATTAGAATTGGCAGTGTTAAAAGACAAGTCATTTCCCACATGAGTTTCTCTAATCAAGGATTCTACAAGATCTCTTGGGAGAGGATAACCCGTCTCACATTCACTAATGCCACAAGCCAAATCAACCCAATGTCCAGATAATCCACGCCTCCATTCAACTCGATACAAAGGTTTTAGTCCTTTTATACAACTGGTACAGAACTCTGGCATGTATGCAGGTTTCCATAGGAGTCGAATATTACTTTTCTTTACTGTGATGTTATCTCCTGGGTGGCTTATTGCTATCCATGGAGGATCTAGTGATAAATCCGGAACTAATGAATTAGGATCGAGTTGAACTATTGCCATTGGAGTGGGACAGGACTCGCCATATCTATTTTTCGCAACAATACGTATAGCAGAGCTGATGCCAGGTCGTAAGTGACAAGTGTAGGATAGAAAAGGTATATCACTTGCCACTCTACACCATTCTGATTGAGATCCTTCCCTAATCTCAACTGCGTAAGTTACTTTACCAAGTAATTGCGATGGATTTAACGTAACATTCTTGTGCAGTTGGTTTGGTGTAAGTGCAGGCACTGCTGGACACCATCGAATTTTAATAGCCGTTGCTTCTTCAGATTCAACTTCTGGTTTAACTGCTTGCATGTGAGGAAGACATGCTCGTATAGGTAAACGAAGTACCGGGAAACAAGGTGGTCCAAGGCCAAATTCATTTTCAGCTACTATCCTTACTTGTACGGGATTCAAAGGACACGCAATGTCGTTTGAGATGTAAGCTGAAACTTCGTGTAAGTTGGTTAGTACAGGTTTCCACCATCTACCTGCATCATTACTAATTTCCACATTATATGTCACTTGTTCATTTAGTGGATCCCAGGCAATCTTGAAACCATCATCGTCTACTTCAATTAGTTCAATATTACTTACTCTTGACGGCAAAACTGGAACAAAGAGTAACCAGTAGGTAAAAGGTCGTTAACTGTCATATTCATTGAATGAGTAAATCAACTATATATTTAATAGAATTAATTGAGAAAGTTTTTAAGTCATATATATATAATTTAGTAGTTGAGATCATGAATCAATTGGAGCTAGACCACCATGGAAAACCTGGAAGCGCTGGACCATGGTGGTCTAGCTTCAGTTGACTAATAATCTCAACTATAATACTATAATATCCACAAAACCCCCTTCTGATATATATATATATATATATATATATATATATATATATATATATATATATATATATATATATAATCCAAGTTTTTGTATATATAAGAAATTGTAACACCATCTCTTCCTTGGACAAATAAGCTTTAATAAAAGATTTTATTTATTATTATTTTTCCATACTCTTTGTTTCTCTTATTTTTCTTCAACCCATCCCACACTTATTTCAAATATACGCTTCATTGTCCAACTTCTAGCTTTTATGAATTTTATTTTAGCATCGATATATTCCAGTTATTGACCTATTTCTCATGATGAAACATGAATTCAAGTATGAATTCTTATCATAACAAGTAAACCTATCGAATATCATTGATCGAAAGGTTGTTTTTGTATATTTTTTAAATAAAAATGTTTCCATCCCATTTCATCCAATTAAATGATTTGTTTGAAAATGATAAGTATTGGTTAGTTATTTTGAAAAATCGATATATAAAGTAAATATTTCTCGATTGTTCACCTTTTCTCTTAAATAAATAACGCACCAACGTACAATAGTACGAACGTTTTACAGATACGGATAGCATGTTCTTGAATACGTTGTATCTGGTAGCATCCAACAGCGCCATCAGAAATAATGGAAAGGCGCCCAACTAACATTATGCAGTTCGCGATTCTCATTTCGATAAAAAAGACAGAAACCGTATATTAAATTTGTTTGTTGGAGAAGTGATCGTAGAGCACCTAGTGGATCTTCACAGCCGATTAAATGAAGGAGGGAAATTGAATAGTGTTATTATATTGTTCATGAAGAGCTGCGATAAACACTCAATGTCCGGCTTTCATATATTGTAAATTTAATGAAGGCTACTTGACTGTTGTTCGTGGGAATGTGCATCACAGTCGTGAGTGCAAGTTCCTGAGGTACTACAACATTTCTTGGATGCGCAGGTTAACGGATGCGGAATCTACAACAGCGCGATTTCTGCTGATTTTGGCGACAGAAGCATTCAATATTGTGAACTTCGTTTACCAGTCTTATGGGAAGCGCGTGAATCCTCAAGATGTTTTTAACATGCGCCACAAACTGTTCTCGCAGGTCACCTTCCAGATAAGCAATGTGTCTATTTATACTATAAATGGTAGGTGATTACGCCAAACTGAAAGCTCACACCATGTCACTTGGTGGGTTTTGTGAGTATGAAATTGATGACGAAAATGATCCTACGTACTTTTTCTTCGTAATTGCCTATCACAGATGAATTTGACATCGTCTTCTTGATATTATTGGTTTCATGGGACCTACATAAAACCAATAATGAAAATTTATTTTGGTATCAAATTGTTGTGTTGGATCTCTAATCGGCTGTGAAGATCTATTAGGTGCTCTACGATCACTTCTCCAACATACAAATTTAATATACGGCTTCATTACATCAGTCGACGTGTTCACGACTGTTGGCGCCACAGGCACTTACAGGCTCTCCGAAACTCCATCAACAACCTCACTAGCGTCGCTATTGACAACTATTTTCCTTTTTTAACTTGGACAGCCAAGCATCCAAAAATACTGTACTCTTAGTTCGGCGTATGTCTGAAAAATAACATAGTGCTGTTGATAAATTCACGCATCAATTGGTTTATGCAACGATGTCTCAGGCACCATAAATGGATGAAGCAATGGCAGGAATCCAACAGACAAATATTGACAACTATCGAACGAACGTGGATTTTTATGCCACGCCAAATCATGAAGAAGAGGATATTATTTTAATAAACTCGAAAGAGTCCAATGACAAACGGAAATGTGAAGAGACTAAGAGAAGGCTCTTTTTAGGGTCACACACGAATAGATTTAATTTTTTAAATTCGTTACAAATTGCATCAGTAATTTACATTTTCTCCAGTGAATTGAATGATCTCACAGAAGATCCTGGCGTATGTGTAAGGCAATGAAAAACTATTTAACTTATGAGTGACACTAAAGTGTATTGAAATTAAATGAAGGAAGTTTTTTATGATCTAAACATCAAGAATACGTCTCAAACTAACATTACCTGAACACCGTGTTGGTCTAGCAGTAGACTCGTACGGTTCAGCTGTATCATGCTCGTAACTATTGGGTTCATATAAAGTACCTAAATTTGAATTCAAAAGAAGTAACAATAAGTTGTGAATGAAATAAGTTGAGCCTAAATATCTATTAGTAACAATTATTGGCCAGTAACATGGTCTTGTTTACCTATAATCTACTGTTTATATGAAAGCTGCAAAATGTGATCTATTCAACAAATCAATTTTCTTGTGTAGTGTTATTTGACATATAGAAGGATTACTGCTTACATTGTTGTTTTAGTATTTTTTATAGGTGTTTATATTTGTCGATTAAAGTTTTTTATAAGCTGCTATTTTTTATGAACGTCCAATAATGGTACTCAGTTAGTTTGTTTAGTTTATGGGAAAATGAACCTTTATAACTGTTATGATATTGAAACATCTACAGATGTATGTATATATGCGTGTAAGGATCGCATTTGACGATTGTTAATAAATAATACTGAAGCTAATTAAAACTGACGTATTTTATAGTGTAACCTAATAGAAATATTAACACTTAGAGTATCATAAATTATGCATAGTTAAGGTTAAATATCGTTCTTTTGCTCAATAAATCAACTTTCTTCCTAAGAACATGATGTATCTTACAAATCCTGTTTTTTTTATTTAGCTGTCAGCTCCGTAACTTTGCTTCTAATTAATACATCCAGTCATTTCAATGAATCATTAGAAATGTTCCGAACTTTGTATTACATGATACTTCGGATTGTCTTACGATTGTCTACTACAAAGTCTCAAGATAATTTGATATGTTCATGAACCATTAATAGTTTGTTTTCTAGCTATAAAAGACTTTCTTTAATTCTACTGTCACTTTTATCATGTTGTTTTACTTAGTTGTTATTTAACGTTTCTTTGTGCACATAAATTTACTTGATCTAATTAACTGATCAATTAATTTTTAAGCCTAAAGAGTCATAACTGGAATTTTTTAAAATTCATTATTCCAAATGTTTCTGCATTTAATGTGTTCCATTTATAAAAACGAGAATATATTTTACTTTCTAAGCTTATTTAAAAAAATATAAATTAAACGTTTTGAATTTTCCATTTGGACTAGAAAAAGGAGGACCGATGAATGCCCTGGTATGGTCGAGGGTGAGGAGATTCATCCCCCCTCTCGAAATGCTCCCACATGGTCACGCGTATACAGACACTGCCAAGGAAGTCTTACTCACTGCTTTCTTGCGGCACCGATGTTGTTTACAAAACTGAGAGGACGAAAAGCGAATGTCCGGAGCTTAAACCGAGTTAGTGAATATGGAGGATCCAGATAGGGCGGTTGGAAAACCCTCATTCCAAACCAGTGGTGCTCATGGGCTCCAGCATCCTGAGGGAACTAATGGCGTATGAGCCAATTATTGGTCACCAGCTACAATGGGCCCGAATCTCCTGACGTCGTTCCACTGCCTTGTGGATTAAACCTTTGGGTCGAAGGCTCCGAGTGCGACTTCTCCTAAGAAAACCACCTGTTTCGTTTTGGGTATCCAGGCAATATCACAGCCCACACACGAATCAAGTGACTTGTGTATCACATATGTATTCCGTGCCCGTTTGTACTAATATTTATATGTTCAAATAAAATAAGAAAGCGGAAAACAGATTGAAAATTTAATATGTACTGCTAGTAAGACATTCATTAAAATTCTAAATTCGACTTTTTATTAATTTACTAATGATGTTTTTTCATTTAGTTAATAAAATTAAAGATGTAATGTATCCTATTCATAAATTCTAACAATATTATAATACAAAAACAAGTTTATTAATTAAGGTTCCAGGTTTTTCATGGTGCTCTAGCTTCAATTGAATCATGATTTCAACGATTAAATCATTAAATAGCGTGAATAAACAATGATCAATATTAAACTAAGTAAATTCATATTTAATTATAAAGATTAGAGAGAAAATATGTTATCAAAAAAGGTTTTGTGGAGACTTTAGAAATTTCAATAGTTGAAATCATGAGTCAATTGAATCTAGATCACCATGTAAAACCTGAAAGCACTGGAAGACCGTCTCGTTCTAGTATAGAAATCCTCAGCAGTGCGCACCCACGATCCCGCCCTCCGCGAGATTCGAACCCAGAACCTATCAGTCTCGCACACGAGAGCTTAACCAATAGACCACTGAGCCGGCATCCAACTGTGTTAATGTCTAACTAGTACGAAACGGCCGTCCAGTGCTTTAAGGTTTTCCATGGTGGTCTAGCTTCAATGGACCCGTGATTTCAATTATTGAGAAAATATATTGTCAAATTGTTTGTAGTTAACTTACTTTGTATATATAAAACTGCTTTTGTTTCAGTTTGACCAAGTATATTTGATGCAGAACATATATATTCACCATAATCTTCATCTTTTACATTCTGTATAATAAGTAATGGATTAATATTATCATTATAGATTTCAATTCTTTTGTTGTTTTCAATTTGAATACCATTATGTTTCCTATAATAAATCATAACAAAAGTGAAAATGAATTATGATATTAAAGATTTATTGAGTACCTTCATTAAGTTTCTAAATTATTGATTATGAAGTAGAATATAGTACTTGTTTCAATGTAGTTTGATCTTCCTTAATTATGTGTAAACTTTAATTCGTTTTTTTGTAACCACTATATTGCAGAGAAGCTTAGAATGGCTAAAAATCAATAATATACAAATAGTTTGTTTGTTTATATTAAAGAATTTTGATTTGTTACTTATTCTGATAGATAAACAAGTAAGCAGTCTTCTTGTATTGAAAACGCGAGCTAATCTAAGTTAGATATACAATCCATATTGATAATTATCATGTACTCACTAATAACTAACTTTGAGAGATGATTTACGAAGTTCTAGAGAGAAGTCATGGCTAGTGAAGTTTAATCATGTCAAGTGTGAGGAGAGTATCCACTAAAGACAACGGGAAATAACCACTCATTATTTTGGACTGATTGAGATCAGATGTGTACAATAATGAATCCTAACTTACTACTGTAGAAGTTAAGCGTCCTAACATGAAACTTAAAGTCCTGCGTTCAATTCTCTATGGCAGAATCGTGGTTGTGCACTACTGAGGAGTCCCGTACTAGAATGAAACGGCCGTCCAGTGCTTCTAGGTTTCCATTGGCTGTTTAACTTAAACCGTTACATGATCGCGATAAAATTAAACGATCACCATAACCTGTGTTTCGTGTGACTTGTCTTTATTTGAGTGCCTATCGATGAGATTTGTAATCTCTTAAAAATGAAGCTCAAAAAGGTAGCCCAGAGGTGCTCAAAATGGCAGACGGAGCCTACCACGGCTAAATGTGGATAGATATGCTTTGGTAATACATCACTCTACCTAGATCTTGCCATAAATGGTAAGATGTTATCCAAGTCACATACAGTAGTGAGATTAGGACAACTTGTCTTCCACAGAACAGGCTTCAAAGAAGATTTCCATGTTTAAACGTCTTCTGGTTTGAATAATTATTAACCTTTACAACAACGAATTACGTATTTTAATGTATTCGACTGCTCCTAGAATACTGTACAATTATTCTTTTTAGTATTCGCATGAAGGAATCCCTTTAGAGACGATCGACACTTCTCATTCTTGGGATTGATTATATCTTAAACTATAGGTCCAGATATAATAAACATGGACTTAACCTTTTGTGGGAGTAAAAACTTGAAGTGAATCTAATCCTTTTCGTTGAGATACCTAATGTACTATCTTTTACATCCTATGAAGCAATTCAGTATGCGAAAACCTGATAGTTATAGCATTCATAACCGTTTGTCAGTGAAACAATTTCATTCTGAATCCTCTCTCTACATACTTTACCAAGATTTTGGAACTGTAGAATAATTTATCACAATCTGACCATGAAACAAAACCACTCCCAACCTTTATTAGCTTCCCTGATGCTTACTCCTCCTCCTCTGAAAACGCCTAATTGTGCTTACACACATTAGTATATCCCAGTTCACAAATGAGATTATGGCAGCTTTAAGTGTTTATTCGTTTTTATTACTGAGCCCACTAATTAAACCTCTCTACCTGCAGATATTTTACATTAACACTGTCCCTGGTAACCTTAACTGATCGGCAATCTCCACAACCCCAAACTGAAAAAGTTCTATTCTTTCACATTTCAGATGCCACATTTTTCATCTATTACCGCGTTCACAAATACATAAAAATGTCTCACATGAATCGTTTTGACCGGATTGACATGACATTAACTTGGTCAGACCTGTATTTTGATTGATTGCACTAAATGATACAAAAACCATATGGGAAGTGTTTAACAAAGATATCTGAAGTCAAAACAGTCTTACAATATTCTAAGATAAAAGATGTAATCCCAGTCTCATCAGTAAGTATTCTGTACCATTGGTTCGATCGCTGTTCTCTGGTTAGTGTCTTTATGTAATGTTTCCTTTCTAAGTGGTGGGATTGTTAGCCCTACACTCAACCCTTCTCCTTTACGAGGGCTTGAGACTATCAGTAACCGTAGCGGGGCTCCAGAAAGAGTTAACAGACAGTGATATCTGGTATTGCCCATCGGTCATTCGTGGAAGTAACGACTGTATCTAAGTGATGCTTTCAACGTTTTATGGAAAAAATTGTCTTAAGTAGTCGGAAGCAAGTTAACTTAGAAAAGTTGGATTTTAAAGCTTGTGAATGAATTTACTTCATCACAATAATTCACAAAGATTATTGACAGAGAACACGGTTAATTAGTAAAAGAATAGCTAATAATCATTACGACATATTTTAATGATCGATTTTAAGCAATCTGATTGTGAATTATTTGTAACATTCTATGAAAATCGGGTTTGTGGGCAACGTCTATGACTGTAATTATTATGTATAAGAAATGACCATTATTCCGATTAAGTAATTTCGTTAAAAAAAACGATTAGCCTTACATACTACTTTGTGGTACATGAAAATCAGTTAATCTAAAAGATATTGAGATAAGGTAATTTTAATTTACTTGAACATAAAGCATTTCACTAAAACATCCATTCTGATCACATAATTAAATAAAAGATCTTAATCCGTCAGAAACTGGTTAATTCATTAATGTGAAATTATGTTCCTTGATGAAACCTGTTTATTCAGTAGGTTAATAGATAATATTCAAAACTTTTTGAGAGACATATGATAGATATTGAATATCATTCAAAATCTAAACAAGTATCCAAACATACATAAATATACATACCCAATACAGATTAACATAGTTACTAAAATTTTTTGTATATCTCGTTTGCTTATATAATAAGTTGATATTTATACTTAAACGGATAATTTCAAGTTATTGTTCTCGTAAACATGCTTTCTTAATAAATAAATAATATATTTGTAATATCCCAATGAGTAGAAAAACTAGATTTTCTGACGTTTCATAACTCACTGTAAGCCGCTTCATGCCATTTTCAATGACCACCAAATCGATTTCAAAAATATCAAAGTATTACAAAAATGTTTTTCCAGTTACAAAGAAAGGAGAGTAGCTGAAGAATTCTATATAATGCTTAATCCTACTTCTCTCAATAGAAAAGAAGGACTTACCATACATCCTACTTGGACTATCTATCCTAGCCTGATAGTCTGATATTATTCACAATTCACACTATTATCTTACTAATTAAACCCTATCCTTTCTCACCATAAAGGTCACACATTTTTCATCCTCAACAGTGCACACACACACAGAGATTAACAAACATGTCGCTTATGAATCACCTTGACCTAAATGACATAACATTGATTTATTCAGACTTGTTCTTTGTTTAATCACATAAAATTCTCATTGTTCCGTTGCACTATTTAAACTTGGATTAATTTTGATTTGGTTATTTATTTATTCTCTGAAGAAGTGACTTACACTGAGTCACGAAACACCAGAAAATCTAATTTTTCTACTTATTGTGATATTACGGGTATATTAATTTATTTATAACAATCTACCCAATGCTCAATTTATTCGAACCTATCAAGTCAAACCTTTTTAATGATACATACATTCTCAATATTAGAAATAAATTTTAAAATGTAGAAAAAAATTATGACATATTACCAAATAATTGTGGCAGGTGGCTCAGCTACTAAACGTCCACTAAATCTAACCGTTTCATTCACTTCAGCGGTGTAATCTTGAAGTTTCTTGGTAAATAATGGTTTAAGTCCTTCTACTTGTCTATAAGAAAAACAAGACGAATGAAATGCAGAAAAATGAATTTGGAGAAGTAGTACTACACAATGAAATGAAAAGATTATTGTTGCTTATAATTAACTGAATATGAATGTGTGTTATGATTTGTTGATAAGTGAACAATACATGCATATTATGTTGTATTTGAGATTAGATATAAATAGTACAAGTTATGGTCGGTATTACGTCTAAATGATGATAACCGATGCCATTCAGTAAGGATCATATTCTAACATAATTCATTATTAACAAACCACAACATACAATGTTTTTTTAAGTAGAGCTGGAAAATTTAAAAATTCATTTTATAGTTATCTAATTGTTGGTTTTGAACACTGACAAAAAAGCAAAACATTTATGCATAAATCACATGTGAATGTAAGAAATTTATTTATTCAAATCCTTTATTTTTGATTGTTCATCTCTGTATGGTCAAATGATATTTTTAAGAATATTAAGCAGAGATGGCTAGCAGTAGAACCCTATTTGGAACTCTTTAGTTGAATGTACCTGGATTTCAGAGTTAACGCTCACCATACATCTCTGCTTAATGACGCTTGTCGCTTAATATATATATATATATATATATATATATATATATATATATATATATATATATATATTAGAATGTTAATTTTAATGCCAGAAAGATTTCAAACTGACCTCCTGTAACAAACGGAAGGACTGAGAAACTATCAAGAAACTGATTTATTACTTAGTTGTTTTTAAAATAAAAATTTCCCTTTTCGACGTTGTTATATATTCTATAGCTTTACTGAAAATTGTTAACAAATTTTTTTGATAGTTGAGATCATGGGTCAATTGAAACTAGACAAGCATATAAAACCTGGAAGCATTGGTTTTGGTCCTATTTTGGGACTCTTCAGTAGTGAGCATCCACGATCCTGATTCGTGAGATTGCGACCCAGATCCTATTAGTCTCGCGCATAAACTCTTAACCTGTAGACCACTGAGCTGGCATCCATCTGTGTTAATGTCTAACTTCAACTAATCCACGAAATCGAATGACATATCCACTATATTTTTTTCAAATTCATCATTGATAATGATACTTTTCTACTCTAATCAATTCTTAAACATTCCTTTTGTATAGATTTAGTTAAAACTTTATTACAGAATTAATTGAATTCTTTCTTGTTAGTAATATATTTGCATGAAATTTCAATTTTGTTTATAACTGATTTTTTCGGCATTTCACTTTATTGGGTTCATAATAGAATCATTTAATGCCTATTAACTTATGACCTTATCACTGAAAACTAAAAGTAAGTTCATTTACCGCTTAAATAAAATGTTAATCATTTATATAATTAACATTTTATTTACTTAGATTAACAACCGAAAAATATTCAATAAACCATTTAATTTATCAAATAAACCAACTATAAAATGTTAAGTAGGTAAAATTAATTAAGTTTTTGATTAAGATCATGAAACAATAGATGTTAGATACCCATATAAAACCTAGAAGCATTGGACGGCCGTTTCGTCTTATTATGGGACTTCTCAGTAGTGAGCATCCATGATCCCGCTTGCAGGATTCGAACCAAGGAACTTCAGTCTTGCGCGCGAACAGCCATCCAGTTCTTCCAGGTTTTCAATGGTGGTCTAACGTCAATCGGTTCATGATCTCAATCAAAAACTTAATCATCTTCATAACCCTATTCTGATAATTACCATGTGCTCACTAGTGACTAGTTTCGTCAGGAGATTCTCGGAGTTCTGGTGAGAAGCCGTAACCAGTGGAGCTAATCCGTGTCGGGTAGAGACAGGTATCTACCTCAGTACAATGAAAAATGGTCGCTCAATTTCATAGATTGGTTAAATTTAGTCATTAACACCGATGGATGCCGACTCAGTAGTCTAGATCTTGGGTGTTCGAACGCGACTTTTTATAAAAAGAGAACGAATATTCATAAAAAAACGGAACAATAAATGCATGTTGGTTGTATACTTATATCATGTTAAATACAATTATCTATCTTCAGATAATTTTCATTTCTATTCTGTTCTTTACATAACTGCTTTATTACTACTACTATTGTTATTAATAATAAAGTCAGTAAAGTCAGTAGTAATAAACTTACGATGGGATATATGGTTTCGTTTGTAGTTTTTGTCCATTCACTGACAGATCACCTGTTGTATAATATTCACCAGATGGAGTAACAACACGTAGTTTATAAGTTCCAGTTAAATCTGGTCTAACATTTGGTATTGTCAATGCAATCCAATTACCAGTTTGCCATACAACAAAATCGGCAGTTGATTCAGGCTGCCAATATAAAAAAAAAGAAAACATAATTTTGATAATTTAGAACAAATGTCCTGTTTAGTGAGATTTATGTACAGTTGAATCATATTTAGTTTATTTTTGCGAGTAATAACTGACTACCGGTGTGTTGATTCATTATACAAACAGCGATCACAATTTTTCTTTAGATTATGATTACGGTTTAAAAATAATCGAATAATCAAGTCATTTAAAGAGAAATTAAGCTTGCATATAGTTAGATAACCGAAATATAATAGACTTATTCAGTTAGATAATTTGATCAGACTATATTCTTAACTTCGCATGACAAATAAGCAAATTCTACACTTGATAGACTATCGAACAAAGTAACAATAAGAAATGGAAGAACTCATATTTCTCCTGTATATTACACTTTTTATCAATAAAATAGCATTCGGAAAAGTTAGAAAACATTGATTAGTTAGACAAAGAGATACTTTGAATAACATTAGTTTGACATAATGAATATATTCCACTTATCACAATCGAATAATATTTAATAGTGGAATTCAAACAATCATGAATTGAAATAAAAGTCATCTTGAATATCAGTAGTATTCTAAGTAGTAAATTGTAAGTGAAGATATTTGTGTTTATCAAATCAAGCAAATAATATCATATTTTTGATTGAGATCATAAACCGATTGATGTTAGACCACCGTTGGAAACCTGGGTGCACTGGACAGCCGTTTTGTTCTATTGTGAGACTCCTCAGCAATGCGTATCCACAATCCCGCTCACGGGATTTGAACCCAGGGGTTTCAGTCTCGCGAGCTAACGCTTAACCTACTGAGTGACTGAGCCGGCATCCAAGGGTGTTAGTGTCAAACATCAATCGGTTCATAATCTTAATCAAAAACTTAACAATCTTCACAACCCCTATACTGATAACATAATATTTGCTAATATACATAATTATAGTTATAACTACACGTTAATACTAAACAAACTAAAATAATTTATTAGGTTTCAAGTTACATTTCAAAAAAATCTCAGTGATTAAAAATTAATTTATTCGGAAATCTTCTTGAATTTGATTTTGATGTCTGCAGGGTTATCATCAAAGTTAAATTTGTTGAAGAGATGGTTTAATAAATAAATCATCATTTTCATTTCATTGAAAACTCTACATTTCTAATATAATTAAGAGTGAATTAAACACCTTGAATTAGTCAAATAAAGTTGAGAGAACTGTCATGACGAAGGTACCACTCATAACACTCATTATGTGATTATATCAGGAAGTGAAGAATATGTTCAAGACAGACCTTATAAGAAAACCAAAGAAAATAAATGATATACTTTATCAATCAAAATAAAGGCTGAAACAATTAGACTTTTATGATTTATATGAACAAAATTAGGGTGTTTATTATTATTTCTTTCACCACTAGGAAACTAGCAATATTGGCCTTCAAAATAGTTATCAATTGTTTCAAAATTTGTTGTTCCTTCTTTTTCATACTAAACATTCTCTGTTCTGATTCTATTCTCTTTGATTTTCTCAACCTTCTACCATAAGATATTATACTTTCAGTTAGTGATATATACTATTTACATCTATCGACATCAGTATCACTCACTACACTATGCTTATAGTGCACCTAAAAAAATTATTTTATTCTATTTTTTTCATATATTTCATATAGATACTGAAGTAGACAATCACATGAACAATGATCTAATTTTTCTAAGATATAGCTACTCATTAGCAGCCTCAGCAGCAATAGGTCTGCATATACACAAAGAGAAAAGCGAGATTCTCCAATACAGCACAACATGCACCAATCGAATCACACTTGACGGAGAAGATTTGGAAGATGTAAAAACCTTTACAATCTGGGCAGCATCATTGATGAACAAGGTGGATCTGATGCAGATGTGAAGGCGCGAATCGGCGAAGCAAGAGAAGCATATTTACAATTGAAGTACATCTGGAACTCAAAACAACTATCAACCAACACCAAGGTCAGAATTTGCAATAAAAATGTCAAGGCAGTTCTATTGTATAGGGCGGAAAGATGGAGAACTACGAAAGCCGTCATTGACCGGGGAGGGGTTTTAACAGGAGTAAGTAAAGTAAACTAATAATACAATACCATTTTCTATCAATCAATAAATCAATAACCAAATAAATAAAAAGTATAACTTACATCAATCATTTTTTCATTTACTAACCATTCAAAATATTTAACAAATACATTATTTTTTAATTCAACAGCTAATTTCAATGTTTCACCTTGTTTACAAATATATTTTGATAATAATTCAGTAGAAAAAATATTATTATTATCATCTTCATGATCATGATCAAGATCTTTTATTGGTGATAAATAAACAGTATCATATTCATTTGTTTTATATTGGTCATTAAGAATATCTTGTTTTTCACTGTTATTTAATTTTAAATCTAGAAAAAAAAATTAATAAATATATTTGTAATAGTTAAAATCAGGAATTAATTGAAACTAGATCATTATGATAAACTTGGTAAAATTGTGAAACACTTCAGCAGTATGCATCCATGATCGCGATTTGCTAGATTTGAACCTAGTACCTATCGGTCTCGCTCATGAATGTTTAACCTGTAGACCATTGAGCTGGCATACAACAGTGTTAATGTATAACTTTAATTAATCCACGAAATTGAGCCACACGTCCATCATTGTCTTTAGTGCGTTACTATCTCACAACAGACCTGGTTGAATTTCATTGGTTACGTCTTCTCACTAGAACTCCAGGAAATACATCTTGAAGCCAGTCATTAGTGCGCATACGATGATCATCATTATGAGAAGGGGTTTTGTGAAGATTTTAGTAATTTCAATAGATGAAATCATGAGTCAATTGAAACTACATCATCATGGAAAACCTGAAAGCACTGGACGGCCGTTTGGTCCTATTGTGAGACTCCTAAGCAGTGCGTATCCACGATCCCAATTCGTGAACTCAAGACCTGTCGGTCTCTCGCATGAACGCTTAACCTGTGAACTAATGAGCTAGTATCCAACCGTGTTAATGTCTAACTCCAACTTTTATCGAACTAGATAAGTTTATGATTAAATTTTTTAGGATCCATTGTAAAATAAAAAAAGAATAAAACTTTGTGATGTATAGTTAAATAATTTAACTATGAAATTAAACAAATCTATTGTATTTTCAAATTTGATCTTGTTTTGTTTACTATGATTTTTTATTTTGGTGGAAAACAATGACATATGACAAGATATCAAAATGTCAGTATGGGGTTATGGAGATTATTGAGTTTTCACTTGAGATCATGAACCGATTGATGCTAGACCATCATTGAAAACGTGGAAGCACTGGATGGCCGTTTCGTCCCAGTATAGGACTCCTCAGAAGTGCGCATCTCAATCGCACGATAAGGTAGTTATCTGCTGGACTATGTTAAATGAAGTTTACATATAGTAGGAGCTGACTACTGACATTTGTTTGGACTCAAGGTAGAAGATAGAGAAAATCTCGCGGATATGCAGACTAGTAGGACTGTAGTTTGCATTTGTTCAAGGTTCACTGTGTTGGTCGGAACGTACGGTGAGTCGAGTCTAGAACCCTAAGGTATGAATGAAATAGTAAATACGGAATATGAAAATCCATAGTCAAAATTCTGACTGATGAGTTTGGCACGTGATATCGATTAACATCGCAAGTCATGACGGTAAACAAGTGGAATTCTGATGACTTCTTTTAACACCTTGCTTTAGTCGTTATCGTGGTGTGTAACAACTAGCCTCAGTTATACCTAAAATTTTCTAGGCATCTTACAACGATTACTTTTTCTTAAAATTTTGATAATGACTACATAATAATTATTTGAAATAGCATAGGTAGGCTAATCGATTAGGTTCAGTTTTATAAAATGTGAAGAATTTCTAGATGTCCGTCGTTCATTAAAATTTATTTTAAATTAATAAGGCTGTTGATGCTTAAAGAATTCTAGTGAATTTCTTAATGTTAAATCTCGGCTTGTTGAGCTGAGAATATACAATCAATATCACTCATTCCGACATCTATTAGATTTTATGAGCTACAATTCATTTTAATCATACATCTCATGGACGTTAATTGGTTACACACCTACGGGATTTATCCTAACCTTTGTTTCGGTGAGCTGATCTAAACTTTCCGTATTTTCTGTCACCTGTAACGTACAAATTTAAGAACAATTATGTTAGAATTTCAAACTTATCGGATTTTAATTCCATACCCTTATATTCTTCTTTGATTTTCTTTTCTTCACTTTGGTCATCAACCATAGTGTTGGTTTCCATATATTTTTCTTCAGCTTTTAATGGTTCACACCGTACGTCATTTTTATCAACTTCTGTTATTGATTTTCGATACTTCTTACGTTTTTCTACTTGTTTCTGGTCCTTAATCAGTTCTATTTTGTTTGGATCTTGTTCGCCGACTATTGATTGCCTTGTAGTGCTAACATAATTATCTTCATTTTCCTTATCAACATTTTTCGATTTTTCTCGTTTCTTTTTCTTTTCCTCTTTCCATTGTTGTTCTCTATTTTCTGCTTCATTCTGTAAAGCATCGGTTGTTTGCATCGTATCAAGTACTTCCTGATTGTTTTTGCCAATTTCTACTCCAACCAGGTTCATCTGTGTTTTCGGTTCGTTTTCCTCCTTGTTTTTTATGTAATCTTTAGCTAGATCTTCATCATTTCCTGTAGTAGTAGTAGTAGTAGTAGTACTAGTAGTATCAGCAACTGATCTATTCTTCTTTGTATCTTTTCCATGCTTCTTTGCCTTACTTTCTCGACGTTGTGGCTTCTGAAATGATTCTGTAATAATTTGTTGATAATCCTTAAATGATTCTAGTTTGTTGTTCACATGATTTTCTGTTGGATATTCTGTATTAACAATCGATTCAGTATTATCCATTCCTATCTTTCCGTCACTTTTCTTCTTCTTTTTAGTCTCGTGGCCAGTCTCGCCATCTTTCTCTTTCTTTTTATCCTTTTTAACTGATTTAAGTTCTAATCCACTGATCGTTACCTGATCAATTAAAGTTTGTTTATTTTGAGATGTTGTGCTTTCTGAATTGTTGAAATCTATTGTAATTTGATTGTGTACTGCTTTCACTGTCTCAGTCTTATTCTTGTCTTTTTCATCATGGTGTTCCGGGAATTCTTCTGCTTCACTAGTGATTACTTCCTTCTGATTTTGGTCATCTAACTTATCTTCTTTTTCCAGCGTTTGCTTTGTTCTATCCACTTCATTTTCCACTGTGATTTGACCAACTAGCTTTTCACTGTCCTTATTGTCATCCTTCCAAGTCGATCTACTTCCCCTTCTCTTTTTACCTTTATCTAAAGTTTGTATTTCGTCGGATTTCTCCACTTTATTCTTTCCTTTTTCTCTCTCCTCGTCACTGAGTGACTCAGCTGTGTCACCTACTCTAACATCCACTTTATTTTCTTCACTATCTTTTTCTCCCCTATTAAATTCTCCAACTACCCTCTTCATTTCGGAATCGGTTTCTAGGACCGTTTTGATTTCTTCCCCTTGTCCTGTGTCTTTTGTTTGTTCTGCTACGCCCCTGATATTCTTCTTCTGAGATGTTTCTGATTCAGGCTTAAATTCAACATCTCCGACTGGCTTCGTTTTCATTCCGTTTTCCGCTTGGTCCTTCGTTGGTACTAATTTCTTCTTCTTTTCATCCTTCCCTTCTTTACTCTCTTTTTTATATCCTTCTCCATCCGTTTTATTCATGCTGCCTTCTTTACCTTCCATATCATCTTTCTTTGTCTTTGTTATTGGTTCTTCTTTGTCTGCCTTATGGCTAGCTAACCTCTCATCTTCCTCCTCTTTATGTTGTCTTTTTTCTACTTCGTCCTTCTCTTTCTTTATCCCGGCAATCTCTCCATCCTTTTGCTTCTTATCAGACTCTGCCTCCTCTTTCTTCATCTTGGTAACTTTCCTTTCTTTTCGTCGTAAGTCAACTTCCTCTTTTCGTTTACTCTCAGCATCTTCTTCCTCCTTTCGTTTCCTTTCAATCTCTTCTTCCTCCATTTTCGCAATCTCTTCTTCTTTTCGTCTCAATTCAACTTCTTTTCGTTTACTCTCAGCATCTTCTTCCTCCTTTCGTTTCCTTTCAATCTCTTCTTCCTCCATTTTCGCAATCTCTTCTTCTTTTCGTCTCAATTCAACTTCTTTTCGTTTACTCTCAGCATCTTCTTCCTCCTTTCGTTTCCTTTCAATCTCTTCTTCCTCCATTTTCGCAATCTCTTCTTCTTTTCGTCTCAATTCAACTTCTTTTCGTTTACTCTCAGCATCTTCTTCCTCCTTTCGTTTCCTTTCAATCTCTTCTTCCTCCATTTTCGCAATCTCTTCTTCTTTTCGTCTCAATTCAACTTCCTCTTTTCGTTTACTCTCAGCATCTTCTTCCTCCTTTCGTTTCCTATCAATCTCTTCTTCCTCCATTTTTGCAATCCCTTCTTCTTTTCGTCTCAATTCAACTTCTTTTCGTTTGCTCTCAGCATCTTTTTTCTGCTTTCGCTTCATCGCAGTTTCCTCTACTTCCTTATTCTTTCCTTCTTCCTCCACCTGTTTCTTTGAAGCCTCTTCTTCGTCTCGTCTCAGTCTAACGATCTTTTCTTCTTTTCTTTTCGTCTCTTCGCTTTCCTCTTTCTTTAAATCTTGCTTCTCTTGCTTGAAAATGTTTTCTGCGTTCCTCTTCTTTTCTTCCTCTTCCTTTTTCATTGAGGGCACCTCCTGGTTTATTTCCTCGTCTTCCTTATTAAGAAGGTTTGTTTCAACCCCATCGACCATACTTATCTTATCTCCCTGTAAATTCTTCGCTTCTTTTTCCTTCTCTTTGTCATTTGACTTTTCACTCAGTGTAGCTTCCTCTTGTCTCACTGTTACTGCAACATTTGTACACCCAACGATATTACCTTTCAATGATTGTGAAACAGTCCAACATTTATATATACCACAATCGTTAAGTCCTGTTGGAGTTTTAGAAAGTTTGGCTATCATTTCGTTCGACTGTTTACTGAGCTCAAGTGAACAATTATACTCACTTTCTTTCGACGGTAAATGATCACCTGTCAAAAGTTCATCTTCATGTGTCCACCATACGACAAAATCTTGGTCGTGAGAACCATGTTGAATAGGTACATTTAATTGAAATGCATCATCCTCTCCTAATTTGACTTCAAAGATTCGATTATTTTCGACTGTTGCCTTATTTTTGTCGATACATTTCTTGAATTCAGTTTCTAATTCTTTAACTGTTGGACAATGAAAACTTACCGGTATGGTGATACTTGGTGCTGGAGACATAGAAGAATTTTCGGGCAGTCTCAACATACATGTGTAGTTGTATAACTTATCAGGTTGTAAATTATTTGTAGTTGATCGTAAAATAAACTGGTCATTAATTTTGAGCATTTCACACGTTGAACTAGGTTCAATTAGTGTTGAGTTTTGATACCAATTAACTTGAATATTTTCCTTATTATTATTCTCCATTTGTTTCAATACAGTTTCTTCATCAATCTTAACTTGAATTTCTAAAAGTTTACCTATTGGTAAATCTAATTCTTTGGTAATTGGATGAAATAAATCAGCCTGTATAAAATTTGTTAGTTTCAGCTGATCTGATTCATTATCATTTGTATCATTGCGATCTAGTTTGGCTGTTAGTATATTAACACAAAAATAAACAGCAGTTTCAGTGCCCTCAAAAAGACGACAACGACATGAATATGTTCCTGAATGTATCAAAGGATCAGCATTTGATATAAGTAAACGAGTATCACGGTCCGACAATATCATTTCAGCACCTATATCAGGTTTCATTGGTTCACCATTCATATACCAAGTTGTTTCATAAGCAACTGGACCAGTAATAGTGAATGATGCATTGAACTGAATTTGTTCACCAGCATTAACCGTTAACTGTTTAGCTAAAGTATCAGTTCCTGTCATATTGGTAGATGTAGTTGTTAATGGTTGAGTTTGATTTCCCCGATCTAGTCAGGTAATAGAAATAAAAATATAATTAACGATTAAATCTGCGAACTTCAAATGAGCAGGAATATAAACTTGTATCGTTCTGGCAACTTATAAACTATAGGTCGTGAAAATGTTGTTTGTCTGACGTGTTTGGTCAATAAATCCCTCTTAAGAAATAAAAACAAAAGTGTCTAGATGTAGGATAATTTTAAATGATTTCAGAGAAATATGACGCTTTATACTAAAATGACCAAAAATAGTGTTTAAAATCAAACTCACTATTCCCTTTGAACAACTAGAAGAGTTTAAATACATAGGCTTTCTAACAAAGATAAACCAACAGTCTCCTTGGAATCATCTCAGAAATTAAACGAAATATAGAATATGGATATCCATACGAATATAAGCATTCACAGAGAATTTCGAATACAATTTGTGACATTTGACTAATATCCCTACCATAAACAATATAGAACATTCTTAATTTATTGATCAGGCTTTAAATACAGAAATGGCTTTGACCTAATTTATCCCTGATATTTTAATTAGTTTCCTAAAGATGTGGATAGATCGCCTAGTAAAGCTTTGGAACTAGTTGAATTTCAATCATTGAGGTCATTACAAACATAATTTTACATCTAAAGTCCATTTATTTGCGACTCAATCTCTGTGAAAATTATTATTCAAATCATGGAGAACGTTCACATTATTCTTGGGATTTACTTCTGGATTTTGAAATACTTTGTTTTTAACCGGTTGAAAAAAAATTGGCTTCTTAAATAAGCTTAATGAGCTCAACTATCCTGATCTTTACTAATAGTGTCATTTTAAGCTGTTCTTAGTTATCGTATATGCAAAATATTTCAGAGATTACATTTATGTTATTGAGGCGTCATAAATAAGATCCATTTCCATTCTATTTTGTGCGAATTGAAAGATGTAATGACAAGGAAAAACAAAGCGAATATTCTGTACGTAATCAACTTTAAGAACTATGAAAACATACGTTCGGAAATAATGATAAACCTTTTCGTTTACGCAAATATCATTTAGGGTGTCTAAAATCGAGGTATATATGAGTTCACATTAATTCTTGTAAACATCCATAGACAAGAATCAGGTTTAGGAAATGATGAAGCCTTAGTCGGAGAATAAGTAACGAACACCGCACAGGCACCTAAGTCACCTAGCAATCATAATAGATTCTGTTAAACATGGTAACAGTGAGTTAGAATAAAGAAAGGCATTAAAACGTTATTCTTATCAGGGAAACTAGTAATAGTTTTATTGTTGAAGGTTTGAACAATCATCATGAAGACAGATGCGGAAATTAAAATTGCGGAAGAAAGGCTCAGTATAATAAGAAAAAATGTCGAAATCGAGGTGAAATGTAATCAGGAGGAACATAGAAAACAGAAACAAACCAGTTAGAGGTAAAAGGCCTATAGATCAGTTGGGTGTGAAGGTATAAGAGTATGAAAAAGAAATGAAATTTCGAGGGATTAAGACCATGCTAGAAGAAAAGATTGCATTAGCTTCTTTTGGACACAATTCTGGTTTTTACAGACATTAAAATAGACATAATCTACCCGAGTATGAACAGAATAATCATTGAACAGAGGTCAAAGGTCAGATTGGGGAAAAAGGCTATATATGTATTTTATGTAATGTGACTTGTTGATAGCCTGTTTCAGAATGATAATGAAAAATTTACGATCAAACTATCCAACTCAAAGAATGAAATACTACTCAAACTTAATATTTATGTGAAATACTTTAACCTATAGCAATAAACATGGATCCATATGAATCATTACGTAAAATGTAGTTGAGGCATAATGGTGATTGATATTTAGGTTTGTGAGGCAAACATAACCTGCCTCATAGGAGCAAGTATATTTATAGATGCACATCGACTTGGGCCAAAGCGAAATTTTATCCTTGACACATACGTGAATGGTAGGCCAGATTTCATTCAGCTAAGCTCTATATTATCTTCTTATGTGATACTTTTCAAACGCATCTCAGAACACTACCCGACGTGGTTTAAAAGGGAGAATGCAAAACAGTTACCAATTCAATACACGAGCATCTAATATACTCTGGACTCATCGCTTCAAAGGAGTCTTCCTTTAAAATAATTTACCCAATCAAAGGAGGTTGAATTAAAAACTTATGCACTGCTAGGACGTTGGCCATCCGCCAATTCAACGCCGAACTCTGCATTCAAAAACGATACGTCTAATCTCTCATCCTTTCTTGGCCCTGGTTCCCTTGTGTAGGGTGTTATGGTCTTGTTATTTTCTTTTAATTACTGTCCTATAACTTTACACCGTAATCATTTATTATTATCCTTTGACAATTTTTAATAACTAATTTTCAATTAATATGACCATTATGTATTTCTGTTTTTTCTCTTATCTGTCAAGCGGACATTTATCTTTCATAATTCTGACCCGTAAATTATTTTCATCCTTCTATTCTTCTTCTAATCCCATGATTATTGCGTAACCTCATTTGATATTGAGATTATTGAATCACTTTATCATGCGATCTTTTTTAGCAATCTACTGAAGTTCCTGTGAATAAGATACTTTCATTTTAACCAGGCATCTGGCGTTAAATATTTCGACAGTCTAACATTTGTGTTTTATTTGTTTGTTGGTAAAATCAGTTTTAAAAAATAAGATTTTAAGATAATACAGTTCGAACGTACTTTCAGGAGACATTTGGAAGTCTGCAAGAGATTGTTGATCCTCTGAAAATGGAGTCTGTACACCATCCAATGTTGAATAAGATTCTTGATAATGAAAAAAACAGGTGAAAATTGTATGATCTAAAATTACAAGTAATTACGATGAAGTCATGATTATTCTCTGAACAGATACATGAAAACTTTGATGATAACCACAAAAAATAATAAGCTAACTGAATACGTTCCCACATCATTTCACATGACAGGAATAATTGAATAATATCAATCTATATTTGATATCAATAGTTGAATTCATGAGTCAATTGGATCTAAACCACCATGGAAAATCTTGAAGCACTGGATAGAAGTTTCGTCTTATTTTGGGACTCCTCAGCAGTGAGCATTCACGATCCCGCCTCGCGAGATTCAAACCCAGGACCTATCAGTTTCACACGCGAGCACTTAACCACTAAATCACTGAGCCGGGATGCAACGGTGTTAATTTCTTACTTTAACCAGATCAAATGAGTACTTAACTTTACATTTATATAATTAAATTAAGGTAAATTCTTTACAAACACCTTCACATAAAGAATAGAATTATTTCAAGCAAAATTTAAATTTTGTTATATTAAATCACAGAAACAACTTACCGAACAGATTTGTAGATGGAGCTTGATCTTTTCCGATCTCATCTATTGGTTCCTCAGCAGTATAATACGATGAGGATGAAGTAGATTTTTGATTAAATGAAGCTGTAAAGTAAATAAGGTAATCTTTTTTATGAAGGTAATTAATTGAATAGTTAAACACGCTAGTATGATGACTTATATGATTTTGATTTCAACACTTAATTAATACACTTTATTCACGTGTTTTCATAAACTCTTTCTCATTATTAAATAACCGATTCGATTCTCGATACTTAAGTACAATTTAGGCAGAACTTATGCTTATCATTTCATATTGATATTCCAAATAAGACAAAACATCTCAGTCCTACAGGAGGTCAGTTGCGGCCCGGATAGCTCAGTGGTAACGTCTCTGATTGTGAAGCTGGGTGACACGGGACCGAATCCATCAAAGAGCACCAGTTCCTTCAGGATTTCAGGTACACCTTGCTGACGACTGCTAAGTAGCACAGGACCTAGGTCCAGAGATTCCTGTTGGCCACCCCCAACCAACATTTAATCTCAACAACGTACACGCAATGTCGAGTTACCTAAACTCGTGACCACATTGTGACTTGGTCAATAGGATTCGGTTTTCACCAAGCAAGACCTGACATACATGACATTGATCACCACTCAGTGATAAATCATTTGTAAAGACAAAACTCATATCTTGAATTTCACCGTCTGTTACATATAATCTATTCTAGTTTAAATGATAACAGTCATTTAAACATATTAGTTGTCGAATTGTAATATATATGATGAATACTATTTCAACAATTCAAATGAAATTTTCTAACTCTTTTCAACACAAATGATTTTTATCAATCACTTTCATTGGATAAACAAGATTTTACAAAATAAAATGAGATTATTCTTTTATATTTGATGAATTTATAATAAATAATGAAAGAAGAAAGAAGGCAATCCAATGAAGGAAATTAAGTAAATAATTCCATATTAATCCGCGAAATTCCGCGACCATCTTCCATTGTACTGAGGTAGATACCTGTCTCTACCCGACGCGGATTGGCTCATCAATCGATTCGTGATCAAAAACTTGATAATCTCCACAACACTATACTGATGATTTCATATTAGCTTACTACAAACTACATAGAATAACTTGATGATTAAATATAAAGATTTAACATATTTAAGTTAATTAAGTTCAGTTAAATGTTTAAAATGGTATAGAAATGCTTAAGAAGATCTAAAAGAGACAAAATATGTCATTAAATATATTACTTAAGAGTAAGGTACTTTTTTCAAGATTAAAAACTGGTCATATAAATTCAGCATAATTAATAATAACCATAACCATAAATAGATGACAAATAAGACAAGAATATTATTATCAGAAAGAGTTTTGTGGAGATTTTAGTAATTTTATAGTTGAATTCATGTGTCAGTCAAAGCTAGACTACCATGGAAAACCTGAAAGTACTGTCTCCAAGAGGTATTTCCTGGAGATCTAGTGAGAAATAGTGACCACTGGAGTTCAACCAGGTCTGTTGTGAGATATCAACTCACTGAAGACAAAGGTGGGTGTGTAGCTCAATTTCGTGGATTGGTTGAAGTTAGACATTAACACCGTTGGATGCCGGCTCAGTGGTTTAGTGGTTAAGCGTTCGCGCGCGAGACTCATATGTCCTGGGTTTGAATCTCGCGAGGCGGGATCGTGAATGCTCACTGCTGAGGAGTCCCAAAATAAGACGAAACTTCTATCCAGTGCTTCAAGATTTTCCATGGTGGTTTAGATCCGATTGACTCATGAATTCAACTATAAAATTACAAGAATATTAGGTTGTTGATTTAACGTTAATGGATCTATCAGAATAAGAGTACGTAATAAGTGAAATTATTCTATTGAAGTTGTTTCAACCAAGAATGTCATAGATAATACACGAAGAAGTGAAGTGATGAAATAATTGAGAACATTTCAATATTCTTTTAGACAACATAGAAAAAGTACTTTAAATAGAAGTGAGCAATTAGAATTTCTTATTAAAATATATACTAATAAGGTTGCTTATAAATAGAATGAAAGCTTTATTACTAAACTGTTATATTTTAACAACATAATGTTTCTAAAATACTTATACTGAGCTAGAAATATTCTCTATCATCTACCAATAATATAAGTCGCTGAAATTAAAATGAAATGTTATCATTGTGGTTATAGAAACTACAATCTTAAACTTTAGTTTACTAAAGACATTACTTTCTATTTTTCCTCTCCTATTTACTTTTACCCTTAACCTACTTGTCTTATTTGCACATATTCTTCGTCTACATTTCATACCGATTTTATTTTATCTTATTATATTAAACAAACCTTTTTCGCAGCCATTTTTTTAATTTGATTAAAATATTCGTAAAAAAGATTTTTAGAGCTGCGATAAGTTTAATGTTGTAAGTAACTCCTTAGGATCTCCTATATGAACATGAATTTATAGAATACTGTTTTCATGACTGAGAGCAAATGTTATACACATATTTGATGGAGTTTCGTCCTCTGAGCTACAAATCTTTTCCACTATACACATACTTCCTTGGTACAGTTTAAAGTACTACTGTGTAATTATGTAAGATGATTAAACAATCAGCTAACTGACCTGAATTGATGAGACGAGCGAGAATACAGTAGTCGGCTCCATAAGTTGAAGTTAATAAGTTAATAAACAATGATATTACTTAGGCAGTCAAGTTGTCATTTGCAATATTGAACAATAAACTTGTAGAAAAATAATTTATATCAATGTTTATCAAAAACATGAACTGATTCAAGGCAGACAATTTTTGACAACTTGGGACTCCTCAGCAGTGAAAACTAGCAACCTCGTGTGCAGGAACCGACTCCAGGATCTTCAGTCTCGTGAAAGGTGAAGATAAACTGTATCGAGTATGTTGTGTATTTTAAGTTCGGCTAGTCATCACGTGATTTATTCGCCAATCGACTTATTCAATCTTAGTATTGTGTTAAACCAATGGAGTTCGACCGGTATGTGCAGCCTAGCGTCCTTATTGGTCCTTTGCCCGCCTATTCCTGATAGTTGAGTCCAGAACATCAATACCACCTTCCACTATGCAAATCAAATACTTCAAACATACTTGGTCTGTATACCAGCCAAACAGACCGTATCACACCATTGAATAGGAAATAACATTTATACAATATCAAGCCAAAAAGTGGCTGTGAACGTGGGAGACGGTAGTCAATAAACTGAACATAAATTAAGAACAGTAAATAATAATCCATAGGTCAAAGTAAAGCTTATAATAAGAGGAATATAGTTACTGAACAGTTTCACAATAGGATCACACATAAAATATTAGTCTATTAATAGCTCTCAGAAGTTACTTGTAGTTTAGTATTCACTAGGATATAACAGGGTATGAGGTAGTCACCTACTGATGATGGTCGCGCAATACCGTGGAATGGATGAAGTAAGACATTAGCGATGTTTTATGTCGACACCGTAGCCTAAAGTTTGGGCGCCGGGATTCAGAACATAGTGTCCTTGGTTCGATTCCTGTATGTGGGTCTGTGTATGTATAATGCTGAGGAGCTCAACACTAGTACGAAGAGCTCGTCTAGTGCTTTCAGGTTTTTAATGGTTTATTAACGTGTATCAGTTTATGGTTTTAATGAAATTCAACAATTTACACAATCTACACAGTTATGATTCTAAATTGATTATTCAAGTAGATGTTGGTTTCGAAGCTACTCTGAAACTTAGTGTATTCATCCTTGTTTCGTACTTTAACTGGTAAATTTTTATAGTTACTTAATTTTCAAAAAAACTCTTTGAGTATTTCCCAATTGGTTCTGAACAGTGTCAGAAATCTTGAAATTAATATTTTTCGTCTTCCTAAAAGAAGCCGGAATTTTTAAAAGCTCCTAAATTTGTTTTAGATCTTGTTTTTTAATACATTCATCGTAATGCTGACTAGGCAATCGTTTTCTGGAGTTGTCTATCAATTAATTAAAATATTTCACATGATTCTGCTTCTGATGTTGGTCTGATCAGTAATCCTTGTTGAAATTACTGTTTAGACAGAGATTTAAAAAATATTAGTGGGACTACGATTGTTCTTAATGATGATATGGACTGGGGAAAACCAACATTAACGATGATACATTTCTGCATACACAGGAATCTATTGCCACATCATAAAAGCGAATTGCTTTTCAATGGTAGAATTCGCTGGGTTTATTATATTGAATAGTTTACCTTGAATAAGTTTCATGATAGGGTAAGAAATTATTCTAGTTTTTAAAAGTTAAAGTCAACTCTTGGGACGTAACAAATTACATTTTATTATTCGCTGATATTCACTTGGAATATGTGTCTTTTATCGCAAAGACGTAGATCCAATGTTATAGATTAATACTAATGGTTTAACTTAACAGCGAATGCAAAGATGGATAGTGGCTAGCCATGGAATCTAGGACGTGCGTTTCGTCCTATTTGGGACTCGTCAGCTGGATGTATCTTCATCTCAGAGCCTATGTTAATGTACTTTTATCCATTTAACTTAGTCAACAAAAGCTATAACAGGGTTAGAAGCGTTAACGCTTCATGATAAAATTCACGTTATGATAAATCATAGGTAGCTAAAGTAACTTAAATAGTTTACATACATACAGTATTCATGAATAGAATAGTTTTAGTTATATTAAACTGCCTACACTTAAACTTGCTTATCATACAACCTCAACAAAATATATTGTATAGGAAAACTCAAAATGTCTGTTCATTATATCCCCTAGAGGCTAATAATCAAAATGATGTATGTTAGATAGTCTCTAAACTTATGTAATCGACAAGTAAATTTGATTCTGGTTAGTTGGTTTTCGCTGAAATTCTATGATTTTATAGAATGTCACATCAAGATGGTCACGTGATGTTTTTTCAGGCTATAAGGTTGGAAATCTGCATAACAGGGATAGTTTAGAAAACGAGTTTAATCTTGTAGGCTAGAACCTCTGTAAAGGGAAGAGGAGAAGAGATTTACTTTCCGTTTGAGACTAATGTTTACATTGAAAATGCCCATGAAAAGTCTGACCACGAAACACTTCTCAACATACTAGCTTTCAACTGTTTTAAAACTGATTTGCTAACGTTTTTAGTGAGATTATCATTTAACCAAGTAATGATAGCAAAAATTTATCCCATATTATATGTAAGAATAATCTGTAACATAACATTATGTTATAATTCAAAGAAATAAACATGAAATGTGAACATGCCAATTTTCAGAGAAGACAGCAATTCTACGAGGAAAATAAAGTGAAGAATTAGTGATTATCTACAAACCAACTAACAGTCAAGTTGAGTTCCTTATTGACACAATCAATCCAGTCTTAATGATATCTATTATTGGGGACGGAACAACAGAAGTGCAATGGTGTATTTTACCATAGAATAATAAAGATCTAGTAACCTGTTTCTCCAGCTGGGGTTTACGTAAACCCATTTCATGATGTACATGAAAAAAAATGCAGACAAGTCCCAAATGGGACGAAACGTGCGTCTTTCATTCCACTGCTAGCCACCATTCATCTTCGCCTAGAATGCTTGTGAATCAAGGCAATATCGAGGCAATACACACAGTATGTACATATGTCAATAAGACTGATCAACTGAGATCCTAAATAACAATGGGAAGATACAAGTAAAACAATACTAAGTGAATTTCAACTTCATCCCATTGCACAGGCAAGTGACTGTGAGGACTCAGTAGCTAAGCGGATAACACGATGGAGTTTGAAGCGAACGGTACTGGGTTTGAGTGCCACAATCAACATCAACTCTGGGATGCAGTTACATCCAGCTGACGAGTTCCAAATAAGACGAAACTCGCCTTGTCCTGGATTCCACTGCTAACCACTATCCATCTTTGCTTAGAAATTGTATGTTAGTTTAAACAATTAGAAAACTGTCAAGTAATATTCGGGCATAATCATATTTTCATCTTTTTGAAAATAAAATTAATTAAATAAACATTTTATTTAAAAGTACTTACTTTTAATCACTTCACATTTATCTATTTGTGATAGCTGTGATGCATGAACATTTTGAGAATTAATTTGTTGAACATTTTCCATTGCATCAAAATACATTTCACTGATAGATTCACTAGGACACGATGGAAGTTCCATTATTCCACTGAAACGTTTCTTTGAATTCCAATATGCTTCAATATGTGAACCGACAATTGATTTTGGTATATTTGTATCTTCTATAGAGTTATTAACTATGAATGCGAAAATTTTGTTTGATTATTGAGTTTAAATGAATGGAAAGTTTAAAAATTTATACCGTAAATATTGTGAGAGATGTAAAATAACCATGTAAATCAATGAAATGAACTAGTGTTTTCTAGATACATTCTGAAGAAATTGAAAATTAAAAAAAAGCAAAGTCATTCAAGAAATTTGCCTCTTGAAATTTCTTCAGAATTTATCATCTGGTTTGCTTTCAGTGAAATAGTCTTGTTTCTGTTTAATATCGAACTAAACATACTAATACTACAATTGGTATTAATAATAACAACTATGGAATCGATTGTGTAGGTGGTATATTGAACTGAAGATACACAATTTTTAAGTAAATTTCCATATTCATATGCCTATTTAATATAATCTGTGTGTATATGTGTATAATAGGACTGAAGGAAAATTGAATAGATTCACAAATATTATAGGCAAAAAATGTTTTTCTGTGCAACACACATAAATATAGACATTTGTACAGTCTGACACCAATACATTTTAATGTGCAAATCGAAAAGGGCAGAAGAATTGTATATTAACTCTTGAATTTTGTCAAGAAGAAGAAGATAAAAAAAGTGGAAACTGTATTAACTTATTTCAACTTATTTTAAGATATCAGAAAGTTGTATTTACTTGGAAATTAACTTATATATTAACACTTTATGACAAGCATAGCTTACCATGTAACAATAGTATTAAGATGAGAGCTAATGTACAACGGATATGTATGCTATTCGAGTTATAGGTAGATAAATCATTACTATCGTATTAGATTGAATAGTTTTTACTGCCATTTGCAGGAAATTTGCTGAATAGATATTTCAGTAGTTGAGATCATGAGTAAAATGAAGCTAGACTGCCATGGAAAACCTCGAAGTACTGAAAGGCCGTTTTGTCCTATCTTGGGACTCCTTACCAGTGCGCAACCACGATACTGCCTGGCGAGACTCGAACCCAGGATCTATCAGTCTTGCGCGCGAACTCTTAGCCATTAGACCTTTAGTGAGAAGCAGTGACCAGTGAAGTTCAACTGTGTCTGTTGTGAGATGGTAACTCACTGAAGACAATGGTGGATGTATCGCTCAATCTTGTGGATTAGTTGAAGTTAGTCAGTAACACCGTTGGATGCCGGCCGGCTCAGTGGTCTACAGTTTAAGCGTTCATGCGTGAAACCGATATGTCCTGGGTTTGAATCTTACGAGGCGGGATCGTGAATACGCACTGCTGAGCAGTCCCACAATAGGATGAAACGGCCGTCCAACGCTTCCAGGTTTTCTATGGCGGTCTAGTTTTAATCGCCTCATGATCTCAACTATTGAAATTACTAATATATCCGCGGAAACCCCCTCTGAATAGATATTTGTTTATTTATTTTTAATCAAAAGCGAGTAAACATTCTAATAAACATTCAACGAATCAGTAAACAAGATATAATTCTATGTGATATCTTGCAATTTCCAGTTTACCCATATTAATCAGTGTCAGCTCTTAGTGAGATCTTACAAAATGATTATTTTGTTACTAAAATTTAATTCACAGTTACGTTGAAATAGATCATTGGGTTTTATGTATTGAACTAGTAGCAAAGCCTTTGAAGGGATAGGTGAAGTCAGTATAGCGATAGTTACCATCAACTTGAAAAATTTTATATCTTGCAAATATTTAATCCAAAACCGTTTTCTTTAAAGCGATTTCATATTCGTAAACTATATAATCGCATTTATAAGAAATAAATATTGTTTGTCTCTTCGCATAACCTATACAAAATAAGTAGAATATATGAAGCGAAGTAAAATTCGTTGTTTAGTAAATCATCAAGCTAAACTGAAGGTACATTTAATACCTCTAGCACCCATCTAAAAGTAATTCAATGGGAAAATATTTATGGACGAACTAATGAAAATTCATCCATCCATATGGTTAAATATCGTTTTGACATTATAGCTGATGTCAGTTTGTGATAAGAACTCTAAATCAGAATCATAATTCCTCACACTAATTTATAGCCTATTTTTTTTTACTTTATTAAGCAGGTGAACTTTTTCAAGGTCAATTTGGAACCCCACAAAGACCATCCATATATTATAGTCTGATTAATTTTTACTTTTTGAAACTATTGACAATGTTTATTTCTTTGATCCTTATATGGCATAAAAATAGATTGAAAATATTTCAATATAGCAGATAAGAAACTTTGGATTCATGCAGATATTTTATTAGCTGGTATAGTTAAACCAATATAAGTAGTTTATTAAATTAAAATTAATGCGATTGTCGCAATAAATCAATTTATATATATGAATAATGAATAGTGGATAGGTTACAACGGTGAAACTATAATTTATGGACGACCTTTGAGCGATGCTAAAGTGACCTTGAGAGTGTTCACCTAATGATGGTTATAAACTAGTGTGAGGAATTCGAATTATGATTAACAGTTGGTGGTTAGGGCTAGGAATTAGATTTAGGGTTTTCATCATGAACTGACATTAACTATAATGCCAAAACTCTGGTTAGCCAAATGGATGGGTGAATTTCGCGCCAAAATCCGAGATCTGTTATCTTATACGCGATTGGTTCGTCCATAAATTATAGTCTCGCCGTTACAACAGACAAAAAACTTGAAATCTAAACAAAAATAACGAATTTTCTATATACTTTAACGTTTGTTTCTATTGTGTAACTTAACTCTTAGGCTTTCTTTCTGTTGATGTCAATCACTTAAAATCATACAAAATACCCCATATAGTTGACTTATTGTTTAATAGCCTTTATTAAACATTGATCCAGCTTATTTTTACCAACATTATGAACATGATAATATGACAATGATTATTCTAAGTCATCTGACAATTGATACTAATCAAGTAAACCATGAGGATTGTATAGTTTGTAAATAATAAGTTCATCTAGTCATTAACGATTGAAAAACGTAAAGTTTGAATTAACCAAGGGATGTTTTTGTTCATATATTAATTAAGTATATAATGACTTTCATTAGGTTGGTAATTAATACATTCCCAACTTATTTAAATAAGTAGATTCTTACAACAACTGTTTTAATTATTATTTATATTCAATTCCTAACGATATTTCTTAATAGTAATGTATCATTTGAAATAAATTGCTTAAATACTAAAAGGATTAACATTTATATAAATCATATTCAAATGGAAGGTACCCTTTACTATGAACATTTAAAAATTAGGATGAGTAAGCACTGAAGATTTATGTATATATTAATCTAATCAATGATGATGGGTATTGAACGTTGTGTCGACAATTTCAGTTAAGTTACACTATTCTACTTTCTATTTAATATTCAATTTATTCACAGTGTAAAGGTTTATGTATTCTATTTTGAAACTAATTTCAGTTGCATAAAGTTTAGTGATATTACTCGATTTCTTTAACTGAAATAGTCAAAGTGGTGTTTTTTTTTAAAGTTGCCTACTGATCAATATCTTGGATTACATCCCATTATTCTGACTAGAAAGTGATTGATTATGAGAATTATAATGAAAGTATCATTTACATAAATTCTCCGATACAACACAGTATACACCAATCGAATGACACTTGACGGAGAAGATTTGGAAGATGTAAAAGCCTTTACATATCTGGGCAGCATCATTGATGAACATGGTGAATCTGATGCAGATGTGAAGGCGCGAATCGGCGAAGCAAGAGAAGCATATTTACAATTGAAGTACATCTGGAACTCAAAACAACTATCAACCAACACCAAGGTCAGAATTTGCAATACAAATGTCAAGGTAGTTCTATTGTATAGGGTGGAAAGATGAAGAACCACGAAAGTCATCATCCAGAAGATACAAGTGTTTATTAACAGTTGTCTACGCAAAATAATTCCGACCCGTTTGCCATACACTATCAGCAACAAACTACTGTGGGAGAGGACAAACCAGATCCCAGAGGAGGAAGGAATCAGGGAGAAGTGCTGGAAGTGGACAGGACACACATTGAGGAAAGCACCCAACTGTATCACAAGGCCACTCCTCACTTGGAATCCTCAAGACCAGAGGAGAGTAATACTAAAGAACACATTACTCCTAGGAATGGAGGCAGACATGAGAAGAATAAACAAGAATTATATAGGACTAGAAAAGAAGGGCAAGGACAGAATAGATTTAAGAAGACTTGTCGGTGACCTATGCTCTATTGGGAGTAATAGGAGTAAGTAGGTAAGTAATCATTTACATAACATTATTTACATTACTGTTTTAAGACTAGTTACTTTATTCTTGACAAAAATGAGTGATAAACACTGATCTAATCTCTAGTTTACATTAAAATTTATTAATTTCACTCTCTATGATGATTGTAGTGATATAATTATACGATAATGATAACACTGACTGACTTATTAGGCAATAGTGTTTAATGCTAAAACATAAACAATGAAAAACAATAGAATTATAGTTAGATATGATTTATTTAACTTTAATATATTGAATTATTCATTATACTTAAAGAGAAATATCAAGTTTACTTATCAGGAGTTGGGCTAGAATTGTAAGATTAATCGATTACCCTATACAGTTTTCTTTATTAACTGATTTTAACTATGATGAAAAGGGTTAGAATTAGAAATTAGGAGTTTAGTTTGAGTTATGAGTTAAGATTGCGGATTAGGATTAGGGTTTGATTATTAACTGATATCAGCTTTAACACTACAATGAAACCTTGTTATTCTTCTGATTAATAAGTGAAAAAAAACTAAAGATGAGTTTAGAGTTAATCGTTAGAGTAGGAGAATATTATTTAACTACAGAAACATTCTTGATAATGCGTTGAATTGAACACATCAAATAACTTAATATACAATTTGTTTTGGGTGTAGGTACTCCTTTGTAATTTAGTTTAGAAACTATGTCGTATCCATTATTTAGATTCATTATAGATATATATTTTAATGAATTTTAAGCATTTCAGGATACAGATATCGTCAATTTACACTTAGTTTACGATGACGTACAAGCTATCTTTCACTGCGCTTTCAATTTCGCACAAAAATCTATAAGGCTTTATATAAGTTAACTCTGATTGGTTTGCTGAAGGCTATCAATACTGCATACTGTTACCATCTAATATCACTTAAAAACATGGAATATCCACTATAGTTTGTACAATCGAATAAAAGCCAACCCAATGATAATGGAAAATAAAGCAAATATTGTAACAACCTAATTAGTACTAGAAATTCATAAATGATTTCTAAACATTAGATGTTTGAGTTATCTCATTGTTGGTATTATTGACTGAATTTTGATCAGCCTTTGTTGGATTATATGTACTCTATGAGGAATGCCTCGTTGCACTTAAGTATGTCCAGATTATGGATTCCAAATAAGATGAACCAGCTCTCCTGGACTCTACGCGAAATCATAATACATTGATCATAAATTACAAAAATAATCATATGCACAATATAAACTTTTAATTTCCTGAATTCAACCATGAATATCAACCCTAAATCAAAAAGGTAATCCAATTCACTAGATTTGATGACAAATCCTTTGTAGAAATAATTGATAAAATCATAATTTTTACTGATTCGTTTATTAAGCATTGTATGCCGAAGTTCAATAACTCACGTTTTTCTTTGATTGCGTATCTTATATCTTCAACCCATGCATTACGACTAATAATGTTGGGACAAGTGATACGAAAAACTAATTTAATTGGAGCTTCGCCTGATATATTCCATAATTCAAATGATGTTTCATCATTTCCATCGTTGCCATATTCACCAATACGAAGTTCATCAAGCTTTGAATGATAAAACAATAAATTTTTTTCAACAGAAAACATTCATTAGAAACATTTATTTATTTATTTATTCAAACACATAAACATTGATACAAGGAGGCGGCAGATAGATATGCGCCACATAAATCATTCGATTTATGTGAGGGCTGGGATACCGTCCGGATGCCCAAACCGAAACGGGTGGTTTTCTTAGGGGACCACATCTGGAGCCTTCAACTTAAAGGTTTAATTCACAAAGCACTGGAGCAACGTCAGGAGATGCAGGCCCATGGTAGCTGGTGATCAACAAGTGGTTCATGCCTCATTTGTTCCCTCAGGATCCTGGAGCCCATGAGCACCACTGGTTTGGAATGAGGGTTTTCCAACTACCCTAGGTGGATCCTTCATATCCACCAACCCGGTTTAAGCCCCGGAAATTCGCTTTTCGTCCTCTCAATTTCGTAAGCAACACCCGTGGTGCAAGAAGGCAGTGAGTAGGAATTCCCTGACAGTGGTTGTATGCAAGTGGCCATGTGATACCATTTCGTGCATATTGTAGGTTTAAACTAAGAAAAATTGAATATATATAATACAAGAAGCAAATATTCATATATCAGGATGTGCTTGTTAGCCAATTAATTGGAGAAAATTTATATGGAATGATAAAATATCACTGAAACAAACTGATATATTACAAAATGATTGCAGTTGAACATGTAACCTATTGGATAACCGCTCAATGGCCCAGAAGTTTTAACGTTCTTGCTCGAGACCGACGTCCTAAGGTTCTATTCCCTGTTGTTGTGTCGTGGATGTTCACTGATCAGAAGGTCCGTACTAAAAAGCTGTTAAGTGCTTATTTGTTTTTAGTAGTTGTTTAAATAAGATCATCTCTTGATGCTAACTATGAGATTGAAAAAATGATATATACTGTGAGTAAAGGCACTTTTGTGAACTGTCTACCTATTAACAGTTAGAATTATTAGTCATATATAAATAAATCAATAAACTATTTTTTAGTGATTATGATTTAAAAGCTGATTAACTACTTCACTAAGTTGAGAACATTCATAAGTGAACTTGTTGCATTCAAGCCGATCATAAAAAAGTAATAATCCTACAGTAAAGAAGTTTTCCATGGTGGTCTAACATTAATCACTTCATGCTTTCAATAAAAGAAGGCGTTTAACAGTTACACTACTCAGCTGAAATCCGACAGTTTACACATCTAACTTCAACCAGTTTACACGACAGTATGTAACTAACAGATGTAACCATAGGTATTATTTATCTCACAATTGACACTTATGTATTGATATCAGATGGGTTTTGTGAATATTATAGCAATTTCAATGGTTAAGATCATGAGTCATTTGAAGCTAAACCACTATGGAAAACCTGAAAGCACTGAATGGCCGTTTCGTCCTATTGTGGGACTCCTCAGCAGTGCGCATCCACGACCTCGCCCCCTGCGAGATTCGAACCCAGGACCTACTGGTTTCGCGAGCGAGCACTTAACCACTAGACCATTGAGTCTGCCAGCATCCAACGGTGTTCATGTCTAACTTCAACTAGTCCACGAAATTGAGCGACACATCCACCATTGTCTTCAGTGAGTTACCATCTCTATCTATGAAAGTTTAAATTCACTATATGACAATAAAAGAGTTACATTCAAAATCACTAAAGTTGAATTTCAATCTTGATTTAACATTTTACATCGGATTTCATTTCAAGAAATAAACATATACCTTCAAATATAATCACTTAGCCAAATCGTATATTTTATTTATAATAAAATACAAAGGCTAAGGAAACTATCAAAATATCTAAAATATTTTGACCAGAAAAAAGACATGAAGGAATCATTATTGTGGATATAATAGTAGATAAATAGTTAAATTCATAAGTCAATTGAAGCTAGACCACTATGGAAAACTTAGAAATCCTGGACGGCCGTTTCGTCCTAGTGTGAGAGTTCCCAGCTGTGAGCAACTATGATCCCGCTTCGTGAGGTTCGAACCCAGGACCTATCGTGGATTGGTTGAACTTAGGCATTAATACCGTTGGATGCCGGCTCAGTGGTTTAGTGGTTAAGTGATCGCGCACGACACTGACAAGTCCGGCGAAGCGAGATCGTGAACGTGCCCTGTTGAGGAGTCCCACAATAGGACGAAATTGCCATTCACTGCTTTCAGGTTCTCCATGCTGGTCCAGCTTCGATTGACTCATGGATTCAACTGTGAATTCATTATGAATTACATCAATAAATATAGAATGTCATATAATTTATATTTGGACTTACATTAATTATTCTATTCACTTTCCAACAATAAACTGAATTATTTTCATTGGCTTTTTTAAGTGATAATAAATGATCAGGTAGAAGAATTAATCTTTCCATTTTCATTTCGTTTTGATCTAGTTGAATACTTTTATGTTGACCGATTTTAATATCCGTCTTTTTTTTAAAGAAAATGTTAATATATAGAACAAAGAAAGAAAGAAAGAAAGCAAAGATGTAGACAGTTAAGAGTTGGTGAGATTATTATGACTATTCAATACATTAGAACATGTAGTTGAAAGATATTTCCAGTAGAGTAATTTTGGGAAAGTTCTACAGTATATGAATGGTTTAATGATGAAATGAGTTTAGTTGTAGAACTATCAAAAACCAGAGATCATCGAAAATTCTAGTTTGAAACACCTTAATAGTACACTTTCAAGATTACTTTTAGAATCAGTTGTACAACTCACCAGTTTTAGTATTAGCATGAGAAGAATTAATTTAGTTTGGAAAATATGAATCCGTAAGTTCCAGATTATTATATGGGAGACTCTAAAGTTCTATATAAAAATTCTCCTTTAAGGTCTGGAACGTGGATGAAGTTCATGATAAGCTAAATAAACAACATCCGGTCATTATAAATCCCTTATATTTTATCTGTTTAATGCACATGCTTACACACATATTAAAATCAAATCTTGTTACTATACTGATAAATAAAACTCAACCCTCTAAAATCCCTATTTTTTCAACCTGACTATTTATGGAGATCATTTTCACTTTGAATGAAATTTACTCCTTAAAAACATATTTCCAATCTTTCCACGTTATCAGTAAAATGCATTATTCATTAATTAAATTTGTCTTCACCAACTATGTTAAAAACCATTAAATCTGGTTAGAGTAGCTTGAGATAAAAACATAATATTGTTTGAATTGTATGTTAAACATATTATTTTCCGTGAATGCAAACCCTTATATTTATAAATGTATACACTGTCCAATACATTCTTAGCAAATATGGATATTGGTTAACAGTGGAATAAAGGACGCGCGTTTCGTGCTATTTAGGACTCGTTAACTGGGTGTACCTGCATCCCAGTGTTGATGTTCATTGTGGCACTCAAACCCAGTACCGTTCGCTTCAAACTCCATCGTGTTATCCGCTTACTACTGAGTCTTCACAGTCACTTGCTTATGCGATGGGATGAAGTTGAAATTCACTTAGTATTGTTTTACTTGTATCTTCCCATTGTTATTTAGGATCTCAGTTGATCAGTCTTATTGACATATGTACATACTGTGTGTATTGCCTCGATATTGCCTTGATTCACAAGCATTCTAGGCGAAGATGGATAGTGGCTAGCAGTGGAATGAAGAACGCGCGTTGCATCCTATTTCGTAACTCGTCAGTTTGATGTACCTGTAATCTTAACATATTTAAGTAAATGTTCACTTCATTAAAATTGAATAAATTTTCATTAATTTTCTTTAAATACTTTAATTCATTTAATCAATATAACTTACTATTCGTATAATTGGCGGTGGTATACATTCATCAAATAATAATAATAATAATCTATTCTCATCTAATTTTTCTATATTAAATATTTGATTGAAATTTATATCAACTTTTGACCAAAAATATATAAATTCCTCTGAACATCTTTGTACTCTACTTATATAAATCATGGCTAATTCAAGATTATTAATTAATGTATTATCATAGGCAATATATCTTGTTATATCTTTTAATAATCCATTATATACATTTAGTCGTTTTCTTGGTATATTTAAAAAATCTAAAAAATTTCTTAGAGAAATATTATTATTAGAATGATTAGTTGTTATGGATGTATCCATTTGATCATTTATTAAAATTGTTGATTTTTGTATAGAATCTGTAATAGAAAGACTAAATGATATTTCAATATCATTTGAAATGATTTGTGTAAGATGATTTATTAAATAATCCGAATGTATAAAGAATAATGTATAATCATACCAACGTTCGGGCTAGATGGTGGTTAAAACAAAAAGAAAAAAAAACCGAAAAAAAATTTAATGAGAAATTAGTTTTCAGAAGGGGTTTTGTGGAGATTGTAGTAATTTAAACAGTTGAGATCATGAGTCAATTGAAGCTAGACCACCATGGAAAACCTGGGAGCACTGGACGGCCGTTTTGTCTTATTGTGGGACTCTTTAGCACTGCGCATCTACGACCCCGCCTTACGGGATTCGAAACCAGGTTTTCCATGCTGGTCTAGCTTCAAATGACTCATGATCTCAATTGTTTAAATTAATTTTTATTGGATTATTATAGAATAACTTGAAATATTTGAATGTATCTTTATACTAACTACTCTGACTATGAGATAAGATATGTTTTACAATCTTGTTATTATTACTTTGTTATATTACGTAATATCAATCTAAAATAATATTAAGATGAATAATGAATGGGTATTGTTGTCATTATAATGCAAGTTCAACCTAATATAGTTTATCTATTGAGCGATGATTTAATTATGATAAAACTATTTATCATTATTTGAAAATTATTGATGAAAAATAAAATATAACCATGAAGGAATAAGTCATAAAGATGAAATTCATCAATTAATCTGCATAAAGTATTCTGATAGATGAACGCCTTGGTTAATGTTAACCATTTTTAATTACTCACATTCTTTGATAATTCTACTAGCCAGTATTTATTCCTGTACCTGTGTAGGATATAACAAAAAGTACGCCAAACATGTATATATATATGCATTTATTAGAAGCTGTCAAGAACTGTTTAAGTTGTATTATATTTCATAGTATTGACAATTAATGATGAGTGAAAGTAATATTGAATAAATATATATAACAGTGGATATCTTCAAGGCTTCCGAAAATCAAATTTTAACTGTAGAGGAAACTGTATTTTTAATTGAAGTTGTCAGTGATTAGTTGGACAAGGATCATTTTATAATATTTTAATCATGTACATAGTCCACTGAATTAACCTCTTCAACCGACAATTAGATAGATAAACGATGTACATGTTCTTAAAACTCTATTGACAACCAAATGGAATAGTATGGTTTTATTTATAGTAGAGTGTTTATGCAATAAACTTTCACTAATAATTAACTTCTTTATGTTATGGAAGTGTTTTATGTTTTTCGTTCTACCTACCCATGTTTTATTCAAAACAAGTTTCAAGTGTTACAAAACTTTCGCAAACAAATATATACTACTTTTTAGTTGTTTTAGTAGCTCATTTTGTTATAACACATTTTGAAAGTATCTAGCTGGAGTATTTTAGCCATCATCTTGATAATGTTAGTTGGAGTTTAAACATAAGTGTAACCACCGAAGTCCCTCGATATATATATGAATAAATATTAGAATCAAAAGCCATTTACAAGTGTTTCTTTCAACAATAGAAACTTTTTGACTTTATGATTAATTTAAGTAGTAAGAATGTGCAATTTTAATTTTTATACGTCAAATTTAATAAATATGCTGCAACAAAAAACTAGAATAGAATAAGTTTATTGATCCTAGAAGGTCAAGAGAGGAAAAATAACATTTTTTGTTGGATTGCGATCAACAAAATGCATTCGTATTTTATAACCAAACCTATTTTATAAATCAAAACAAGTTTCTGATTATAATTCAAATCTTTTTACTGGCAATCAGAGAATGAAACATAGGGAAGAGAGCGAAGCGAAATGATGGACAGTGGGAGAATGCGTGTAAGCCAACTCCATTCAGTCAAGCGTTAATCAATATTTATAGTCACACAAAAATAATCTAAAGACATGTGGTGAGTAGGATAATAAGTACACACAAACATAAGCTCATATAAAAACAGTCATGAGTAATAAGCGAATAATTACCAAGGTCAAAATGTGACTCAAGTAGAATGAATAGACTGACCTGTTAGAAAGCTAGAATAAGGTATATAGATTTAACATAATAACCGGCACTACATCTTTAGGCTTTACTTTCTTTAAAATGTCAGTAACTGTCAATCAACTAAATACAAAACTTCAGTTTGAAAACTTAATTCATTAATAAAAATATCTCATTCTGATACCAAACAAAGAATTTAAGTAATTCAAAACAACTATTATAAGTAACTGTAATCAAAGCATTAAAACTAAACCTATAAATAGACGAGTACTTTCCAGTGAACTATTCGATAACTTAATTTCCTAATTCTCATTGAATTGAAGTCTATAATTGAAATTTCAATCAAATTAGAACAGATTCCAAATTTAATTAATTATCATCAATCGATTATTCTATTTAAACTGATCACATCATACTTTATGAATTCAATTACGAATAGGTTTTGTGAATGTTTGTTCAAATTTTTCTATAATTGAAGTTATATGAAGAATTATTGAGAACTATAGATTTATATGAGATGGGTTTTGTGGATATTATAGTAATTTCAATGGTTAAAATCATGAGTCAGTTGAAGCTCGACTACCATGAAATCACTACCTTAATAACTGGTTATATATTAAACAAATATCCTTTTCAATGGTTAGGATCATGAGTCAGTTGAAGCTAAACCACCATGGAAAACCTAGAAGCACTGGATGGCCGTTTCGTCCTATTGTGGGACTCGAATCTCGTGGGGGGCAGGTCGTGAATGCGCACTGCTAAGGAGTCCAACAATAGAACGAAACGGCCAACCAGCGCTTGGAGGTTTCCCGCCGTGGTCTAACATCAATCGGTTCATGACCTCAATCAAAAAATTCTCATCATATTACGACATAAGTATACAAACGAAAAGTATTGGAAAGAACATTCGTTTTTAAAAATAGAAAAATGACCTTAATTTACGCATTATCAGCATGATATCAAATAGTCTACTATACACTACTATATACAATAACCAAATCAATCTTTTCATTTTCTTACATGAATAAATGTAACTTTTTAAAATTGAGGAATTTGCCTTAGTTGACTATTACATAATCTGAATACATTCTACTTAATTATCTAATAATCTATAAACATAAATCGAATTATTTTTATTCTCTTCAAAAAGGGAATGAAAAAAGTTTTTTTATTTTTTCAAATATGAATGATAGATGAAAATGTCGAAAGAAAATGTTACAATGTAGTAAAGACGAAAAATTTAAAAAAAGAAGAAACCAAAAGAAACACTAACAAATTATCAATCATATAATTTTCAAGGTCAAATAAATGCCATGACAACAAGGTCTTAATAAATTCATTTCATTGTATATTTTCTTTGTATTTTTTTGAATATTGATTTGTACGTGAACATGAATTATTTTTTTTCAATGGTTGAGATCATGAGTCAATTGAAGCTAGACCACCATGGAGAACCTGAAAGCACTGGACGGCCGTTTTGTCTTATTGTGGGACTTCTCAGCAGTGCTGATCCACGATCCTGCCCCCCGCGAAGTTCGTACTCATGATCTATCAGTCTCGCGCACGAGCTCTTAACCACTAGAATACTGAGTCTGCCAGCATCCAACGGTGTTAATGTCTAACTTCATCTAATCCACGAAATTGAATGACACATCCATCATTGTCATCAGTGAATTACTATCTCACAACAGACCTGGTTGAACTCCACTTTTTTATTTATAGAGAATAAATAAATAGTGTGGGAATGAAAGTTTTAGTTAGATAATTCCCTTTTAAACATTAAAAATTAAATTGCACAAAGTTCAGCGAACGGATCTCTTTTGAACGAATTTATTATCAAGGTGTACAATCGTATAAATATGAACTTTTTTTATTAAGTTACTAGTTCCATGAGGAAATGTGAACACGAATAACCAAGATAATGTAATGGAAAGATTATAATACTAGATTGCGTAATGCGAATAATAATAATAATAATAATAGATTTAGTGAGTGTAATAAGACGATAAAATATTTTTGTTACAATAATTAGAGGTCACAGAGGTGTAAAAATAAATAAGATGATATGATAATAACATTGAGAATATAAGACATAAGCAAAGTAGGGGATGCAGTAATTATAATAATAATAATAATTAAGGCCATGGGAACGATAACGATAGGACGTAGTTCTTTTGTACGCGTTGTTTTGGTGGTAAGAGCTTCGGCTATTTTTAGGAGGTGTATACGAATAAATCTAGATAGATTTGAACGAATCATATATACAAACTAAAAATCAAACTGTGGATCCGTAGAATGTTTATAGCTTTCCTTTCAACTTTGTAGAACCAAACTGGGACGTGTTCCCGCATGCGTTCTTAACTTACTAAATCTAAATCTATTGTTATCGTTCGTACTACGTAATCTAGTATCTATTACATCATCTTGGTTATTCGTGTTCACATTTCCTAACGGAACTAACAAAATAAAGAAAATTTTCATACATATACGATTGTACAGCTTGATAATAGAACGATGAAATTTCCATGAATAAACCATCTAGTTCAGAAAACAAAATTCTATCGAGATAGTTTTGTACATAATATTATCTGCCTTTTTATATACTTACCAATTTTAGTGAGTTATTGTTTTGAATTACCTTAAAAATAATTTGTTTTACCGTAGTTTGTTTTATTGAAACATCCACTGATTACTTTAAACTTTACATACTTCTTCAATATGAATGTACAATTCGTATAGAACTTTTTCAACTTATCTAAACTACCTGTTTTCAAATGATAAGTACGAAGTGAAATACTAAAAGTACTATTCATGATTTTAAAATTTGTGTAATACCAACTTTTTAAAAAGTTATTCCTTGATGAATTTAAAATACAGTAAATAGTTAACAATCCCAGATAAATAACATGATAGTAAAAAATAGACTCCTTTATTCAATAGAACTTATTCTATGCTAAGAAATACACTTCTATGTACTAGATATCAAAATATAACAAGCTTATTAAAATAGCCATAATTAACTGAAAGTGAGTAAAATTATATATTGAATGTTAAAGAACATAGTCTTTCATTATGTAAATCACAAATGAATCTTACTAATAAATAAAGAG